CCATTACACAATTGAAACGCATGCAAGTTGATCTTTGGCTGACGGACTTGTAGGATCACACTTAATCACCTCTCTCGTGCTTACACTGAGGGCCCTTGAGGCATGAGTGGCACTAAAGGTTGATCCGTCCACTGCTCTACATCAAATAATTTGCCATTGTATTAGCGTATTATTTATGATGAATTCCAGCTCTTCCATCGATCCTACTAGAACGTTGCTCGCGTTGTAACTTGTCGTGTCGAAGACGAGGCTCCCTCATAGGGGCAAAATCGTTTAGGGATGTCGGAACTTTCTGGGGAGCATTATAATGAGCCCGCATTATAAACGAGTTTATTATGTACCCTCTTCATTATAATGGCGGCCGCTAAGCGTTTGCTCAGCACTTTTAGTCATCAATATTACCATATACGGTAAATTTCGGCCATTTTAATGGCCATGGCAATGGAATCAACCTTATCATTATAATGCTTCGCAATGGCACCCCTCATTATAATGGTTGCCAATCGTTATCTTGTCGTTATCAATGCTCCTGAGAAAGTTCCGACACTGACGCTTGATCCAAACAGTCGTCAATAATGGTTCAACGTTGCTGCCGAGAGCGTCGAAAGTGCAGTCTGTCATCTCGAGAATCAGAGACATCGAGGTGGGCTTACTTGCGGTACATGGCCCGCTTTCTGGCTAACCTACAATCGGTACATACAGCATCAAACCGATCCATTCATTACCTCAATACCATGGATGTCCGCTTGACCGATGAAGAGCGACAGTTTCGCTACTCACAGATTGATAGCGAGATCGCCGCTCTTGTCGACATAGAAGCCATACGAATGTTACGGGTTCAACGCAACGTGCTGTTACCCGTTGCCTCCTTACCATCCGAGCTTCTTTGCTACGTCTTTACCCTCATTCTGCTTACCTACCACCGAGGCTGGCGCAAGCTCTTTCACCTCACTCACGTATGCGGACGTTGGCGAGAGGTGGCTTTGAGTTTCCCACATCTGTGGTCCAAGATTGGTATCCACCGCACTCCAACACAAGTCGTCTCGACCGTGCTTGAACGAGCCAAAGATGCTGAACTAGACATATACGCCATAATCAAGGGACGGTGCCCTGCCAGCATGGACGTCCTTTCTGCACGCCTTCATCGGATACGCCTGCTGTCTGTGGACCTTTGGGCGCCTAGAACTGCAGCAGGCTCGAGGAGCTTCTGTCATCATATTCTCCGGTTCTCCAGAGACTTCATGTGCGGCAGTTCCTTTTGCGTGCTGCTATGATGATTCCTGGAATTACAACAGGTAATGTGCCTGGGTTAAAACAGCTAGTCCTTGAGAGGTGTGCGTTGCCTTGGGATTCATCATTCTGCGGAGCGTTGACGCACCTTCGCCTTCGCCATCTGAAACAACTCTCACCCACTCCAGAACAACTCTGGACCATTCTGGGTAGCGCTACTTCTCTTGAGCATCTAAGTGCTTCATCGTCTGGCCTCAGAGCCATCAGCTTGGAACCTGTCAAAGATAGTGAACCTCGGAAGAATCAAGTATATTTCGCTGGAGGAAACCTTCATGCCATACGTGCATTTTTTTCATGCGTTCGCGTCCCTCCAAATTCCCATGTCGTCACTCAGACAGGCCTCCCCGATATCACCGGCGACATCACACCATTGCTTCCCGACTGCTTTCATCCCACCGCGCTGAAAGCTTAATGCCTCATAAGGTTTTCGATATTGAACTCGATGATATTCAATACGACTTCACCATATATGACAACGACCTTGACAAATTGACGTGCGAACATCAAGACGACCTTGTGGATAATTGCCTCATTTCATTAGACCAGACATTCTGTCATTACGGTGGCACCACACTTTCGATCACCCCATTTAGCTCCTTCTGTCATCGCCCACCTCTCATCTCCATTCGCACCTTTAGAATCAACGTGACTCCAAGGCATTTCCAGCGTGTTCCATGGCATGACATATTTTCAGCTCTACCTACCATCCAGTGCCTGCACGCAATGCTCGACGATACGAGGTTAATTCAGATGATTGAAGTGCTTGCCCCTCATTCCCAGGTCGTCCTCGCACCCCAACTCAAGGAACTCTCCCTCAAGCTTTACGAAGATGACGTTGACGACACGACGTGTTTGGGTAGATGCGTCGCGGACGTCCTTGAGCAGCGTGCATTGACAGGCATGATCCTTGATAAGCTGATAGGATGGGGATTCTACATGCTCAAGCCACACCTCATGAAAGTGAGACGCGTTGTCGAGGATGTTCAAGGATTCGAAGAGAACGACCAGTAGCTATCGAGCGTTCAGGTACGAAGTGAATGGGAAGTCTGTTTGTATATCTAGTTTGTCAATGACTACCGTTACTTCTGATTCGGATGCGTGCGCCAGAGACTCGACCAAGTTGGTACGCCTCAAGGTATATCTACTATTTCGCTACAATAAAGCGCAAGGGATTGGTTGTCGAAAGCACTGCGCACGTAAAATGTATCCGTCGCTTCAACGTGCAGGGTGTACTTCAGGTTGAAATATTCGCATCCGCGCAAAACCCAAGCAATAGCATCAGGAAAAACCTCATCGGGAAATTGGAATCAATTTGTGTAAAGTTTCCAAGGCCTGTCAAGTACGGAAAAAGTTGTGACATTTTCCGTCAAGTTAATGCAAATATGTGCAAGTTTCCGCAACTTGTTTCGACTTTTCTAACTTCAAGTGAGAATTGTTTTACCTGACATACTATGCTTATATATCACTTATATGTATGGAAGCTTAGTACGACGGTTAATTCTCCTTGCGTGCGGTGCCCAGGCAGCTGGGAGACAAGTATCTGAAGTTGTAAGCTCGACCTAGCCCTCGCTGCCAGAATTAGAATCTGTACTCGCCGGACCGGGGCAGTGGTGCATCAGAAGAATCCATGTAGTTGTATCCCCACATGTATTTCCGAACAGGTTGCAGGCAAATTGAGGAGGCGAACTTGTGTTGACCTCCCGCGCGTGGAAGACGCGAGTCACCCAGTTGGCGCTCACATCAATGCCAAGGTCAATGCATATAGGGATCGAGCACGACGCTATGTTCGATCCGCTTGTGCCACATAAATGTATAGATACGGAGATATACAAGGTCGGTTTGTTCGTATTGAACGCACTGACTGGTTAGATACGAACAGAAAAGTAAAATAAAGAGTCAATATAATTGAAGGGAGATATCTATCTCTTCTCTGGAATACATCTCACCGGAGTTTCGACCTCCAAACTAGCTGCGATTACATGGCTGATTATATTCAAATACTCCATATAAAATGCATAGGATCCCACCGTTCTTATAACCGGGCTGAACAGCTAGTGATAGCTAGTATACCGACAATCAGCTTGTAACTAGCCATTCTATAATGTGGCTGTGTCGCCACTTTACCACATATCAGCTGCTCATACATTGAAGATTATAGCTATACCCCGTTCATCCATTGGACAGTCGTCTGCCTGATAAGAGCAGCGGCAATATCCGACCACCACATGGCCGTTCCCAATGTAGTCAGCACCCGACCACCACATGGCAGTTCCCAATGTAGTCAGCACCCGAATTAGGTGGGGTTATAAAAATACAATCCGGATTCAACGGGCCATAAAAATAGGATCCGATTGGGACGGAGCGATAAAAATACATTGATTGCGACAGGAGCAGCACAGGCACAATGATGACTAACAGGTATTGACGTCACAGCATAGCAAAACAATTCTACGGGGATAATCTACTAGCCGAGGAGATCTCAGTCGACATCGGACGTCTCGGGGATAGGCTCGAGATCGCGGCCGAATTCGGTACGCAAGATGTTCCTAGCAGCGAGAATGAGCTGGTTGGGGGGAGGGAGCGACAACTGACGTGGTGTAGTAGATGCACTGAAAGAAAATTAAAACATAAGAATAGCGTCTGAAAAATAAAAGACAACATACAAAACATCAAATTGATGTGCATCCACCGTGGCCCTATTACCCTTGATATCGTCAGACGTAGATCCTCGGGGCCGTTTAGCAGGGCGCGCATTGAGCTCAAGATCGTCGTCCGACTCGTCAATGATGATTGTGTTCTGCTCCCTCCTCTCGCGCATGATTCGGTCAATGAGCACGGCGAGGGGAGGGAGATTGGGGCTACTTGAGCTGACGTATTCAACGTCATCGTCGTTGTTGCCGTCGTCAACCAACGTGGACTCGGCAGGTAAGAGAGAGGGGGCTGTCTCGTCAATATCCAGCTCAATGTCGATATCTACCTCATTGTCGGCATCCATCTCGTTGCAATTGATAACTGGCGTAGAGGTACGAGGTGCATTGGGGATGGTGTTGCGGACCCGAGGCACCAGTGGGATGGAGACTCGATCGGGGGTGTCGACGACCCGAGGCTTGACACAGAAGAGTCGGTTGGGATATGCTTGACGAAGCAAGCTAACGTTTGCTGGCTCCGGTAGCATATACGTGAGGTGCTCTGCGACAGCGAACCTGTAGCGGAACGGGCTAACTGTATGCGTCAACCTATACTAAAATGATAAGTTCAAAGCTCACCTCGCAATGGACTCGCCCTGGTATGCCCTCTGCGTGAGAGCGGCGTGCTCGAGCTCGATCTCTGCCTCTGTTTGATATTGCTTCACAATAATGTGCTAGGAGAAAAGGTCAGCTCCACTCATACAAGGACATATCTCGTACCAAGTTGCCCCAGTACGACCCCATGAACAGGCGATGCTGAAAGATGAAGTCGCCGTTATGTGCACCAACGGGAGATCGCGAATCGTCGGCCATGTTTAGCATGATGCTGTTACCCTGGATGAATGTGCTATGGAGGGGCATGGTTCGAGCGGATGGTGGGAGCGTCAACACGGGGGAAGAAAGAGACGATGGACTGATAAGAAAGATGGGCTCACGATTTTATGCTCGCCCCAACGCAAGGGCGCGATCGCCCGCCTTGCCTGCTTGCCCTTGCTTCGATGACCGGAATTCCAAACACCCAAGACTTGGGGCACTCTGATCAGAATTCCAAAACCCAGAACGACAGCCTCACTGTCGCGATCGGGCGTCACTGTCTGATGCCAGTGGTCCTAAGTCCCTGTCCCCAGTCAAACCGAGCACACAGGACGTCAGCAGAGAGCACACTCATCAAGGTTCAAGGACGTACCTTCGCCGCTGGACCCCTACACAGAATACGGGAGCCAGTAGCAGCGCCTAGTTGCCAGGCATGGACGGCCCGATACTACCATCGCACCCTTCCAGTCAAGGAAGTGGATCGACGCGCGGGGTTACAAAAAGGGGAGGAGGGTTGAGAGGAGGAGGGTCGAGCAGAGGGCAAGTGAAAGGGCGAGGTGGAGTCAAATCAAGCACGGGCCGTCCAGACAAGCCCGTGACTTCTTGTGGACCTGATGTCGGCGAAAAGAGAGGGAGAGAGGAAAGCGGCGACAGCAGTTACTCGAGCTCTGCAAAGAGGGCCAAGGGAGGACAGTTCAAGATGCCGTTCAGCAACAAACTGGCTCAGGACAAATCCAGGGATAATGTACTCACTCCAGACGAGTCCTTGGCTCATGTGATGGCCTCCATGCCGGAGCACCCTCCCCGTCAGTCAGAAAGCCCCCATCACCCCAGACAGTCATCTTCGTCCATGTCATCTTTGGCGTCTCTATCCAACCCAAGCCCAGTGGAAATGTCATATAACGTGAGTATATGCACTTGTGTATATCGATGACTGCTCACCTATGGTACTAGAACGCCATGATCGACCCCCGTCTTGGAGCTGTTGAGCAGCCATCTGGCCAGAGCATGGGCCCACCACCACCTTACACCCCTGGCGCTGGCAACCCAGCCAATCGAGGGCGTACGGTGGCCCTTGGTATGCGCCCAACAACTCGTGCACCCACCGTTGTGCTGTCCTCGCGTGCGCCTTCCCTCGCTCCGGGTACGACGCGTCCGGCGGTGTCGCGTGCTTCTTCTGTCGCTCCAGGTGCTTCTCGCCCGGGGATGGCGCGTGCGCCTTCTGTTGCTCCGGGTGCGACTCGTCCGGCGGTGTCGCGTGCTTCTTCTGTCGCTCCGGGTGCTTCTCGCCCGGGGATGGCGCGTGCGCCTTCTGTCGCCCCGGGTGCTTCTCATCTGGGGGTGGCACGTGCACCTTCTGTCGCTCCGGGAACCTTTCCTCAGCCTTTACGAATCCCTCGTCAGATCACAGATCAAATAAGCGGACATTCAGCTGACCTGATCAGAATCTCAGACAACGTTCAGCGGCTCAACAGCGACGTCCACGCGGGTCAGGAAACATCTGCAGCTATGTTGGCCAGAATCAGCGCACTTGAAGAGGAGCTCAAAATATCGAAGGAACTCAACCGGGTGATGAAGCTGAGACTCAACACGACAGAAGACAAACTGCAGGTAGTCAAAGATAACGTCGACGTCTTGAAGGATAAGGTCCCGAAGGGATCAGCAGGTGGATCTGAAAACGAACTGATGGTGAGTTATTCCATGTCATAATCCCGTGAAAAGTCTCAAACGTGTCGTTAGAACGGCATCAGAAAATGCTTCCTCAAGAAGCTCGGTCTCAACGAGGGCACGGAAATCCACACGATCGTGCCATTACCCAATGGCGAGTTCAAGAAAGACGGTCGCATCGTTCCAAATTTCACCAAGTCATTCACCGCCAACAAGTCGTGGCACGCCGAGATGATCGACTACATCGATGAGAACCTCTGGCAACATGTCAACGGAGGCAAAGATACATTGGCCGGCAAGTCCAAAAGCGATTACACGAAGAGGTTGGGGTGTTCGTTCCGAAACTGGAAGAACTCGTACATGGCTAAGCGAAAAGAAGGGGTTGCCGAGGGTCAGGTGGACGAGCAAGAGGAGTGGCTGCAAACACAGGAAAGTCGGCGAGGAGGTCGCAAATGGCAGAAACGCACAAAACGGAACAACGGCCGCAAAAATTCCGTCATCCTAGCGAAATCAGACTTCGACATCTTAGCAAGCGTTCAAATTCACAGTGAAGAGGAAAGCGACGCACCTAGCAGCCTGCCTACTGTGCAGAACCAGAATGGGAACGAGCGCGTTATCGATAGCGGCGACGAAGGACCGGTTAAAGTGAAGCGTCAGCGATACAAAGCAGAGGGTCCGTTGAAGGTTCGGAGGGCGACGTGGGAGTCTCAGGCGTTGATAGCTCTCAAGATCAAGGCAAGTCGCCTTGGTAAATCCTCTAAAAGAAAAGGAATTGCTCCGCAGCAGCGACTTCGTGGACAGCCGCGTAACGTCGAGCTCCCGCGTCTTCCCAGCGGTAAAAAGATCCCAGCTTGGGCTCTATCCCAAACGTACATCGACGACAACGAGCTTCTACCGACCGATACGAGGATCGATTGGACTAAGGACGAGTGCCCTGCCTTCTGGGAGCAAGGCGATCCGTTTGAGGAGACTGATACCCTCGAAAACGCTCCAGGTGTGGCCAACGACGACGACTGGGGCGCTTACGACGATGGAGAGGATGGCGACGAGAACGGGCTGTACGCCCAGGAACAGTATCAGGAGGAGTATCAGGAGGAGTATCAGGAGGAACATCAAGGTGAAGAAGATGACGAGGAGGACTACCAGGAGACGCAACAAGACGAGAAGCCAGATGAGCAGGATGAGGGCGAGGGAGAGGGCGAGCAGGAGCAGCAGGAGCAGCAGGATGAGGGCGATGGCGAGCAAGAAGGCGAGGACGAGGACGAAGAGATGTACAATGAAGAAGAACACGATGGCATCGGCAATGAGACCGAGGCTGAGTGAGTCGAAAGACAAAGTGCCGTTCACGGACGACAAGGATTTGACTAGATATCAGTGCTTCTGCACGGACACGTAGGTAGTGTAGAACACTCACCTCAATTTGTATGGCCCCGCTGGCGGTGTCTTGTCTGCATTACTGAGAGGAAAAGTCAGCTTCGGGACTGTGATGGTCATAGGCTATGGTGATCCATAGCTTGTGACGTCCAGTCTTGATCGGTGCGAGCACAAGGTGACCCGATAGGGAAGATATGCTAACAACTTCCGGAGGGGCGAGTCTGTCGGCTTGCCATGCAGCCACTCCAAGGTCACTAGACCTGACACCGATATGAGCACGTCATAATTGCAACACAAAGACTCACCATAGTGCCCAAGGTAGTTGTATCCGTCCGTCTGCTGGAAGGAAACGGCATACGACAGCAAACACTGCAATCAAAGGATGTCGGAACCTCCGTTGAATCTCCACGCGAAGCAAGTGATGTATTTGGACTGGCTGACGTTGATTGACATACGCGTACTGCCCGGACTGGCCACGAAAGTGACTAGAAGCTCCGTAGCGCAAGGAGTGAAGCCAAATGTGGGGGTACGAGAGTACTCGACCGTCGAACACCACCCCATCGCCACTGAGGTCTGTGCAAGGGCGAATATCAGCCTCATATTCCCATACCTTCCGGAGATAGAGGTAGATGATGTCATAGAGAGAGGGATCAAGTTTGGAAAGGTTTTCTTTCTTCGGGAAGGATGACAATACGAGTCCATCGACATCGTCATTTGGCTGCTTCCGTTTGCCGTTTCTGTTCCGCTGGACTTGCAGACTCTGGGTGAGAAGCTGGATGGAGTCGTCATCTTCGGGTGAGCGATCAGGCAGATCCTCCAGCTGTAGGATCTGCATTGGGGATTAGAATCATTGCCTGAAGAGTAGCAATACGTACCACTTACCAATTCATAGTTGAACGTCACAGCCCACCATCGACGCATCAGCGTGCCTTCTAATTCACCACCCTTGTGATGATTGTGCTTGAATCGGAGGAGCTTGCCGTTGAGCTGTTCGTAGGGGAAAGTCCAGTGGCCGTAGATGGGTCCATGCTTGTATATCTGCTCTTCAAGGTGCTGTCCGAAGTGAAAATAAGGTGTGAGGGGTAGATGCATTGACGCCCATGTCTGCGTCGCTCGTGCAAGTGCTGCAGATCCTCGTTTTACATCCATAGGGGAGATCTCACGAGTGGCGAGTATTCGTATAGCGACAGTGAACTCAAGTAGGGCATCGTAGTGTCGTCGAAGGTTTCGATCTGGTTGCACATTAGATAGCTGATCGAGGACTTCGGGGGGAGTCAGAGGGTTTTGAGCAAGGGTGAATTCACGTAACCGAGTTCGTGTGGCTGTCGTGTACTTGGCTTGAGCTTTGGCAATTTTTGTGTTAGCTGCAGATGGTGGGGCATTGGCATCGGGGATCTCGCCGTGTTGCTCCCAGGCAACAAACAGACCAACGAAAAAGACATGTATTAGATTCCTCCACTGGTCCGCTTTGACCGAACCTTTGCCGTATGACATCTGTTGGATCGTATCAGTGTGAGAGTGAGTGTGATTTTGTGGTCAACTTGCCGAAGGAGGGAGTCTCGTAACTTCAGGTGGCCATTGTAGGTCGTGATAAAACTTTTCAAGACGTTGGATGGGATTGGTCTCCTGCGTGGAATTGAGCAGTCCGTGACCGTGTATGATAACCTTGGTCACATGTTTGACCATGGCTTCAAGTCGTAAGTGCTCCATTTGAATCGTTTCATGAAGAGTGGGGCTCACTTAGGAATACACAGTGCATGAAGTCGATGCCTGCACTTCCTGCAGGCATCCACCCTGGGAGGTAGTTGAGGGGGGTCCATGACACTCCTCGATGCTCCCGGATCACCTGAGCATTGTGTTCATTGGCGTCGCGAGCACGGAAGGCGTACTTGATGTGTCGCCAGTCCTCCCGGGGTTCGAATTGGGTGGGATCGAAGCAGGAAGGGTGTACAAGGGAGAAGGACGTTGCACAACATTGTGGGCACATGAACAGTTTTGACGCGTGGCCTTGATAACCGTTCGTTCGTCGGCTTGATGGGAGATCGGAGCAGTTCATGGAAAGATGGGTATGTACCAGTTCGAGCTCGTTGTGGTCGTACACCTTGAATTCGACACCTTGTCCAAGTCTCATAGCGCTGTTGACAAATACATCCATGAGGTTGTTAAGTTGCTGTAGATTTGGCTCGTGAGGACCTGGTAGAACCATGGCGAGAATCGTCTCTTCCGCAGCGTATCGTATGGATCGGGGGTTGTTGCAAATAACAACGTAAAACGCGCCGGTGGAGTGACAGTCGCGTGTGGTGGACTGGAACCTGCATACGTTCGCAATGTAGTCCAGTATTAGGTTGAAATAAAGCAGGGCTTACCAATCGATGTTGAACTGGAGAACTAGTCCGCAGGGCAATGAGATGAACCTCTGGTCGAGTTCTTGAACGTCTACATCGTGAATGCTGAATTCTCCTCCCCTCCGCCTCTCTAGTCCTGCCTGGATAGCTCTCCATCCCCACCCGTCGTAAATGTCGGTCATGGGCTTTGAGGGGTTGTCAAACGCGTCAAACCCAGATTCATAGTTAGGTGGAACCGGTCCCGCATCGTCTCCTCCACCTCTCCAGTGCTGCAGCTGCTCCCATTTACCAGGCCGGAGCAGGAACCGCTGAATGGCACGCTCGAGGGGAACATAAGGTACGATTTTTACAGGTGTTCTTTTGATGTCACTGTTTGCAAGTCGCTTTTCCTTATAGATAGTGCCTGTGCAGTTTTCGGACGTGCAGGAAGGCGAGGGAAGGTCTGATATGGTAGATGGATGGTGTACTGCCCAGCACACGTCGCACACGGTTAAGTATATGATGAAGTGGTCCATCGAGAGGCCTAGACGTTTCAGGACAGTGGGCACCGTTCGAGCAAAGTTGCTAAGTCCTGGGTAATTGTCTTCGGGGTGCTTGTTGGCAGCCTGTGTGATAGTGAGACGTAATCCATCGAGAGTGCATTGAGCTGCGCTATGCGAGACACCATGGACAACGACGAGAACAAAGACGCGTATATACGCGTTCCGAATGATGGAGTGATCTTCGAAGGCCTGGGGAAGTTGATCATGATAGTAGTCTTGTTCGTGCACGTCTGAGAAGTCGAATACATCACCGAGAGGGACGTGTAGAATGTCATCGAGCACGGGCTGCTCATCCTCTGGTTCCAGTACAGCCTCCTCCTCCTCCTCCTCCTCCACCTCCTCCTCCACCTCCTCCTCCTCCTCTTGCTCTCCAATCTCCTCTGGTGGAGGGGGAGTGAGTGCATGCCTGAGACGTGTGAAGAAATAATCATCATCGCTCATGTTGCCATCGTCGAGATTGTCAAGCGTTGGATGATGATGCCCATCAAATAGACTGCGCTGCTCAACTAGCGCGTCTTCCTGTAATCCCATGAACTCCGAGTCAGTCATCTTCCTCCAGTCGATTTACGCACCCGCATGGCCAAGACTCTGATCTGAATATCCTCGTGCCTTTCCACCATCTCTATGTCTTGATTGTGTTCCAACTCACGTTGGTTCTTCATGATAGGTAAGTGTGCTATCATGTAGCGTTTGCTGGTCAACACGCACCTGAAACTCGTCTGCTTCACTTCTAGTAACCGCATCTCCTCCCGAGCCTGCAGCCCGTTCATCGAGGTGAGCGTCTTCCTGTATATCGTCACTGAGTTCGCTGAGGCTCGGCCTCTTGGAGGATGGTTCGCCTCGTTGTTCACCTCCTCGTTGTGTCGCCTCCAGAGCGCGTTGTAGGTCATCTTGCTCTTGATGTTGTCTGAATGTTCTCGGTTTTTGCGGTTTCCATCCCGTAGGACTACTTCCACAACCATAGAATACACACGAGCACTTGCAGGATGCCTTCTCAGGTGCGCGTGGCATGTTCTCGAGGTGTACAAGGCCGAGGCTTGCTTCAAGATGACTGACGAGAAGCAAGGACGTTACAGGGGCTATTGCTTCTAAATGTGGACGTCCTAATTTAGGTTTATATAATTGCTAGTTCGCTGCTATTATACAAACGAAGGTCCGCGCGCCGAGTTTGTAATGTATGGATTGCCGAAGGAGCTACTACATAGCTTGTGATAGAAATGGGGCTAATGGACTCTTGTAATGAATTCACTCACTAGCAGCTACTTTGGAGGTCGAAACTCCGGTGTCTGTACGAGCGTCAACTAGACGCACGATTGCTGTTCAATTTACATAAACTTGGCAATGAACGAGAGATGAAGATGCATTGCCGCCTTGTAGGCTATGCTGCCGATTCTGTTGAGGTAGCACTTACTGTAATGGAGATGGACGGGCCCTGTGTTTTTTATTGTGGTATATTATGCATGGCGTACTTTTTTTTATTCAGGTGGTCCTTCTCAGCAGATGGAGTCTGGCATGCTGGACCCAAGTTGGACCTTGTACCAGGCAGACGCGTCTTGAGGAAGGCAAATATAGCCGTGAGAAAATTGGGACTCGCGTACTGCCGAACGTGATCACGGCGTCTTGGTTCAACTTGAGCTTGAACGTGCGCGTGAACGTCCAAGCAGCCGTACAGTATGGACTCTCTTGAGTGCCGCTTCCATTCCTCACTCTTCCAACCTGCTAATGCCTGATACTCATTCATTCACCCCTCTCCCTTTTACATCTCCATCGCTACCTCAATTTGTCATGGCCAGTGCAAGGCCCAGCATTAGCAACCCGGGAACTCAAGGTAGTAAGGCTCTCACTCCCTGGTCCTTTACTGTGCGATAATAAAGCCTAAACTCTTGTAGCATCACAGAAGAAGTCGACACACAGAATCAAGACTACTCAATGGTAACACGTCACCTGCACCTTGCCCGGAGGATGTCAGTGGATAGACTGACTCGGAAGCGTAAACGAGCTGCTCAGTCTGACGAAAGAGGAGGTCCGCCCGTCCATTTTAGAGATGATTAAACCGCTCATCGTTTTTTCTAATGATTAGGTGAGCCAAAGGTTGACCGCCAGAGCAAGGTTGGTAATGGTGATGGCGATGCTACTTTGTCCCCACCAAGGTTAGTCATCAGCATTCAACTCTGACGATGAACATAATGACGCTGTAGCCGAGGGCTATGGTCACGAAGAGAACTCCGGCTCTGCGGTACGTCTATAGCTTTCCCTTGAAGATTTTTCAATCTCACCCTTATTCCACGACTATGCGCAGCTGGCTTTCCGCTATTCTGAAGAATAGGATAGACACAACAGGCCAGAGAACTTATCGGGAGCTTGGCTCGCGACTATGCGTTAGAACATTCCCAAAGGATATCACGATTCAATCCACGGTATGTATAAGGATCGCATGTAAGTTGAGTTTTTGTTTAATGATCTACTGATACTGACCCTCCGACCTGTGCAACGGCTCGTCCATAGCGACTGAGTCGACGGCATGCAATATCAAACATATTCACAGTGAGGCACTGAGGTGCGGTGGGACTTGATGGCGGAACAAGAGTCCGCAGCGCGCGCAAAGCCTACAGCGCCTGTGTAAGTGCTATTCCATTCGATATTGCTTACGATAGTCATACACTGCATAGCACTCCCTTCCCTAGTCCCTAATACATTATGTATCTCACTAGTGTTAGTATAGCTATCAATACAGTGGATTTGATCCAAACGAGTCGTGATGATCTTGAGTCAATTACCAAAAAAAACAGCACCGAGCTCTAGCCCATATACAGTCAAATATGTCGGAACTTGACGGAACTTTTGGAGAATTTATACTACTATTTTTAGGGGACCGCGAACTTTTTGGCTTTCGAGGAACTCGTCAAGTTTCGTCAACTTCCTACAAATAACTACAACAAACAAAAACTTCCGGCAATATTCCTCAATTTATGCGGTCAGGTTTTTCCTGATGAGCGTGAAATATACAGGACCCATAAATCCCTCCTCCTGCCAACTTGTACAACTGAGAGGTGTCTATCTACCTACCTTTGAACGCGGAGCAAAGACTGGGGCAGTTGTCTCGCACATCTACATCGCAGTGAGTTCTCGTGAGCTTCCAACCTCCTCTTCGACGCCCACGGTTGCTTCTTCTTAGCTCTCAGAAATCCATAGCATTAAGCATGAAGTGCCACGAGCAGTCTCAAAGATAACAATCTCACTCTCATACTTCTCTCCCGTTCTCGATTTCTCGCGCTTTGAACATGTGGGAACAGCAATACTGAACTCACTCTAATGGGAGAAAGAAGTTGACAATGAATAGGATCGAGCTTATTTGATCAGAAGATTGAGTACACTCAGTATAGTATGGTTCTACCTACTATGTACTTAACGTCTAACCATCGGTCGACGCGTATAAAACCGCATATTAGTGCCTTTGTCTAAGCGGGCCTTGAGAGCCAAACATATGCACGTCAAGTTGGATAACTGCTATCTTTATCAGCCCAAAAGAAAGATGTGTTGAGTCATAGACCTTGCAAAATTCCCGGGTGGAAGGACGTCGATCACGAACGTCGTCGACGAACGAGAAATCAGGGAATCTAGGCGTGCCCAGAACAAAACTACAACGGTCATGCACTCAAAACGGAGATTCTGGAAATGTACCTTTCTGGTCTTTGGATGATCTGGCCTGTGGACAAAAACTGCAGTCAGAAAGCGCCCCGTAGCTTCGACGGGCACCAGCGGGCAGCTCGGAAAACACTAGTTCCCACATCCACCTTCTTCACTTGCTGCTCTGGTGACGGCGGAACGAAAAACCCTTTTCTGTGTCTGCCACACGACCAAGCAGACGCAAAACCGCCACAAACACAGCACACCTTAACCCAAAACGAGCGAGAAGCACGTCCGCATAGTATTCGATTCCGGACAGTGACAGATATTGCGGAACTGTCGTTCTGCCAAGCGGTCCCCTTCAACTGCATCAAAGTGCATCACATCAAGTCGTTTGAGTCAGAAACGGCCTTGCCTTTCTCATCTGCCTCGTGTCCCGCTTAGCGTCCAAACGGCACAAAGTGTCCGTTCCTTCGCTGACTCATCATCAAACCGGAGAGTTTTTTTGAGTTCGTCTGGACCCGGCCGGTGCAACAGTGCAACCACAAAGAGCGGCTCCCTGATCTCGGTAACACAACAAGAGGATCGATGTGGCACGAACAACAACCCATCAACGGTCAAAAGCCAACAATTCGGCGGGCTTTGCAGTTTTGCATTACATAAATAAAACTCGAATTTTCGCTGAAATAATAACAGAAAATAAATCACGGACCCGGCTGCACCTCCCAACAGCAGCGTCCCGGCCCGGTCACTTCCGGACATCTCACGGCACCCGTCGATTGCGCGAACCCAACATCCTTGAGGCGCGAAACCTCCAGCCAAACATCCACGCAAAGCATAGCTTACAGCGAATTCCGAATGCACAGAACCGTCTGGAGCTTTCGTCCCACGAATAGCGCGTCGTGTATTTATGATACAGGAGGATACAGGGCCCCGTCACAGGCACCATCTAAGTTTAATGCCAAGTTCTGTCTCGGCCTCAGCCACCGAACCGGGCCCGGCTGAGCCGCCAAGCCGGTCGTGGGCTAGCGTCTGGTTATCAGCTGGTGGACCCGCCGGCAATAGTACTGGGCTTTCGACGACACCATCAGTGGCGGCGGCGACGGCTGGGGCAGGAGGTGCGATGGTCCGCTGGCGCTGCCGGACGATCAGCAGAAGCACGTAAAGGAAACGAAACCAAGGTGAAAACGAACAGGTCTGATGACCGCTACGCGCTTAGCTTAGGACGAGGGTGAGAGCGACTGCGACAGCAAACAGGTATCACAAGTAATTATCCGGGGTATATCACAGCGCAGCCAAATATTACGAGCGGCGGACGTCGTTCCCTTCCTGGCAGGCGAAAGGAATAACAACAAAGTACATACGGTATGTATACGATTGCGGGGGGAGGAGGGGAAGGGGGAGCTACAACGATACAATGTGGCTTCGAGCACGTCTACACGCAGCAACTAATAGCTATAGCGGCGCGCTACTACAAGACATCCCTAAAACGATAAGCAGTAAAGGAATAAAGCCCAATGACAACGGCAGAGAGTTCATCCTACGAACGACGAGTCCAGCCAATGGACCGCGCCCGCATATGTAAATAAAAGACAAGGTACTAAAACGACCGGCGAGAAGGCAAAAGAAGGTTAAAGAATGTCAAGGAAGAAGTAAAGTGAATGAACAAGGCGCAACGACCCTTCCCGCTGGAGAAAAGGTGGCGAATCAAAACACCTGAAGCAAACAAGCGATCAAAAGGCCAATTTTCACGTACCCAACACGAGGCAAGCCGAAGCGCGGGGCGAGGCGGGGGTGACAGAGCTGGGAACAATAAACTAGACTAACAAGCGGAGCAAAGAACCAAAAGAGGGTGGGTAGGTTGGGCTAAATGAGCGACACGCAACACAGACCTGCGGTACGATGACCATTCAATGCGTAATAAGGAAGGGATACGGGATGAATCAAGCGCGCTTTTTGGGTTCGTGATGATGATGATGATGTTTGGTTATGTGGGATGGTACAGCGGTTTACAGGAGGTCGTCATAAACACGAGCAAGTATACGAGATGGCGATAATAGATATGTCAGGTGTCGACGACGAGCGTCGGATAAACGAGCGTGGGTGGCACCGCGCGACATCGCGCAGTGTTCGGTATAATCAGGGTGGGGGATGGGGGAATTATAACAAACAAACGAGCAAGCAAGCGACGAGTCCGACCGAGAAACATCCGCTCGCGTGCAGCGAGAGGAGCGAGGGTAGGGAATAGGAAGCTTGAAATGAGTACGCCAGGTATGTGAGAATACATATTAAGAGGAGATGGGGTCGAGACAAGATGAGAGATAATGCAAAGCGACAGAGGCAAAACGAGGGCGATCGGATGAGCGATGGAAACGAGAGCGGAGGATAGGGAAAGTAACACACGATCGACGCGAGTCCCCATCTAAGGGAGCTAGGGCGCTCACATCGTCATGGGATATCCTCCGTTGCCGCCGACGCTCATGGGAGTCGGAATGCCCTGCTGCCGCATCATTCCGTCATAGCCGCCAGTGTTGATGTGCAGACCACTAGCGCCCATCCTTTTAGGGACGGCGTACTCAGAGTGCGTGCGCGCGTGTTGGTGCGCCGCGTGCATGTCGTAAGCCCGGGGAGAAGACCCGTTCGGGGGCGAGCCATAGCCCGTGCTCATGCTCCCGCTACGCTCCCGTCCCGTGGGGCCGGAGCCGACGGAGGACGAGTCGTCGCCCTCGCCGGGGTACTGGAGGCTCCCGTGCTGCTGTTGTTGTTGTTGCTGCTGCTGCTGCTGCTGCTGCAGCGCCAAGAGCTGCTGCCGCTTGAGATCCGCGAGCAAAGCCTGGTCGAACGAGGGCCCATTCACCGGGGGAGACTGAGAGATGGGCATGCCGTGCGCGCTGCCGGGGGGAGTGATCAACTGGCGCTGAGCCTGCATCTGGTGTAGTTGCTGTTGGGAAAAGCCGTTGTACATGTGAGCGTTCCAGGGTGCAACCTTGTCGTGATCGCCGTGAACCATATGTTGCTGCTGCGAAATGAAGGGCCCGCCGGGGAAGTGGGGGGTCATGTGAGGTTCGTACATGTTCGTCATCGCCGGGTTCTCGTAAGAGACCGAGGGGGAAACCTGGGCGATCATGGGCTGAGAGTGGCCACGGGACATCATCTGGGCCATGTTCATCTCGGCGGGGGTCGAAGAGCCGCTGCTGTTGGCAGTTTGCGCAAAAACGTTGGTGTTCTTGAGCATGGCGGCGGCTTTCGCAGTCACGACGTCCTCGGTATCGTCCATGGCGCTGACAGGGACGGGAGCGCCGTAGTCGTCACCCTCGTCACCATAGCCATCGTAGCCGTCCATACCGTCTTCGTCGTCGTCACCAGTCACGGCAGCCAGGATCTCGACTTCGCCACTGAGAACCATGGCAAAGCCTTCGCCGCGAACGGGCTCTTCAACGCGGGGGAGACCGGCGCGGTCACGCCACTCGTTGAGTTCGCGGCGAAGCGCATCAGACTCGAGCTTGATAAGGCGGAGCTCCCGCGAAGCGAGAATGCGGTGACGGCGTGAGGCATGAATATGAGCAATCGACGAGTTGACGATCGCCGACTTCGACGGGCGGCGGATCTGAGACAGATTCGGCAGGAGCGCGGCCAAATCCTGTGTGATGTGTGATGCACAGAGAAGAGATGAAAAAGGATCGTCAGTCAGTGCATGACAGACGCTGGAAAAGTGATGGAAACTTACCAAGAACCGGCCGTTGAGGGTCTCGCGACGCTGCCTCTCGACGGCGTTGTGGGTAGCGCGGCGCTCGGCGGTGTTGGCGCGGCGGCTGGGCTTCCTCTTGACACCGGCGGCGCCGTTGGCAGCGCCAGAAGTGGGGGAGGAAGGCTGTGCCTGGGCGTTGCTAGCCTGATCGGGAAGGGACATTGCCTGAGGGTCAGTGGGGGAGACGGGGGTACGAGGGGGAACAGAGCTCTCGTCAGAGGCGGGCGAGTTGCCGACAGAGACGGGGGCCATAGGGGAAGCAATAGTCATGGCCATCAAGGACAGTGGTGATGTGGAATGGGTCTAGGTACAAAGGAAGAGTAGCGTGGATACAGCAAAGACGGAGTTGAAACAAGGAAAAAAAGGCAGAAGAGACTCGAGAGTTGAGGCTGTAAGGAAGAGGGCTTGTGTGAAGGCTAATTCGGAGCGTGCGGGTTGCGGGAAGCGGAGAGACCGGAGAGGGTACGCGATGCTATAGAAGCGTCAAGCGGATGCCCAATGGACGGAAAAACAGCGGTATTGCAAGTAGATGGGAGTGGTCGGCGGTGGACTCGAGTTTCAAGCAGTTATTCAGAGCAGCGAGCCGGGCTCAAGCGTACTACTGAACGAAGGGTATGTCGGGGAGGATGGGGTTGGGCGGGTAGTGAGAAGCCGGCAAGGGTCGCGAGATCTGTGAGGACGTAAGTGAGCGGACATCATGGTAGATTGGGGAGGAATATACGAACAACAAGCGGTATCCTTGGGACGGCGAGGTGTAACGGAAAGGCTGAGGAGGAGGGGAAAGGTGGAGGAGGGCTGCTTGGACTCAGAAGACCATGAAGGGGAGGGGGGAAGAGGATGTAGGAAAGCGGCAACGATCCAGCTAACCGTCCTTCAATAACACTTCGGCTATATCCGTATCAATTTCCATTTATTTCCATCCTTCCATCTTTGGACTTATCTACCCGAGCCCCGACTGCCGAGTCCCCGGCCTCCGACTGTTTGGCTCCTGTTGTCCCTTGTTGTCTGTCACCCCGCCCTCCCGATGGAGTCACTCGACAACGCCCAGCGCATCGTCCACCCCCAGCTTTGCGAGTAGCCTACTAGCTTTACTGTCTCTCTAAATACCGTTCCTCACCGTACATAGGCTCAACATACGCTTACAATCTCTTACGAGGCTGCGTAGACCCCTCGAAAATTTCTGTTGTTCTCGGAAGAACTAATACATTGCCTTTCGTCGTTCGATTCCTAACGTTGCCATCACCACCCGCATCCCACATCCGTTCACCTGCCACAACACTCGACAGCCCTTTCCCGACTAGCGTTAGTCTCCTTCCCTGAACCGCTGACCACTTCACTTGATCCTTTAGCTCGACCGTCGTTGCCTCACCTCTCGATCCTCCAATTTGTTCCGCGGCGAGCCCTCCTTCCCGACTCGTCCATCCGAGAACACCATGGGAATGGTGTGACGAGGCTCAGCGAACCGCGTCACCTCACCTCCCCCCGTCATCCCTCCTGCTTTGACTCCGCTATTCCGTCACCTGTCACAACAATGACCCAACTCCAAACACCGACACTCTTCGCTCCCTCACCAGTCGTGATCTTCCCTCGGCCTCTCGAAGAAAGATGTACTCTCGAACGAGACTGCGCCCACCCACGCTGCCAGCCGGTGCATTCTCACCCGTACCCACAGCTCTCCCTTGGTACTCGCTTCGCTGGGTTCTTGGGATAACTATAATCAGCAAGGTATCACGAGCCTTTGTGCATCCAATGATCAATCGCCCAATCTATTTCCGCCTCTTCGACGACGCGACCTTCTCTTATCCTGTTCTTAGTTATCAGCTAAGCTTAGAGCTGTGAAAAGAGCATGAGCTGCGCACGCCCAGCTGCATGGTCCGACCCAACGAGCCACGCGACTGACTCTGACTGACTTGATATGATTTTCAGGAGACGGTGTTCGAAGCCGCTGAGCTTCTTCCTAAGTGCTAGACACCTGCTAAGTCAGTTATCCATCACCCATCTATGAACTGGTCTTCTCCTGTTGTACACGTTTTGCTAGCGTGTCCTCCGCGTTCTGCGGCCCGTGACCCCGCCTTGGACGGTTATGACAGTTCTCAAGTCATCGTTTTTGCAGGGTCGCAGCGGACTCGTTGCGCCTTTCGAGTGTCATGTTGCTCGATCTCCGCGGGAAACCTGCTCTTTTTCCACTTTTTACTCCTCGTTTTGCCGCTTCAACGCTTGCATTCCTCGCCATCCTGACAGCGACAGTACTTTGACAGTGCCAGCTATGTCTTGGTCCGCGGTACAGTACAGTACCAGAAAGTATGCCGGCTACTCGTTCACTGCGGATCATGGCGCTGATCTGTGTCAACCCGTAGCGTCAATGATCGAGTCATTCCGAATGAATACGGGTCGATGTGGGAGTACATCCCACCTCACTCGGAGGAATCGCCCAACAAGGCTCCCTCAGTTTCATTGCATTAAACTAAGCAGTGCCTGGCAGCTAAGCGATGGGTAACCGTCTCTGGTCTCCGGTCCCGACACCTTTTGAATGAGACTTACCTCTTGTTGCCTTGCCTGTTGCTCTTGGCCTCTGAGCCAGTCGGTGGAGGTCGGCGGGGAAATAGAACGCAACACATCGCTGTACTGTCGACGCCTGATGGTCGCCCGTAGTCGTTTACCCCTATTACAGTCTGATCGCTGATTGGAAAAGAGGGCCCCGGGGGCCCGTAGCTGGCGTTGCTGCGAGGGTACATATGTGTCGTAAGCGCAGGTAAATGAATCTTTAGGGCCGCCAGGGCCCGCCGAGACGCTGAGGCTAGGCACATCATGCTTACGACCTTGCGACCGAGTGATGCAATGATCGCCCGAGGATATCATTGGTCCTGTCAACGGTTGACGGTTCCGAGAATAGGCACGAGAACTCAACCTAGCCCAGGCTACCCAGCAGTGTTACCAGGGATAATCACATATCGACATTATAGAAGTGGCGAGCGGCAAACAGCGTCGGCACATCTGCTTCGTTTCATCTCATCAGCGCAGCGAGAAGCTGACTCGAGCAGACTCGTGCTGGCGAGACGCCACCAAGGGCACCGATTACCGAGTCAGGAGCTTCCTTATCTGAAGGGGTTATCGAAGCTACCGCAGCCAGATAAGCGACGTCGGGGGCCTTATCTCTCGTGGGGAGGGTGATCATGGCCGCCGACACCGCAACTTTTCCACGGCCGCGCCGAAGGAGAGTTCGAGACGCTTCGATGGGGCTGTTGCTGTAGAGCAGAAACTTCTTTCTTTGCTCCTCTTGTTGCAATGCTAGAGTGCGACAAGTAGGTGACTTCTAGGTCTGGTTGAATTTACACGGTTGAGATACAGCCGTGGATCTTCCGTCGGCGCCCGAATTGCAGGCTCGTAGTGACGATCATCGACCGCGACTACTCGCGCCGGCGCCTTCGTCTTGATTTCAGCCTCGCCTTGTACATAGTTGCTATGTACTGGTAGATCTCCATCAGCCGTCTCGGACGCGACCATCAAGATTCGCAATGGTATCGCGCTAATGGTACTGTTGATGTTGCTGTTCGTAGCATAGCCTCGAAAAACAAAAGACATCGAGCAAAACAGTCGAAACTCGAAATGAAAACAAGGCATCGCCTCGTTTCGCTAGGAACGGTGCTATGTTCTTGATGTCTCGAGAAAAAAACTCTCGACCGAAGGCAGAAGAACGTTTCGCGTCGATCGAACAGCAACGATGCAATAATATCAAAAGAGTGCTTCTGACCATGCCCGATGCAACGTAGCTCGAGAGACTTTTTGTGTGTTCAGTTTTCCATTTCCGAAGTTCTAGTATTTACATGGGTTTGATTTATATTTCTAGGTAGTTCCCCCAGTGGCACGAAACCCTGCTCTCGGCCAGTTTTTATATCAGACTGTTTCGTTGGCACTTTATGGTTACAAGCTACTACAAGGTAAACATTTTACGACGTTGGGCGGGTTTCAACAAAATAAAGCAAGCTGATTTGCCTCTCAGCCAAGCTCTCAGCTGTCCAGCATTAAACTTGTTCAGCACACGAAGTCCACATTCCAGAAGTCTACGACACTAAGAGAGCTATAAAATAACGACTAAATAGTACGATAAACAAGCAGACCCATAGGGCAAGATGAAGCCCCGCACCTCGTCAGATCAGATTCTACTTGGAGCAGCGACATGGTACCTTTGGCGTGATTGCCACGATTTGGCCACGCCACGCCACGCTGCTGCATTGTGTGAAAGCGTCGATAGCGGAGTTAGCTTTGATTGCCTCTAAAAGCCAATCGTCTCAAAGATCAGCTTGCCTCCGATGCTTTCAGACTTTACAGTTTGTGGACTCCAGTGGAGTCGGTCAGAGGATCCACCACGGGACTAGATGCGCACATGTGTTCGTTGCCCCGCCGACGCCGACACGGTCCTGAATTAATTGCACTCACCTGTTCTCTAGAGCTACCGTAAAGCTATCGAGGTACCAAGAGAGGTAATAGAGGTACATACCGTAGGTACTATTCTTGACTCCTATAGAGTCTTATAGAGCTGCGTTGTCCAAGTGGGTACAGTAAGATGTCACATTTGCAAACTCCATGATGGCGACCTCTGGCGCCCAGTACCATGGCCGGCGGGTCCCTGGGCCGACGCCGACATTGGTACCGTCCGCCAGATGCAGCGAGCGAACTCGGTCTGGGACTTCCGCGACACGTCAACGACATTGTGTAAGATACGCCAAGAAATACGCAACTGCAGACGTTGCGGTGACGCGTCCCGCTCCAGCCCGAGCGCTCCGGAGCAGCGGTAATGCCGGGGCCGCCGTGCCGCTGACGCAGCCACCGTTTGCTTTCGGCTGGGGATTGTGCCCTATTAATTGTGCCCTCCCGCTCTTCTTTCTTCCGTCTGCCACCTCACCCGGACGTCGACCCAAACACTCGGTCATCGCGGTCTAGCTTTCCGCCGGCGAACACGGCGAGATAAAATGGTAAGTAGCGATGTATTGACTCTAGAGTGTGCTCACGATTGCACGATTGCAAGGATGGTGGTTAGATCCACGGCCGACGGCTGTCCCTATCGGTGGCGGCATTCCGAAGCCGGACGGCGCTAATTCCCCAGTCAAGCAAAGCGACCGCCGATCGTAGCTGCAGTGATCAAAATGGCGCGACGGCCCGCTCATAATTGACATTGATGTGTTGGCACTGTCTCCCGGGATGTCGCTGCGGAAGGCCTTCCTCGGTGGCTAGGAGCGAGGCGCTCGTTGACGTTGTCGTTGGCACATAAAATCCTTAAATAAAGGATAAAAATACTGGAAAGATAGCTGTCGAATATAATATGGGGAAATTGAATTAGCACTTTGGTTGACGTGTAAGTAAATAATGTCTCGATCTCATTTTGCATATTTGACTATTCACGAATTGACTTATTTCTGACTGAGCTATTCGTGTCTATATTGAACGCTGGGCACTGCAACCCACAGCACTAGAAAAAGCGGGAGCTACTTAGAGCTCTGATAAGCTGACACATAATTACGAATGCTTTGCATACAGTTAACTCAGCTTTGAAGGGAGATAACTTCCGTGAAGGCTCCGCTGATTCGATCACCCATCAATCTAATATTGGGCGCTGTCGAGCTATAATTGAGGGTTCTGTCTTGTCCTGTCAAAGGCTCGGTGGATGCAGCGGGAGAAATGTTCTCCACTCCCACATCATGATCATTTTGTCATAATAATACAGAATGCATACAAAGCGGCTGGTCTTCGGAAAAATAACGACACAATTCTTTACTGAGACTTGAGGCTCCGCCACGAAAAGATTCGATGTTGACTTACTGGCTGTCGTAAACTGCGGTAGCAGCTCTGCCAAGGAAGTGTTGTGTCAGAATGCTTTCTACTATCGTTTCGTTTCTGGGACGTCTGATACCCGCCGCACCTGGCGAACAGAGTGCTTCAAGCTTGAGATCTTGAGAGCTTGCTTTTAATCGTTTGATATTGTGTTGCTATCCGTGCGAAGTAAGACACACTCAAGGGCTTTGGGCGCTTAACACCATCGGACCGGGATCGGATAATCTGGCACGCGACTTTGGGACTACAGCCAAGCCACTAACAGCCAAAATCTTGCTACATCCACAATCCGTCGGTGAACACATCTTCTAGAAAACCAGAGATTAAGCTCATGAACTCACCAGCGAGATGGCAGATGGATCTCAGGAAAGTGTGCCTCGGCGGCTAGTGGTGTTGATCTCGGGATCTGGTGCGTCGCTTCTTCACTTCCTGCACCAATCATCCTCTTTACTCCTGATCACCGCCTCCCCTTGAGTTTAGGTACCAATCTACAAGCGATCATAGATGCTCTGAACACCCCTTCCCTCCCGAATGCCCAAATCGTCTGCGTGCTCTCGAACCGCAAGGCCGCGTATGGCCTCACGCGCGCGACGAACGCGGGTATCCCGACGCAGTACCTCGCACTGCAGCCGTACCTCAAAGCGAACCCCGGAAAGTCAAGGGAAGACTACGACATCGAGGTCGCCCGCATTGTCGTGCGCCAAAAGCCCGACGCGGTCGTCCTCGCGGGGTGGATGCACGTCCTAAGCGAAGGGTTCCTCGACGTTCTTGGTGGAGCACGCGTCTTGGATGGCGAAGAGAAGGTCGAGAAGCCAATTCCGGTGATCAACCTCCATCCTGCGCTGCCTGGTGCTTTCGACGGCGCGAGCGCAATCGAGCGTGCATACGAGGCGTTTCATAGGGGCGAGATTGAGCATTCGGGGGTGATGGTGCACCGTGTGGTGAAGGAGGTGGATCGGGGCGAGCCGCTGATTGTCAGGACGGTGGAGATCAAGAAGGGTGAGCCTATAGAAGCATTTGAGGAGAGGTTGCATCAGGTGGAGTGGGAGATCATCGTTGAAGGGGCGAATAAAGTGCTCGATGAGGCTGTGCCTTCATCGTAATGTTGCTCTTTGTAAGACAGACTTACAATTTCACTCTGCTCGTTCAGAACTAGTAGTCCATGCTTCCTAAAAAGATTGCAGACGCTTTGCATTATATATGTCAATATTGAATAGGAGGGAAAGTTCAAATGGGGTTGAAAGACAGTTCAAGTAGCAATTATGAGCTTGAGAGTTATTAAGCATGAGGATGCGGGGAAAGGAGAACAAGCAACTTGACCAAAGCAAATAGACGGGACATGATAGCAACGAGAAACAGGAAGACACCACACGGGCGCATTATAATAGAACATCTAGACGAGAGCATCATAACAGAATGAATCAGTTGCGGCATACTGCCCCCAAAGAAAGGATACAAAGGGCAAACCCGACTAGACAGCAAGACGAGAGCGGAAAACGAAAGCAAAGCGACGCGGAATGCGTTATTATGAGACGTCGTCAAACATGCCAAAGTCATATGAGGAACTCGTACATATACATGAAACACGAAATCAAATATTAATATAAGAGTCAAAACGAGGCAAGACCATTATGGAGAAAGCGAAAGTACGGTAAGTTCGTAAAAATCTATGAATGAAATCGTGAAAAGAGTGAAAGCAGCGAAAGATTAAAGGCTAGAATCGCGGTCATTGTGATACGTTACACATTAGGTCAGTCCAGGCCATATACTGAGAAGACGAAGGGCGCAGGGTAGTCGCCGGCCGGGAAAAATACAAGAGCTTTGAATGTAAGGCGCCACGAGAAGTGGCACGGGGACATCCTCGGTCATGTCGGTTGTACACATTAATTACCTAGAAGGCGATGCATCGTAAGTTTCATATGTGCACCCGCGGAACACGAGGATCAGGGATCCACTTACGTGGTTAGGTTAGGTGCCGTATAAATGTGATGCACGTTTACATTACTTTGGTTTGAATGGTGATTCATGAGCTGGGGAGAAACGTTCAAGTTGAAGGAAATGAGGTGAGGATCACGGGCGTGCGGACACCACGTTGCGCGGGCCTGGGAGGGCGTGTGTTGGCGCTGCTGGAGGGCCGTGGCGCCGGTGGTAAGGAGGCGGTGCGAGGGGCCTGAACCCTGTGAGCTCCGGGTCGATCGACGTTGCGTCGGAAGACGAAGACGAAGAGGTTCGGAGGCCAGGAGGGGGAGCCAGGGTGTCGTCTTGCTCGGAGTCGGGCCAAAATATTGGGAGGATTTTGCGACCGAGCCGAAGGGTCTAGATTTTATTTTGTTTAATCAGTTTATTGGATCGCGTTTTGTGCAGCTTAAGAGGCTCACCTCTGGGTTATCCGCGGACGTTGGTGGCACATGGCATTCCGGGAACTTGTCACCCGCAGGAATATGCACGGTCTGCCTCCGGCTCGGGGACGATCCTGACGCGGACGAGGGGGGCGGGAGCGAGACCATGTGCTCGCGCGAGTACACCCACTCTTCGCGCCGTGTTCGATGGGGCCGGGAGCACGAACGAGTGCGAGAACGTGTCGCAGAAATCGGAGCCACGGAGACGACAGGTAGAGATCTGTCCTCAGTATCGTTGGAGCCAGACGCCGAAGTGGACGCGGACGTAGAAGCCGTCAACGCGCTCTCGGCGGACGAGTACGACTCCTTCTTGCGCAGCTTGGCGCCGATTATATCCGTGAGCGATTTCTTTTTCTTCGGCTTCGGAGCCTGCGCCTGTGATCCGGGGGTAGATGTAGACACGGTGCGCGTCCTAGGCGCTGCTCGAGCGCAGGAGATCGGGCAGTGGCAGCCTTTCTTTATTTTCATTCCGGCAATAATGCGCGAGCGGACGTCTGCGAGGTTGATGCGGAGGCGGGCTGTACGGGTGCCGGTATTGGTGGTTGCAAGCTGAGTACCCTGACTAGGCATAAATTATGCGAAGTAGGTGTTAAAACTTGGGATAAAAGAAGAGGAACAGGCAAGCAGGTGGAGAATGACGATCTAGAAGTTGTTGACTTACGAGGGAAGGATTAGTGTGCTAGGCTGTAGGGTACGGAGGAATGCGTACCTGGGCGAAGGGCCTGTGTTATATACTGATATGTTGCAGCTAAGCGAGGTCCAGGCGGGGCAGTGGGCGATGGGCGGTGGTCGACCGTTCGTCAGACAATACGGAGTCTGCGCTTAGCGATGGATAATGGTCGACAAAAGCGCTCGGTTGGATCGGCCCGCGTGGATTATTGCGTATGAGGCACGGAGGGGGAGGGTCGCGTCGGGCGGGTGGACCGGTGGACCAGGGACGTAGGAGCGATAAAATCGCGGGTGGAGCTGGGCGAGAGAGAAAAGAAGAAAAAGAGAAGAGAGATCCAGACGGTGAGGCAGGAGCTTGGGGTTTTGTAAGGATCGGCCATTCGCATTTTTGGAGGGCACGATGTGCGAACATGCGTCTTGGTCGTGGTGTTTTCGGGTAACAGACGTGAGTACGTTGTACATCTGCATCTGTGTCGCACGATCATGACAAGCCAAACGGCGACGAATCGCATGGGAGGGTAACTGGAGGAACGCATTTTTTTGCAGGGTAGCACCTACGTATGGACCAGCGAGGGAGGAGAAGACTTGATACTCTAGAGCTGTGAAGAGGCCATTGTGACGCCAAGTCCGGATTCCAGACCTTCATCTGGGCCTGGGGTGAGTACACGTGGCCACAGGGAACGGAACAGCGTATGCATGAAACGCGGATGGCTGACGATTTGCTCGATGAACCGGATGGATGTCAAAGCGACGCTTTCTTGCAGCCTTCGCGGTAGAGAGACAGATGAATTACATAAAAAAAAGCGACGCTTCATGTCAAACAATGAGCTCATTGATTTGCCATTAACACGAGACAAGAGCGGACGAACCCCTTCAGGGCCTAAATCCGATGCTCCTGGATACGGGTCGGAAATTGACAAGATGAGAGTCCGAACTAGGCTTGCCTAAGACCTGCCATGTCCTCGAACCAGTCGACGAGAGTGGCAACTTTTCTGACTGCGGCGTCGCTAGCTCCTAGACGTAGATCAGGCCTGAAACGCCTGTCCTCGTGCGTGTAGGGCATCGTGCGGTAGCAAATCTCGAGGACGGGCTTGTTGTACGGCGAAGCGGTAAGCACCACCGAGGAGCCAGGGTCGCATGCCGCTCTGAGATCTGTACGGGGCCAGCCAATGCCGGTTTCAGCGGGCGGTAATTTATGACGCATGCTAAGGGCGTGCGGCTAAAAAAACACAGCCCGACTTACTTTCGATGTACACGACGTCGCCTCGCTTTAGGCCCGGTGCATCCCCCGAGCCGCCCCACGTTTCCGCGACGTCTCTCCAGGCGGTTAGTTTGCATATGGAGCCGTCTTCGTCACCAAGGACGAGCTTGAGAATCGAGACCTCTGTGCCTGTGTCGATACCTCTCTTGAGGTGAATGGTGTCGGGGCCTTCGACCTCTATAACAGCGACGAGAACAGAAACCTTGGTAGGATAGCTGGGTGATCGCTTGAGGGTTTCGATAGGAAGGACTTTGTGCAGACTAAACTGGAAGCTGGGGAAGCGCGCGATGGAGGAGGCATTGGAGTAGTCGGCTAGAGATGAGACGTTTTGGGTTTCCCAGGTTGCTTCTTGGGTTGGGCCTGGGAGCGAGCCGGAAAGGCGAAGGAAACTGGGTGCTGTAGTGTCAGGATCTAGAGGGTCTGCGCTGGGTGGCCAGGAGTATATTGTGGTTTGATCTGCATATATGTGACGTGTGTTACGACGTGATGAGAAACAGTGCAAAGGAAGCTGGAGGACCTTTTGGAGAGTCAAACGATTGGGAGGCCAGGACTTGAGTCTCTACAAAGGCTTCTTCATCTCGGGTATTGTCAAATATGATGTTCTGATAGAGTATGGAGATGCGTCGCGAGGCTGCCTCCAGGGTGGCAGGTGGGTACACAAGAGAAGCTCCCTCGAGAGACGAGCGGTGTTGAGAGCTCGCTGAGGATACTGACTGCCACCGATATTCTGAAGGATCATTGTGTATGTCAGAAAGTTTTGGTGCCCCTAGAAAGACGCGGTAGTGTGTCATTGTTTGTTTCAAAGGAGGACGAGCGGGACAAAGTGGAGATATAAACGTCACGTGATGGACGTGCCGACACGCGTGATGTTGTTGTTGCTTTTTCCAACACACCAGACCCCGCGTCGCCACTTCCTCCTCAGTCTGCAGGTCTCCTGTGCCCCTTCCACTCGCTATGGGCTCCTTTCTTGAACAGTATGAGACACTCGACATCATCGGCAACGGCTCCTTTGGAATCATTCGGAAGGTCAAGAGAAAATCCGACGGACATGTGCGTGCTGCCCGCGTGTCCACGAGGCGTTGCTCACCCTGCGCATTCACAGGTCTTTGCAAGAAAGGAGCTTAACTTTGAGAAGATGACAGAGCGCGACAGGAAGCAGATAGTCGCTGAAGTGTCAGTCCCTCTGCCCTCTAGATTACCATTGCCTTCGTGTACTCGTCCTCATCCTACCCACACAGAAACATTCTCAAAGAGCTCCATCACGACCACATTGTCCGATACTACGACCGATATGTCGACCGTGAAGCTGGCATCCTCTACATCGTCATGGAGTACTGCGGCGGTGGTGACCTTTCCTCCATCATCAGGCAATCGCAACGCCATAACCGGCCAATACCCGAGGACACGATATGGAACTACTTTATGCAGCTCTTGCTCGCTCTCCAGCACTGCCATCACCCGTCAAGCAGTAGCCGTGGCGGTAACACGGCTGGAGGAGAATGCGATGGCAAGGAGAAGCGGTCGCAGATATTACATCGGGATTTGAAGCCAGATAACGGTGCGTTCCATCGCCGCTTTCTTTCTATGATATCTCTAACCGCTATGCTCTCAGTCTTTCTCGACGAAGCGAATAGGATCAAGCTCGGTGACTTCGGCCTCTCGAAAGCCCTCTCCCAGAGCAGCTTCGCCAACACTTACGTCGGCGTACGTTTCTCCCATACCATCACCTCCCGTCTGCCTACCTTACCAACATGACCTCCCCCCTCTCGGCAGACGCCATACTACATGTCGCCTGAGCTCACGCAGGGTAAAGCCTACGACTCAAAGTCGGACATCTGGTCGCTGGGTTGCCTCATCTACGAGCTCTGCGCACTCAAGCCTCCCTTCGCCGAAGCCAAGACGCAAAGCGAGCTGAGCGCATTCATCAGGTATGTCCTATGTTATCGCCCCGGACCTGACTCTCAAGCGTGTCCCTGATATCGGATATGATGTAGGAGCGGTCGCATCCCGTCATTGCCCAGAGAGTACAGTCAGTCGCTGTGGACTGTTATTAAAGCCATGCTTAATCTCAACGTGAGCACTATGGTACGAACATAACAGTCGCTCCTGCTAACGTTTGTCATCCATCCAGCCCGCTATGCGGCCATCAGCAAATCAGCTCCTGCAGCACGAGCGACTCGAGCTTGCAGTCAAGGTCTCAGAGACCGAGCAAATGTAGGCTCAACTCTTCCTTCCCATTGAATCGTATCCCTTCCATGAGATTGACCAACATCATCTGCAGGTTGACTACAGTCAAGAACCACCGCGCTGCAATCGTATCGAAAGAGCGCGAAGTCGCCACCCGAGAAGCCGCTGTTGCCGAGCGCGAAGCCCGCCTCGCAACCGCCGTCGCCGAGAAAGAAGCCGAAGTCCGCCGCCTCGAGGAGCAGCTCACACACCTGTCTCAACAGGCACAGCAGGCCGCTGCCGCTGCTCAGCAACAACAAGCCCCGCCTGAAAGTGTCATCGAGGAGCGCATACGTGAGGCAATCGCGAAGCGGGAGGAGGAGCTGCGTGTGGCGGTCATAAAGCGGGAAGAGGAGGTTGCACGGGCGATCGCGCGGCGCGAGGAGGAGATTATGGAGGCGGTGCGGAAGCGCGAGGCGGACGTGTGCGAGGCGTGGATGAAGCGCGAGGAACAGATTAGGGTGGAGATGGCACAGACGATGGAGGAGCGCACGGGGTGGATACAGCAGCGCGAGCGGGATATGCAGGCCGAGCGCGAAGAGTTCGAGAAGGTGCGCAAGGATTTGGAGGAGCGAGTGAGGGCGATGGGTGATAGTAATCGTAAGGGTATGTACAATTTCTATTGGTATGTTGGGAGAAGGAAACTAACGATCGGGTGTTATCAGGACAAAAAGAGAAGACACCGCTCGAGGAAGTCAAGAACCTTCTGGTCCCGTTCAATCAGTTGACAGACGAGCATTCCCGCGTTGCCACCATCCAGCCCAAGCCTGACGTCCCCACCCACGATGTCAAGACGCCCGTACCGCAGCATCGCACATTGGCACGCGACATGCCCATGCCAGCCTCAGCGATGAAGGGCGTTGTACTCACGAGCACCGGGCAGCCGCTCAGCACCCCCACCCCCGCCGAACTCGCAAACCTGTTCGTCAACTCGCCAAGGGTCGGATTGGACTTTGGCAAGATTTTCGAGTTCGAGTCGGATCCGGAAACGGATGAGGAGCGCGATGGCGATGAGGGCCTGGGCGACGACGATGACCTGCCGCCGAGTCCGTCCAAGCGCCCGAATCCCCTCGACGCGGACACGACGATCCATGCGCCCGTGCATGTCCCGGCGCTAGGCCGCAGGCGCTCGAGGGACCCGTCGCCGGCGCTCAGCGCGAGTCAGAGGCCAATGCGGATGCACAGACCGTCGTTGGTTCGTGGTGGTGCCTCAGGCTCTGGTACAGGCACAGGCACTGGTTCTGGCACTGGTTCTGGCTCTCGGAGGACATTCACAAGAGCCGCGACAATGCCCGCGTCGTCTTCGGAGCCGATCAGCATCGCACCCAACCCGTCGGCTGCGGCGCAGAGTGCGAGTGCGAGCACGCGGGTGTCCAGAAGCGTGAACGGCGCGAAGAGGCCGGTGTCTGCCACCATCACCGCGTCGGTCTCGGCTACCACTGTTTCTGCCAGTGCGAAAGGCTCGACGGCAGGTGCTTCTTCGCAGCCCGCCCCGGAGTATGACCTTAGCGACGAAGAGAACCTTCCCTCTCCGTTCCTGAAGCGCGTCGAGCGCGAGCGCGGGATGCCGGCACCTTCGCATTCGCAGCGTGAAACTAGCACGGCCAGCGCTCGTACGGGGAGCGGGGCACAGGGTGTGAAGAAGCGTGCGAGTAATGGGCACTTGTTGCGGGCGGTGGCGGCTGCTAACTCAGCTGCGATATCGTCGAGGCCTGTGAAGAACAGTGTCAGCACGGGTAGTTCGAGTGCTACCACTCGAGCTGCGGGAGCGGGGTCGAGGCCAGTATCTAGTCTCGTGACTACGCGGAAGGCGAGTGAGGAGACAAGGAAGATGGCGCTGAGATCATGACAGATGTGCGATCTGTTAGTGATGGACGGAACGAAGATGGCGGACGGTATTTATCTGTGAAACCTGGCTTTTGTGTGTTGTTGTTTCGTTACGCATATTCTTATCTTCATCTTCATGAACAAACACTCACTGTTGCATTTTCTTGGCTTACGTTCATCCATACAACAAATGCAGTTCAATCCACATTACGATAATTATGGCCAGCTATACAAGCAAGAGCGTGCTATCCTAGATGACTCCCCAGCCATCGCAACATTATACATGCATGTACTACAGTTTGCTGCTAATACCACACCTGTAGTATCACACATTTGAGCCTGAAATCGCAGCACTGCGCTCCGGCTCACGAGCAGGACGACGCCTCAGACGCAGATCCCGCGTCGTCAGCCCCATCCTCATCCTTGACCGCCTTTCTCTTGCGCGACGCGCCAGCAGCGGCCTTCTTACCATTTGGCTTCGGCTTGTCCTTTGTGTTCTTCGCCACGACCGCCTTGATTTCCGCTGTGAGCTCCTTCTCCAGCTCACCTGCGTCCTGCTCTGAGCCCGAGAGGCGGTTCAGCGACGCGACCTCGGTGCGCCATATGTCGATGCCTTCGTTACTGGGGGTCTCGAGGATGATGGGCATATTCTGCGTGCGCGGGTCGGTGAGGATGTAGTGGAAGGTGTGCATGCCGAGGTGGCCGCTGGGCGGTGGACGTGGTCAATTAGTAGCCGAGGCGGGTGTAAAAGGAATGGGAATTGAGGTAGGGACGTACAGCCCGATATTCTCGTGGCGGTCTCGCTTGGAGCCTAACGCTGCTTTCGAGTCGTTCATGTGCAAGCCTTTGAGGTAGGATATGCCGACTACTTGGTCGAAGTCGGAGACTGTTGCAGCGGTCGGGTGAGCCACAGGGTTTGAGATGTTATATGGGAACGGGGCAAGGTACGGACCTACTGAGCTATAGCGAGGCTTGGGTAAGATGCGGACATAGAAATGTGAGTTAGACCTACCTCCATCCTTCCGCAGTGGTGATGTCGTAGCCCTAGATGAGCGAAGGTGATTGAGTGGGGAGGCGGGCAAACGAGAAGCGCTCAAGACGTACAGCCGCGTACATGTGACCTGGTCAAAGACCCATTTTGCTAAGAATCCGGAGGACGTGAAGGAAACGAGGGACATACACGTGTCCAAGCAGACGCCCACTCTGCCTTTGTCCTCCACGAGCCGTATGATGTCCGCTAAATCTTGAAACGCCGAACCTATAATGTTCCCAGCACCGGCCTGCCTCAGTCAGTTCGAGGACGAAAACATGAGCTGCGTTAGAAGGTTACCATGTTTTCGATCACTGTGATTATTGAAGTAGTGGCTTTGTGCGCGCGGTTCAGACATTCAGCGATGTGCGCCACCGATTCTTCACGCGTGGCTTGCCCGACAGTTGACCCAGGACTGTAAGTAGATGATGATTTAGGTGTGGGCAGGTACGTTGAGTAGACGTACTGGAAATTGTACAACTCGAGACCGAGCTGTTCGCATCGCTGGAGGTCATCCAAAAAGCACTCGTACGATTTCTCCCGCTTCTCCCTGGATGAATGAATGATGGTATTAGTATGGGAGTCAATGTTACGTAGGTTTATTCATTGAGACTCACTTGTCTGGGTTACCGAGGTTGATGAGATAGCTCCCATGAGGCAAGACATGGGATGATGAGTAACCGAACGCCTTCATGCGGGACTTGAAGAGGGAGACAGATTCTTCGGACATGGGAGGAGACGTCCACTTGCGTTGGGATTTGACAAACAGTCCAAATGCGTTCGCACTGGTAGTCACTTGTAAGGGGACTCGGGGATCGACGCTGAAGCTCCCTAAATATGAGGACTAACCCAATACGCGCCGCGTTGATAATGGCATTCTCTACGCCTCCCGCTGCTGAGACATGGGGGCCAATCTTCCAAAGATTCGTGATGCGAGGTGGGCAGTCTTCAGGTGTCAGCTCAGCTTCTGCTGCGGCTTTCTTGCGCTTCGGTTTTGAAGCGGTGGGCTCAGCTGAGTTGCGGTGTCGCTATGAGCGATTGGTCTTTCGAGGAAACATCGGGCAGCGTGGTATATGACGTACGTTCAGCCTTGTCAGCCGCAGGTACACCTTCTGCTTCCATGGTTTTCCGACGTCGTTTGCGCGCAGGAGCGGTTGTTGCTTCATGCACCTGGGTGTCTGGGTCGTCCTGACTGGTAGTACTGACTTGCGTCACTCCTGTAGAATGGGCTAGTCTTGTAGACCTCCTGCTTGCAACCATGAGCGACACAAAAGTGAGAGATGTGATCTGAAAGGGGAGAATATGTCGATTGGGGAAGAGTGAGAACGAGGAACGCGTCAAGGCGCGGAGCATCGTCGCGTTGATGGTGAAAGTGCGCTGCGCTCCAAGTTAGCTGTTCGGCCCGTCGGACCGGGCGCGGCACTGGTCGTGTCTTCGTGCCTTCGATGGCTCCCACTTTGTTCTCGACCATGTTCGAAAGTTCACTCTAGATTCTCCCCTACAATGGATGCATCATTGCCTCAGCACATTGCGGATCTCTTTCTGAATCCTCAGGTTAATCGGTTCAAGGACGCTTTCGCAAGGATGATTGACCCTCATGAAGATCCGAACTTCGCGCTACAAGTCACAGTGAGTAGCAATCATCGGGATCACGATTCCATTAGATATTCATATGCTTTAAACGACTAATAATGCCCTCGTTTAGAGGCGTATGGACAAAGAATTCTCGGAAGAGGTCCTCGACCTTGAAAAGAAACCGCCTGGCTCTCAATGTGTCGGCCCCACAGCGCGAATGCTGCTCGGCGCCGGTTTGATACACGCGGCCATCGCGATATCAAGGCAGGATTGGCCGCCAACCAGGCCCTACAAAGAAAGAATCATGACTCAGTACTACTCTCTAAGTGCACTTCGCAACCTGACCCGGACCGGTAGCAATTCTGAACGGCGACGGCTTCGGGATGACATGTTAAGGGAAGACATAGTGGAGCTATGTCTGCAGGTGCGCTTACGTTCATACAGATAATCTAATATATAATAACGAGAATTGTGTACTCCCAATCGCAAAATCGTCCCATCGTATTAGCACTTGCGACGTCGTCTGTGCATCATGCACAAAATTGTCGTCGATCTTCTACGAACACTAGGAACTGATGGTTTCCTTGTTGAAAATCTATCCTCATCGTTGGCTGCTGACATTATTGAGGCTATTTGCCTCTATGCACTCGCGGGGCCAAACCATGTCGTTTCTCAGATGCTTGATCCAGTGGCATCATGGCAAATTTTGGTCTTTCCCTATGTAGCTAGCGAGGTAAGTCGAGCATGCTACGTGTGTATTATGCCTGTGAAACAGAATCCGAAGGAAATTTTGAATTGCAGATACCTGGAGATGAGGCGGCAAAATTTGCGCCTGTGTACTATCATGCGTCCCAAAACTCTGCAACTGAGGCCGTGTACGTCCTAATGAGCACGATTCCATCTCGGTCGAATACATACCGTGGCGAAATTCTGAAGAAGAAACCGCAAATTATCGATCTTCTTCTTGACTGTGCGGTTATCGATCGATATCCTGGCAACCCATCGGCGGGGTGTTGCCTACATGCATGCAATTCGCTGGCCATTTTTCTTCAATGGCCAATTCAGGTCGTTCCCGGGATACCGACACTCCCGAATGCAAACTTCAAGGCAGGACAATGGAAGCCGATGCTGCATATCATGACAACTCTTACATCTCGCTCAGATTGGGCCGAGAAGTTGGCTGAGGTATGGATGCACGTCCAAGAAGAAGACATGGCGTTAGCTCAAAGGTACGTCATGTGCGATTGTCATCTTTAAATCCCGTTAAACTCAAGACTTGCGCATAGCTATGTTGAGAAGTCAGCAAACGCAAATCAGGATCAGCGACTCCCAACGAGCGGTCAACTAATTGAGTCCATCCGCATATGTCGCGGTACGGTCACCTTCGATAGTACAGTCGATTTCATTCTGACTTCGTATTGCTGTTAGGCACTATTCGCATTATGGTGCTTAGACTATTAGCGACGCTCACACACGCAGCGGAATCGTGCGGGATAACGAATGCTCAGATAGAGTCTTTCCTCCACATTGCTTACTATGCTTGCGACAAAGCCAATTCCGCAGAACTATGCACTTCGAGTCAGGAAACTCTCGAAGCCTTGGAGTACGGTGCGGAGTTCTTTGTATTCGACGGATTTGGCCAACCGTTCGGAGTCGCACGCCAAAACGTCCTCGGGCCTACTGCACTCGTTCGCTTGCTAGTGGTACTCGCTCAGTAAAAGGCACTCGGCGGGATACAGATCCTCAAGAAGGCGCCAACTGGTCTTTCGTCGTCCACATCGCTGAGTCGAATCCAGCACATCACACATCCAGACATCATCCGTCGCGTCATAAAAATCTCTCAGCTGCGTATACTCGATCGAACGGAACAGGGTCGGAAACGCATTAGGGAGAAGGAGAGCGATGACGACATTCATGCGGCTTGCTGGTTGTTCGCCACGTCAGCAGAGCTAGCGGCAGCCATTGTGGCATTGGACACCCACACGGAGGGTGTTTACGCAGCAGAGGCGCTAGGTGCGCGGAAACAGCTTGTCATCGCCCTTGGCAATGCCTCGCAAATGGCACTCAACCTTGGACTTTACGTTTGTGCACTGAACTATGCCTCTGGTGCTATCGAGGCGGCGAAGGATACACCTCCCGAAGAAGGCTTGGATCCATCCATCCACCGAGAAAAACCGGCAAAGGGCCATCCAAGCTAGTGCAGGACTTGAAAGCCGTTGATCTCATGGTAATGTGGTTACGGAGTTCTCCTTTTCATCCCTCCACTATGATTTTTTCACCCATCTCTTTCTTTGTTCCATATGTCGTAAATGTGTTAGGATCAGGACCAAGACTAGGTAACTAATTTGCGCTGTATCGTTTGATGCTCGATGCGCACTATATAATCAACTGGTGACATTTTAGTGTCACGCTGAGAACAGCAGCGTGAAAGACCAACGTTAATTTTTCAAAGATTGCCGAATTTAACGCGACTCTGAGCACCTGCAGGGGGATAAGAGTGAACTATTGTCGTTTGCTTCAAGCTCCCAAAGTAAAAACTAGTGTTTATCCCGCAAGTTATTCTGCGTGGAGAAAGCGAGCCGTGATATGAAGTGAGACACAGATTCACAGACGGTATCCCCACGCCAGATGAAAGCGCGAAACACGTCGTCGTCGTCGTATTAATTCAAGCTGGCGCAGTCGACGGCGAGAAACCGATGAGAGCAAGCGCTAGCCACCGCTTCCCACACATTGAAACTCCGATAGATCGCGGATTTCGGTCGGCTTTGAACGCACTGCAGACAAACGGCGATTTTATCCGGGATGAAACCGAGAGAAAGAGGCGGCGAGATGAAAGCCTTTTCCTCCGAGTTTTGGAACCCCCTTCTGCACAGGAAAAGGTATTCTCTTAGCCAGCATTTGCGTCAATTTTGCGCTGGTAAAATGGACGGGTTACCGAATTTGGACTCTAAATTCCCGATTTGGACGTGTTTCTATCTAATCTCCGCACAGAAATGCAAACTCCGAGGCAAAATTTAACTTTTCAGTAACTTTTCGCACAGCAAAAGATGGGTGAAAAAGGCTTTCATCTGTCCGCCTTCTTCAATCACTTTTTGTAACAGAAAAATCGCAGTTTGTCTGCGGTGGTACTGTTTCATGCTGGGAAGGATCGGCTTTTTTCAGTCGGAGATTTAATCTTGAAGGGGATAATATTAATTGCACCTGTGGACGTCCACTGATGCCAATGTCAAGTTTGATGTGTTCTGTCAGAATTACGTCTAGTATTCGACCCTTTACGGCTTTATTGGTTCATCCAGAAGCCTCCTGTACGGCGATGTTCCTCTACGAGGTCTACAAGTAAACACCGCCTTCATACGTCTATTCAGGCGCTTAGTATCCCATAGGTACTTTAAGCGCTTACGCACTCGTGTGGCTCCGCGTTCATCGCAATGGGCCACGTTCTGCTTACGTAGCCGTCCTGCATTACCGTGGGACTTGGACTGCATAGTAGTTACGAATACGGTAGTGACTTCACACGCTCCTGTCATATATATACAGTCGCTACCATGAATATCATCTAAGTCTTCTCTCTCCACCGAACGACTACCATCGTCAGCTATCAGCCTAACCCGCTACTACTCAACCTTCAACACTAACTGCCCGGTGAGTCTGCGCTTTCATAGACATCCTAGCTATACTCGCGTCAGTCCTTTGTCATGTTCAACACCGTGCCTTGGGGAGTCTGGGGGATCATCTGTCGGCGGAGCCTGGCGCTGGGATGCCAAATAATTCTGATCATATCTACCTAATTCGTTCGAGACGATCCGTTGCGGATCATGTACTCGAGTGCTGTAGATGGCAGGCCCCTTGGTCAAATTCCCTCATTGTGAGTCACTTGATAACATTGTACACCATCTTTCGTCAGGATGATTATTGTTGTCAGTGGTACAAAAGCTTGTCGAGTTTTCCGGCTGACGTCGAACGTCGGTTGCATATGTGGCCATCTGATAGTTGCGCATCTTTTTGAACACGAGACACAATTGGCAGTGCACCTACTCACACATCGGCATTGACTCGGGTGCTTGTCGGTCAGCTCCTTTTGTATCAACTTTGAAGCTGAAGCCTTGCGGAGAAAGGCGCAACGCGCGGTCGTAACTTGTTCGATGTCGAGACGTTTCCCAACAGCAGGCGTACTCGCATTTACAGCAAACATCTGCATGCATGTGACAATGGCACTGTAGCACAGGAACACTGCATGCCAGAATTGGTAGGCCTTCGAGCATCATATGATGACAGTGTTTCACCACTGGAAACCGAGTGTTCTGCTTCATCCTGCACTCAAGAGTCGAGGGCCGCCATTTGAACAGGTAAGTCATATCGGGGCAAGTACTTTTCAACCGTGAACGTTGAGCTTTATTCATATCCTGCTCCTCCGACCAAACTCCCAGGCTGTCATGAACCCAGTACATATACACAGAATTGAAGGGAAGTTCGTATGGGGTCATCAGATGACCGATCGGTGTCAGGGCAAATCGTGATTTGATGTGAATGGACGTGCCAAAGTCTTATAGTATATCGCAAACGGAAATTACCCTCGTGCCCTGTCCTTCCTTCTCTTCCCCTTCATCGCGTCTGGCTGACTCACCTTCGCGCGTGCACTCGCTCATGCAGACGAGGTCTTAGCCCATGGACTCCCTATGTCACGATGATTCGTGGATGTGGTGCAATTATCTGTGGGACCTACATTCCGAGGGTCTGGCATACGGTAGGTTTCGCTGTTGTTTGACGGTTGAGCAGCGTCATATCTCAGTTTCTACTTACAGCGTCCATCGGAACTCTGGTAATCTATGATTGGTGTACGCTAGATCAACCTTTGTCAGTCCGCTCAAGTGTGCTAAGTTGGCTCAAGTGGTGTTTCTCGATCAAGAGGCTAGTCGTCACTTGGCTCCGTACTTCGGTAGGAGAATGCTCACGCGCATGGATTGTAGGTGAAGCTTATATGGGTGAGCTCGCTTAAAGCCCTTTACGAGCATCCGAGACGCTTACCTATGACAAGAGTCGACATTGGACTCCAGTCAAGTTTTTGTACTTTATCGTATGTGGCGGTCACACAACCCGAGTCGTTGAATGTGCTCATCCCATCCGTTTTTGTTAGCTTCGGGTACTTGGGATGGTATACGGGATGTACGTGGGTATCTTCTAGCAGTCCATTGATGGTTTATTGACATTTCTTGATCAAGTACCAATGTCTGTGAGTAGTGCGAGAAGCCATTTGTCGTTATATGGCTCAAATGCAGAGTGAAGTTAACTATGCGCCTCGCCATGTATCGGATGCAGTGAGTGGTACTACCCTTACTACTACTTTATTTAACCTTTTCATTGGAAGACGTGCGTAGACTCTGTACTCGGTGGCTCATCGACACCATTGACGCGTCAGTGACAGCTGCGTCGCGTACGCGTGGATTGTCCCATTGTCTGAAGCGCTAGGCTTCACTTTCCTTCAGCGTACGTCTAACAATGAAAATTCCCCGTCTACTACTCTGATCTTGCGCAATCCAGTCGTCATGATCCTCCGACTATATGCCATGAGCAATAGATCGAGGCCACTTCTCGCGCTATTGCTGGTGGGATATAGCGTCGCTCAAGGGATCCTGTACACGGATACTCTACGCAACGCCGTTGACATCGGTTTAACGAGTACGCATTCTGACATACCCTACCGAGCGCGTGATCGGTAGCTCATCTACGTATGGAAATTTAGCAACTAACAGACATCCATACGGATATGGCGGTCTCTGTCTCGCGGAAAGCGGCAACTTGATCGAGCCGTTGCTGAGAGGACAGTACGCCTCATTGCTGGCATTCGAGGCGTTGATGCTGGTCATCTCCCTCATCTTCTTCGTCAAACATCTCAAGCAGTCTACGGGAATGTTGGGACGGTGTTCAACGAGGAACATGGTCGTCGTCCTCGTACGGGACAATGTTCTTTACTTCTTCGTGTATGTCCGCTGTTTTCCTTTGATTTGCCTGTTATTTGATCCCAGCTCAATAAACTTCTCCAGAACGGCCGCGATTTTTGCAGCGGAGTCGTTGAGTGGGAAGGAGGTTGACTGGGTAAGCTTGTCATGTGGTCTGCACAGGTCATAGACTAATCAGACATTGATCGCTGGTTGCAGGCGCCTGTTGACCACGTCGCGTTTGATGTGTTCAATGGAGTGATGTCTGGATTTGTTGTGGGCATTGTCGGGCCGCACCTGATCCTGAGCATTCTCAGCAACCACGCGGAAGCGACTCGCGGCGGTCCTTCCATCCAGCTAGCTGATCTGACCACAGTGAACTTCTCCGGTGGAAGGACAGGCTTAAACGATCCTCTTGTGTCTTATGTGCCTTGACACGCAGTGTATCAATTTGTGTAAACTTAGTTGAATGGTGATTAGGTTTGTTCGGGAGATGTCTCAGCGATCAATGAGTAATAATGAATGATATGGACTTGTTTTACTGCTTCGTGAACAGGTAACCATCTCAACTTGGTTTACCACATACAGCAAAGCAATGACCAGCACTTTAACTTGATCCATCATCTAGACAGATTCGATGGCCCAAAGTACGCGTTTCGGGGAGTAGCGGCCCGTCGCACCGGATGCTATCTACTCGCCGCCCACAACATCAACGTTGTCACACGCTGTTTACCAGACCATCGATAGCATCTACCCAAGTTGCTCAAGGTCGCTACAACACCATGGATGAGCTGTCACTACGGGCAAACTGCCATTTTTCGGCGGAGAAAAAAGAGAGAAAAGGCATGTAGGTGAAAACCTTTTTCGCTGAGTTTCCACCGCGAGAAAAGTCAAAGGAAAGATTATCATTGAACCCGAGAGAGCGGCTTTTCTGGGTGAGAAAAGGATAAATGTCCAATTATGGATGTCTAATTTGGTAATTTTGCCGATTCTGGGGAATTGTTAACCTTTTCTCGCCCGGAAAAGGCGCTCTCTCGGGTGCAATGGTTATCTTTCCTTTGACTTTTCTCACGGTGAAAACTCGGCGAAGGGGGTTTTCACCTCCACGCATTTTCTCTCTTTTTTCTCCAGCAAAAAATAGCAGTTTGCCCGTGGTGTGTTGCCTCCTGATGTTGCGCAACCGCTGATTGCTGCCTCGGTGGGGCAATTCGAGGGTATATTCGCTAGGCTTCTTGATCCTCATGAAGACCCACACTTTGTCGAACGAGTGACGGTGGGTACACATCATTATAACATCTTGTTTCATGCTTCTCCTTTATATCCAAGCGAATTCTAACACGCCCATGGTCAGTGCGACACAAACGAAACGATAATGAAGGAAGCCAACGACCAAGAAAAAGATCCACTCGCTGAACGATGTGTTACCCCCATTTCGCGGATTCAACTCATGGCCGGTTTGATAAACACGATGGTCACAATCGCAAACCAAGACTGGTCATGTCACCAATCACCAAAGGAAAGGATCATGGCTCAATACCATGCGCTTGACGCTCTTCGAAACTTGATACGGACCGGTAATGAATTTGAGAGGCGTCAGCTGCGGGATGACATGTTAGAAGAGGACATAGTAGGTGTATGTCTGCAGGTGCGTTTAAGTCTTAATGGACTTGACGAGAATGTCACTCACGAGTATCCACACTCAATTTGGCGCCTTTGTTATGCTAGCACTTACAACGTCCTTTGTGTGTCATGCACGAAGTAGCTATTAACCTTCTACGAGCACTTGCAAGTGACGCCTTTCTCGGTGACAAAGTATCCCCTTCCGTAGCTGCCGACATAATCGAAAGTGTTTGTATTTTTGCTCTTGCGGGGTCAGATCACGTCGTGTCCCAGATGCTCGACCCGATGACAGCTTGGCAAAGCTTGGTCTTTACGGATGCAGATGGAAAGGTAAGCAGACGGTCAGATATGCACAACTATAGCAATGTCTCAGAGCAGCCTCTTTATTCGTAGATCCCGACGGATAAGGTAGCAGAGTATGCGCCTGATTACTACTCGATGGTTCAAGATTACGCACTTGCGGCTGCGCACTCCTTGATGGGTGTTTTTCCTACTCCTTCTCGCAGATTTTGTCTCGAGATTCTGAAGAAGAAGCCACAGATCGTCGAGCTTCTGCTTGATTGCGCAGCTTTAGATCGATATCCTCGCAATCCCATGGCACATTTTCGCACGAAAGCATGTGAAGTATTAGCCGTTCTCTTGCAATGGCCCAGTCACATCGTACCGGGAGTACCGACCCCCTTAGACAAAGCTTTCAAAGCGCAAGAGTGGAAGGCTATGTTGCAGATGACGGCCATCTTTACGTCCCGTACGGATTGGCTCGACAAGCTGATCGAAGTGTGGGTTCGTGTTCAAGATGAAGATATGGAGCAGGTTCAAGGGTATGTTTTATGCCGATTGTATTCATCAAATCCTTCTGACGAAAGACTTATGCAAAGATATGTTACCAATCTCGGCCCTACAGGGCCTGTAGAGTCAGAGGGCCGAGGTGCTGTATCCATTTATGGAGATCGTGGTCTGTTCTATATCTAACTCTGTACCGCAAATTCGTTAACCTGTTTTCTACGTTGATAATTGTTGACAGGCACTGTTCGCATTATTGTCTTACGACTCATCGCGACCCTCACACATTTGGCAGAATCATGTGGGATAACAAATGCACAGATCGAGTCTTTCCTCCACGTAGCCTATCGTTCTTGCGGCAAAGGGAGGACTCTACGAAAGTCTCCATCCCTTCAGGAAATACTTGAAGCCGCCGAGTACTGCACGGAGCTTTTCCACTACACAAGAGGCAACGGTGCCACGGCGGGAGCCAAAGGCCAAAGCCAGATTGGAGACATTATTGCGATCGAGAGTCCTATTTCAGTCGCACCACAGTGCGTCCTCGGCCCTACTGCACTCGTTCGCTTGCTCGTCGTCCTAGCACAGCGAAACGCTCTCGAAGGAATCCAGACCCTCAAGAAGGCTCCCACTGGGCTTTCGCCGTCGACGTCGCTGAGCCAAGTCCAGCACATCACTCACCCCGACATCATCCGTCGAATCATAAAACTGTCGCAATCACGTATCCTAGAACGAACAGAACAGGGGCGTCTACGTATCAAGGAGAAGAAAGACGATGCCGACATCAATCTAGCTTGCTCGTTGTTTGTCAGCTCAGCCGAGCTAGCAGCGGCTGTGGTCGCGCTGGATACATACACGGAGGGAGTTTACGCAGCTGAGGCGCTCGGAGCGCGGAAACAGCTCGTCATCGCACTTGGGAATGCTTCGCAGATGGCGCTCAATCTTGAGCAGCATCGGCGTGCGCTGCACTACGGCTGTGGCGCTGTCAGCGTGGCGGAGGACATTCCTGCCGAGGAAGGCCTGGATCCCGCCATCATCGAGAAGAATCAGCGAAGGGTAGATCAAGCCAATGCAAAGCTTCGCCGTCGCTAGTGTTATGCATTTACAGTCACAAGTGTTTTCTCTTACCTATCGCAATCGCTCTGTCCTGTTTGTTGTCATATTGCTATGAAACTAAATTTCAGCTTGCGAGTGAAGGTTACCTCTTCTCCTGCCTGAAGTACTCTCTGAACAGGTTATGTTGCGACGTCTTGTCGTCTTCTCGTAGGTATACAGATCATGCCGTGACCGCCCGGCACTGAGCCTGGCGCTTCTTACTCACCATTTTCCGTCTTCAATGCCCCCAACCTTGAATTCGCGCGGGCCAAAAGAAGGGATGAGAGTGGACGGGTATCATGGTTCTGATTGGCAGGGTTGTAGATCGAGCTATCAAGCGACATTGATCACTACGCTTGCCTCCTCCTTCGACGACGTATGCCCGGTCTGCACCCACCATCAAAGATGAAGTCGTCAGTCAGCAGCCCTCTTTCCTCGCTGACATCAAAGCAGTCACTCACCCCAGCTAACTCATAGCTCACCGCGCTGATCTGCGCTATGCCCGTCTGAAAGTCGCTCGGAACCTGCACGGTGAAATTCTGGTGCGCCTCAGCCTGCTGGTCGTCTCCTGTGGGCTTGAAGGGGCCGTTGTAGAGCACCGTGCCCGAGTTGCCGACTCCAGCAGGGAGACACACGGAGCCGCAATAGCGGAGCTCGATGGTCAGACCGACGTTCTGGACGTAACCGGAGCGCGTCTGGTTGCACGGCGAGATGAAAGCAGAAAAGGTATGTGCTTGAGTCACGTCGTGGAAGATTAGAATGAGGGAGTGCTCACATCCTGCGAGACATCCACAACGACACTGGCGCCTTTCGACACCTGCTGACCGTTGCTCGGCGCCAAGACCGTGATACTCTGCCCAAGCGCGAGTGTCGCGAGCAATGGTCCACAGATAATAGAGGTAGTGAATTTCATCTCCTTCAAGGCAGTAGCTGCTGGGAACTGGTAGTAGAGGGCTTCGTCAAGTCAGAGGCTACGTCGGAGCGAACGTCGTCGTCTGCAGTCAAGGTCCAAACTAACAGGACAAGGGCTTTATGAGGGCTGATCGACATGATACCAAGTAGTCCCGTTCGCGAGCTTCTTCTGGCAGTCCGGCATAGTCGCGTTCGGTGCATGTTGCGTTGGCATCACGGGAGCGTTTCGCTAGATAAGCTTAGCGAAAGTCCGCCGGGCGGTTGAACAGAACGTCGCATCAAGAACATTGATCACCTGGAGCTCAGCTTTGCTTCGGGGTCTGTATGCACGCCATTTACCCCATGCTCTCGCATCCTATAATGACGTTCGGGTGATTGCAACTGGCTGGCTGAAGATGGGGGAGACCGTAGGGGTGTAATTCGGGACCAGGATGGGAACCACGCGCGCGAAGATACCATCATCAGCCATACCATCAAATTCTCAGCGATATCGAGCGTAATAAAACCTACGGAAGAGCGGAATGGTAAATTACCTCTGATGGTATGTATAGAGATTTACAAGTAGATTATTAAACGTCATACAAAGCTAGTCCATAGCGAACGTCCACCGGGATCCTAGTACCCATCTAAGAGATGGTAATTGTCTCATTGATAACCTGCAACTCAGGCATATACAACGCCTATCGATACACTATCGTCAGAAAACGCCTTCTCCTGACTCTCAACGACAAACACGACACTCACCCCGAGGAGATAGAAATACCCTGTCCCGAGAATCGCCTCGCCCGAGGCAAGGTCAGCCGGAACGGTCACGTTGAAGTCCTCGTACGGCGAGTAATATTCAGACCCGAACTGCGGGTTGAACGGCCCATCGTAGAGGAGGCGGCCGAGCCCTTCATCCGTCGGCACGCAGCTCCCACCCGTGCCGTTCGGACAGGACTGTATGCCGATGGCTACGGATATGGGAACCAGCGTCGAGAGTTGGTCCTACAGGAAAGGCAAGATAGATTATTAGCGCTCAGGTTCGATGACAGTGACAAAGCGTGCGCGTACCGGCTGAACGAGACGGACAGTGAAGCTGGAACCAGCTGCCACAGTTGTACCCGGAGTTGGAAGGTTGTAAGAGATGCCCTGAGCGAAAGCCACAGCGGCGCAGAGCAAGGAGGTAGAGACAGCTTTAAGGGAGAACATTTGTATCTTTCTTGTGATGATGATAGACGTAGGAGATGATGAAGGTAAAGAGCAGCGACAAAAGCCCACGTTATATACGCGCAAATGAGTACCAAAAAAAGTGTAGTGCAAGGCTCTGTAGGAGGCGTCGGTGGCCCTGAAGCATACCAGGCTGTGCCATTCAAAAGTCACAGAATGAAGACAAAGAGCGGCGAAAAGCCATAAACGACAAGGGTCAGGACCGAGCGGCCATCCCGGCGATTAAACACGAAGACGGCATCATAGCAGAGTAACCAAGACTAGCGCGAGGGGACGAGCGAGACGCGACAATCGATAGCGAGAGGCGTCAAGCTGTGTTGACGACAATCATAACGGCGGGGGTTAACTAAACTGGATCAGCGACGCATATACGAAAGTTCGTGAAGGCGACTAGACGTTACTCGCCGTTCACGATGACAAAGGTAGGTTGTCGAGACTCGTGTACCGGACCGATATGCCGATGGAACAGAAACCCGTCGCCGAGCATGAGTCCGTCCGTCCACGTCGTTCAATGCTTTTGGCGGCCACGATGACACAGGGCTCGAATGCCCGTCGGGCAATGAACACAGCCTAAATTCGCACAAAAACGTTGAACTGCCTACCGGACAGGGACGTCTACCGAAGAGAAGACGAGATGCCCGCAAGTCATGGAGGCTTTGTACATGAACAAAAGGCGGTGTTCAGTACTTCATAGACCAAGGTTCACGCTGAGGGCTTCATGACCGCGTCATCAACTTACAGGCGCTGGTGGAACGAATGCCTTCATTTCGGAGTGTACCGCCATAATGAACAGTGCATCGTGCGCGGGCTCCCCTCTCCGAGCTATGGATGAAGCGAGATGTTCCGAGTCCCTCGCCGCAGCATTCAGATGTATGACGTCCTCGAGGGATGATCGTGATTTTTGCGATGAAGAATCGGTCATCATAGAGAAACTTCCAGAAAAACGTTCGAGAAGTATCGGCGACGAGAAGAGATAGATGAAACGCACGCAGATGTGACCATGTGCACCCTGTCTACCTCGTGTCCTCCATTAACATTCCTCGCAGGCGCAGACACAGAGCCCAAACACTTGGTAGCAGGCGTCATCCCGATGCATAGCACGCAACTCGCAGTGTGCATCTGATTCTCCGACATTGACGAGCCGCTGATTCTCCTGCGTTCATTCCGCGAGCTCCAATCCACGGTGGTGGTCCCTTGCGGGCATTATTCGCCGGTCCAGCTAAGCTTAGCCTAGTATGACACACGTCTCTTCCCAAGCATCGATGAGCAGGCAGCAGAAAGCGGCGAGGCGATGTCGGTGATCAATGCAAGAGGCAAGAGGACGGGAAAAGGGGAAAGAGGCAGCCCGAGGAGTACGGAAGCTGCGCCCATCCCAGCATCCGGCATCCGAATCCGTCTCTTCCACTTCCGCCCCGCACACCGCCGATCGAGGACGTCCGTGCCTGACGCGGACGCCCCCTGTCGCAAAAGTTTGACATCTCTCAATTCTCATTCGTCACTTACTTGCTATAGCTAAAGTGACAGATCCCATCCCAGAGTCAAGGACCACATCGAACGCAGAAGACCGGACTTGCTCCATCTCGATCAGCCCTGGCTCCAGTCTTCAGGCCTCAGGTAGAGCTTGGGTAGAGCCGACAAACGTGTGCGAGGTGATGATGATGAGAACCGAGGAATAACGTCTACAGAAGCATCCTCAAATTACGATTGATCCATCCAACAGTCACCACCAATTACGGATGATGTATGTATGTACGTACTAACCCAAAGTTCTTTCAAGTCCGAGTCCAACACACCCAAGGAAACAACAACATAGAAGGGAGATGACAGCTTAACGTGGGCCGGTTGGTAGTAGGCCATGGTACTTATGTAGGTATTATCAGGTATTAGTGAGTGAAGGTGAGCGTCCGTGGCATATTGTCCGTGAAACAAGAAATAAGCGAGCGAAGAATGACGAGCAGCGGCTTTTACGTCCAAGAACACGAGTCCCGACGGCAAATGTCCCCATGACTGTCCAAAGAAAAGAAGAAAACAAGCAGCTAGCGCGATCACGCCACGGTGATCGTCTGGTTCATCGTCTCCATGAACGGGAACGGGCCGGCCTATATATCAGTCACACACGCAAATATCATTCAGAAAGGGTCATCAAGCAGCCAACAAACGACCAAGAAATACTCACACCAACGAGCGACACATGCGTAACACCAATCTGCGCCGTACCGCTCCGCGCCGAGGTCGGGATCTGGACGGTGAAGTTCTGGAACGGCTGTACCTGCGGCGACGACGGCTCGCGGTACTCAGGGTCGAATCCGCCATTGTACAAAATGAGGCCCATGATGTCCGCGGGCGACGCGCACGCATAGTCGGGGCACGACTGGAAGCCGATCACGACGGCGACTTCTTCAGAGCCCGTGAGCGAGTTCTATGGAACGAGGGCACGATGGCGAGTAAGTCGGGGGAAGGCGGGGAGGGAGAGGGTGGAAGGGAACGTACGGCACGTGTCACCTGCACGGTGATGTTTTGGCCGGGGGAGACGGTGATGTCGTTAGTCGGGTAGGTGATCGCGGCGTTCTGCGCGAGGGCGACAGCGGCGAAGAGGGCAGCGCAGGCGATGGACTTGAACATGGCGCTGGGTGATAGGGGCTAAGTGCGGAGGGTGAAGTTGGTGGCGAGGACGAGGAAGGGGGGCAAAGGTCGAAGTAATGGAGAGGTAGGTCGAGTAGGTGGGGAGAGAACAAAGGCTGAGGAAAGAAAGAGACAGCCTTCCTAGAGCCCTTTTTATCTACGCTCGTTTACGGTTTGACGCTTGGCTTGACGCGTCTGTCGGCCCAGGGTCGGCGCGGTCGGAGGAGAGGGGGTGCACGAACATGATGGAATGAATTTGCGAATAGGACGGCCAGGCGGCTAATTGGGCTAAGCAGCGGCAGCCTGCCAAAGGGCAGAAGGCGGCGGCTGTGCCGACGACGCGTCCTAGCTAAGATTAGAAAGACATGTGTGTGTTTTTGTCAACGGCTCCTGTTATTCTCGGACGGAAAGAGGTGCTGCAGATCCGATCAGTGACCTGTTGGAGTTGCATTTCTGTCAATTTACGGTATTGATCGTGGGTTGGTGTTCCTAGCGAGACCAGGTAGTTGAGCGCAAGTGACATGTTCGAGCTCTTCTCCGTCGTGATTCAAGCCGTACGTGTCTAGACGAGGATAGGAGAGGATTCCAGAATAAAGGCTGAGGGCATCGGCAGAAAGACCGACCTAGCACTCGGCAAGAGCCGTGCCCCGGTGAGTAAGCACCTTTACAAGGCTAGAGCGCAAGGCGCACTTGCGTTCGAAAACGTTGACTCTTCTCTTCCAGAACGTTCGCTCCACGGAGACGCACAAGTGACGACAGGTGACGACCTGCACAGTACACTCGGCCCAGGAACGCCGTCGAGAAACCGTTGGATGATTTTCATACAAGCCAAATGAAAGTCGGGCTCACTGCTCATCCTTGATGCGATGGAAGTGTCGGACCTATGGCTAGAACGCCCTGGGGCCTGCAGGGTGAGCTCTCCCCGTCTGCGTATCGAGGCCCGCCTTCTTTCTGGCCAATAGAACACATTGTGCTCCTGGATACGCAGCTGCTTGTGCGCCGATGAGTCGCAGGAGGGGCGCATCGACGGTCCCAGGCGGACGACGATGGATGTATTCCAGGAACGAAGGTGTCGCCGTGATGCGGGATCCAGACCGGAGCTTGCCCTTCCCAGCTTTGCATGAATCCAATCGTCCGAAGCGGCTGGGGCTGAAACGTTCATCATATTTTTGGTATAGCATCAGACTGCGACAAGTTTAGATTTGCGTTTGCCACTGCGGGCTGGATGTCCGACTGGTGCTACCATAGCACCGCGTTATTTCGAGCTGACGGGATCAGACCATTCAAAAGCTTCACGAGCATGTATTTTGGTGGTGAATAAAGGACAGCAGTAACTCCCCATCGACTAAGGAATCAGAAAAGACGTACTTGCTGCCCAACTCCCGAGGGTTGTTCCATCGGCCCGTCCGAAAACGAGAGCATTGCCTCACCTCGTCGTGCGCATCAGTCAGCCGACCTTCGGTCTTCTCGATGTAATCGATCCTTCCGAACAGCTGGTTTGCCTCGTGCAGCTCGCATCGCATTCTCTTCGGGTCTGGACTAGATGTAATAGAACTCTCAGTCGAGAAGGACCTCGAAATCGGAACAGAAGGGAGTTTATGCGTTCGAGTGAGAAGAGGGATGATGGTCTGGAAGGAGTTGGATTCAGCTAGCAACCGATGCGCCGCGGACTGCATTATCCCGGCGTCCTGGGCTGGTGCAGTGTCGCCTTTTTGGTGGGCAGCTGAACGTGGACGAGGGCAAAAGAGGATACCGCTCGGCCGTGGCTGTGCCGCCGCGTCGGCTCCGCGCTCATCGGCACTTTCCGGGGCTCGCTCCATTCATTTCCGGAAGCTTTTGCTGTGCGTTCGCTTCAGCACCACCATGCTCCGGCTGACCATTTCTACTTACTTCGAGGGCTCTCTTTCGAAGGGTAGGCCAGCACGCCGAGGGCATAGCTAAGGCCGAAAAGTTAATCCGATACTGTAGACGGATATCGATGGCCTCGTTGTTCTCTTTAACGTTCTGCACCGGCGTATGCTGCCCGCCGGTCTTCCTTGCCCTCGACCTCAACTCAAGGTTTAACCCACTGCAGTGCTTTCATCAACGTGGAGTAGCACAGTGGGGCCATTTCGTCGGTGAGGCGCCCATGTGACCGGCGGGTCATAGAAGCTGACTTGAACATGAACAGCCTCCCTCGTTTTTCTGACAGAATGGCATCGTCAGTAGGGCAAGACGGAGGCAGAAGGATGTCGAGGCTATTTTCGATCGAAGAAGCTCATCTGCCGTCGGAGGTTTTGGCCTTTTGTGGCGATCTGTGCGCTATGGAAGCACTCAACATGCCAGCGAAGGTCTCACTTGTGACCCCGGCGTGAAATGTCCACAGCCGACACGGACGTCATCGGATCCACCTCGACTCCTCATCTCCGTTCAACGGGCGTGTGCTCGCACCCACCGCATCGAGACACTCTCCCAGTTCTATAAAGTCAAGGGTTTCAGAGCCTCAGACTTCCTCACTACCTTGTAGTACGAACCTCTACAACTCTCTTCTACACCCTTATACATCAACCCTCTAATAACTTCACCCCCGCCCACCCTTTACGAATCACAACATGAAGTTCTCCCTCGCCGCCGCCACTGCTCTCTTCGCTGGTGCTGCCGTCGCCCAGAACGTCGCCATCGCCCACCCACCTGCGGGCGCTTCAATGACCAGCGGTCAAAACTTCACTGTCCAACTTAACAAAGCGGTAAGCCATTCAACGGTCTCCCTCTCTTCACATTGTCTCACTCATCCCGCGCTCCATAGAACTCGCTCTCCCCATCCTCGGACATCGCCGTTGTCATCGGCCTCAACTCGTGTACATCTGGCGCCTGCCCCGACCCTTCGCAGGAGATCGGCTACGTCCTCTACAGCGGCCCGTTCAGCCCGTCGCAGTCGGACGACCCCGCTCTGCCCCCAAACCAGAACTTCACCGTCCAGATCCCACCGGCGTACCAGGGTGGCCAGTACCAGATCGCGTGTGCACACTTTTCGCTCATCGGGGTGAGTATATGCGCGCCGTAGGGACGTTTGCTGGATTATATGCTGACGAATTTCTGCGAACATAGGCCGGTCCTTCGCCCAATGTCGACTACTCCAACGTGACGATGTCAATTTCAAATTCCACCTCGTGAACGAGCACCCGCACGGCATAACGGACACTTACTCTTTTTCTCTGGACATTTACCTCGAACTTTTTGCGCTTACTTCGCTTTTCGGTAACACTTTGATGGACACGTTTTGATGGACTTGCCCATGTAGCTCGTATAATGCCACCCCACATATGTAGACGATTACGGACGTACTGAACACGATGTATCACGGAAAATTAGCTGTACTTGAATGGTATAATTGGTGGTTGACGATGGCTTAAACAATGGCGACTCTGCCCTTCTATGAGACATGAACTCGAGTTTGGATTCGGATGCAAGTAGTTCGCTGCCAATCGGAGTTGACTGCTTTGTTCCGTGAGCTTGACCGTGTTCTACTTCTCTCAGATGATCGGTCAAATGTTCTTTGAACCCCACTAACATCAACTTCTTCACACAGTCGAGCAGTGGCGTAAACTGTTAGATGCCGAAAGCGCATGACCCCAGGTGCCAGTGAATGGGGTCTATGCAATGCTTGTCCTGCATCCTGCCAGCAATAGATGACGCAGCACTCGTCGCAAACCACATCAACAACCAAAGATCCATGATCTACATACTGACATCATTAACTAAGGTGGAGTATACAGCTCATTAGATGGGGCGCTACATAGACCAACCAATAAGAGACGGACTCAAACCCACACATCGCTAACCACATCGCCCCGAGACTTGACTGCAACTGGGCCGTGTGTGCTCTCGCGCGGGGTGGTGAAGTGCATAGTGCTCATATCCGTCAATCCGATCGAAGGGCCGCCCCGTATCGAAATAGCGTGGTGGTGGAGGATGCTGAGGATCAGATGGGGTCCTACCACGCCGACGACTATCCCAGAAAACACAGCGTTGAACACGTCGAACGCGATGTGCTTCTCGGGTCCCTGAGTAGTGACGCGAGTTTCGTTAGCGATGTCATCGTGGCGAGCTATGACGAAGATATCTTACCCAGTTCGTTGGGAGTTCACTTAGCGATTCCGATAAGAAAATGGCAGCAGTTCTGAGTCGGCAGAGCGCAAGGTTATGCCATACGGTAATACAGCGGACGACTGCCGGATTGACGTACAAGACAAAGTAGAGGATGTTGTCCCTCACAAGCAGGACGAACACGTTGGTCGTGGACCACGTACCTCGATGTCCTCTCGAGTGCTTGAGATGCTTGCGGAAGAAGTAGAGCGATACACCAAGCATGAGGACCTCGAGGGTCAGTAGGGAAACATACTGTCCACGTAGCAAGGGTACGATGTACACGTGGTACATCGCGAGGCAGACGCCGGGATAGCCCAGAGGCGTTAAATCGGCGGCTAGCAGACATCAATACAACTTAGAATTTCGACGCCTAGTAGATGACAGCAGGGAGCTTACCACTGTTACCCAAACGAATGGCATTGCGTATAGTGTTTGCGTATAGGATACCCTGCGCAATTGTATATCCTAAAAGCAACATCGCAAGGAGCGCCTTAGATCTGCCGCTCATCGCATATAATCTGACGATCATGACGACTGCAGCTCATACTGAGTGGATATTGTTGAATGAGAATCTTAAGGACGTACATTGAATCACAGTGAAGCCAAGTGCTTCACTGAGAGGGATGATCCATGAAAATGCAACGCAGCTGGTTGATAAACGTCAGAAACGAGCCGTTGACAAGACGTAGATAACATACGTCTGCATTAGAGCACGTTAGAAATGATCATGAAGCGAAAATGAGACCAACCGAATCGGTTATATGCCATGGTGCATAGTAAACTGCGCACCCTTAGTCATGAGAGCTTGAAGAGCTTTGACACTGCTTACAGACGTTGGCACTAGATGAGGGTGGTTAACGGTACAACACGCGTAGGAGCGACCGACCCTTACAGTCCGTATATCATCCCCAATGTTCGAAGCTAGCAAGGTCCCCATGAGTAAATGGGTAGACAACGCATAACTGTGTGACGGTGCAACATACGGCAATATACATGAACTTGGAAAAGGTCCATTGTCGTCTCTGTTTTCAAACCCATATCAACCTCGCATTCTCGACTGAGCGACTGAGTGTAGCATGTTTTCACTGACCCATATAAGATCCGCCTACGAGCATATATCAGCTTTACTAGTAGCATATAGTCATCAATGGCGGACTTGCCTCCTGCCCGAGGAAGATCGCTAGTAAAGCGCGAAATTAAGGGATTAGTGACTAGAAGAGAAGAGCGATACTCACACCAGTCATAGAATACCAAAGTAGCAATAGCCGCTGTTGGAAAGAAGATACTTGAGACGAGTCAAGCCGAGTGAAGAACCAGAGACGCGTACCATATGCAAAACCCTCAGCTTGCGTATCCAGGAGAAAGTTGCACCAATACCATGAGACCTCGTGGCAGACGGTCGTCATCAGTGCGCGTGCCTCAATAATCGTTGAGAAAACCAGAAGTTATAACGCTCTGAACTTGTAGGTGGGACAGAAGAAAACAGAGAAGGTCGAGGGCACATGCGTTGTCAACAGTGGGTACCTGAGTATAAGTGTGAATAGTGGTTTCAGTGCCTGCACGACATGTCCTCACAGGTTCCTCTTGGCAGGCCTCTGTGTCGTAGACCATATCAGTCTTTGACAGGCGATGAATTGGTCGGTGGTATAGAGTAAGGCAAAATGCACAAGCCCCAGGATCGGACGCGTGAAAGTGGGTCAGGGATGGAGGAGTTTGAAAGCGGAAGCAGGTCTCCTGCTCCGACTACACCGGCTGGTGCTGCGGAGTTTGATCATTCCGCCACGCTGAAACGTGTCGTCTACTTTCATGCCTACCAACCCGTAACAATTCCAACCGTTATATGAGAATTCTGGTAGACACAGTACTTGTTCACGGCTGGCTCACTGATGCTTGCGATCGTGTCAAGCCAGCTTACAACTTAGCCCTCGTTGCGGGCTTGAAGATCGAGGCGATCCGCGGCCCGAGTACGGCGGAGGTTATCTTGTTTTCTTTAAAGACTTTCGCCCACTTGATCATGAAAAAGTGGGGTAGCTGTCAAACAGCTTCAAACCTACGAACATGCATGAATATCTCCACCGATTGTCACACTGCCTTGTGCAGCTCGGACACGCCGACGGAGAAGGTTCGAACAAATATAGTCAATTCCTGCATACGCTTGAAGCGCTAAGGAGCGGGGAAAAAAGGACACCCAGGGAGGCCCTCTGATCATTTCGCGTACAGCGGAAACAAGGAAGGCCATTCTGGAATTCTTCACATAATTCGTAAGGTTGGCGCCGCATTCCTTCAGGGTCCGTGCTGAGCGTCGACTATCGATTCAGTTGCAGCGGGTGAACCAGCCGAGTCGGCAGTTTTATCAGAAGATGCACATGTACTACTTACCTCTTCTCGCCATAGAAGATGTACCCCTCCGCAGAACCTAGTGGCGAGATCAGGGCACATCGATGGTTAACGCCAACAGCATGTAAAAACAGATTATTGGATTATGTACTACAATAAATTGTCTGGTTTGTAGGCTAAGAATAGAGAATCATGTACAGTCATGACGGGACATGTACGCATAATGTTCGTCACGCTCGCACAAGGCCCTGTGGACTTCTGCTCATATCAACTAACATGATCGAGGATTCACCGTGTGATATTGGCCTGCGATGGCTGACAATACTAAGCACCAGGTGAGGCCCTACCACACCAACTACGACTCCTGAGAGAACGGCGTTGAACACGTCGAATGCGACCCGATTTCTCGGCGCCTAAGCATACGTCATGTCAGCAGTACGTTGGATTCTCGTCACGGTAAAATTGCCCTACCCAGCCATCTGGTAGTCCACTAAGCGACTCACAAGCAAACACGGCCGCAGTTCTGGGTTCGACAAGACGGTTAAACTCTGGTCCGCGGAAGAAGAGAGAACATACATCAAAAAGTAAAGAACGTTGTCTCTCACTAGTAAGACGACCATGTTCTTTGTGGACCACGTTCCTGACAACCCTCGAGACTGAAGAACGTGCTTGGTGAAGAAGTAGAGCGATATGCCTAACATTAAAATCTCAAATGCCAGCAGTGACCCATACTCCCCTCTTAGTAGTGGCCAGAGTAAGTTTCCCCACCGGGCAAGACAGAAACCAGGGTATCCAAGATTTTGCCTGTCAGTAGCTAAAAAGAAAAGAGAAAAAAAGACGATGTTTAATAGCTGAACGAAGAAAGATCAAATGCAGAGTAAGTACTCGCCTGATAGCCCGATGTCCACAGCATTTCGAAATGTGTTCGCATACAGTATTCCTTGAGCAATGACAAAGCCTACTATCAAGAGCGCCAGGAGCCTCTTGGATTGTCCACTAAGAGCATATAGTCTGACAATCATGACGACTTGCGGTCATTTGATTAGCGCTCTTAGCATCAGTCGATTGAAAAGCGAACGTACCTTGGAGGACAGAGAAACCTAGCGCCTCGCTTCCAGGTATTATCCATGCAAAGGCGATACAGCTGCGCGTTTCATCGACCGACACGCGTCAATGATGTGCGTCGTTGAAATCACCATGAACTCACGTCTGCCAGTGCGATGGTTGAGTAAAGGCCACCTGGAAACACTGCCACTCACTGTATCAGAAACATGAATAGGCGCGTAGTTGACTGCATAGTTCTGATTTAAAGAAAAGCACGGGAGGCAGCGGATTATACGCACAGACATTGGTGCTAGGATGATGGCCCCCGTCATAATAAAGTCATGAATTGTGTAACCAAATACTTACATTCCGTATATTGCCCCAACAACCCTGAGCTGAGAAGCAAAAATAAGTGGGTTGTTTGACTGCTCCGGAAAACAGACTGAGACGCACGGCAATGTACAGCACTTTCACCAGATTCCACTTTCGTTTCTGGTAGTGACTGAGCACCAATCACCTCTCGTACAATGTGCACCGGTAAGCGTACCCATATGAAATGGATCTAGACTCTGTTTGAGTGGTCTGACAAACGGAAGAGGCGAAGTGCCACTTCACCTCTTGATCGAGAAATATGACTTGAAGTGGGCTCGCCATAATCAACACTATAATTGTAGTAAAGAGTGACTAATGGCTTACTCCAGTCGTATACCACGAGCGTTCCTATCGATGCTGTTGGGCGACTTTAAAGCTTTGAGTTATACGACAGAAACCCATCACGAAAACGAGCATTACTATACGCCATGCCCTCGGAGTGAAGATCCCATAGGTAGTTGCACCAGTACCACGCATCGTCTGGACACAGTGAGTCCATGACTGAGGCGAGAGCGGAGGCGGAGACTCGAGGCGAAGGACGAACAGAGAAGATGGTGGGGGGCAGTGAGCGCCTCCACGGTATAGATATGTCTAAACAAATCTACTCCGCAGATTGCGAATGGGGGTTCGTGGTTTCCCATGTCGGCCAATCATTCGCTCTGTCCGGTGACTTCGGAGGTCCGACTCCAACATACCGAACATGTTAGGATAGCTAGTTGATGGAGTGGAGAAAGGTCCTTAGTAAAGTTAGAGCCACTGACTCCCGAGATGAACCGATTTAGAAGCTCCAACATCCGGCGTCCTAAACTTTCAGCGGACGTAAGCTTTATATAGGGTGTGAGCGCAACCCGATGCTGTTCTAACGGAACGTAAAACTGACTGTTAGTGTCAGATGGTGCCTCCGTGAGAGCGACGCAGCTGTGATTGACGTCGCAAGTGCGGAGCTGCCTTGCAACTGAAACGTATGCAACTCCGACCGGGCTGTGTGTCCCGTCTTTCTCGGATATACACATGTTCGCCTTTTGTTGGTTTTCAATCGTCATGTTCTTGTAAAAGGTGGAGCCACTAGCTCTCCAACACAGTATTAAATAGGTATAGCAAAGCAAACGACAAGCTCATAAGTTATTGAGAACCATGTCCTTCCTTCTATCGAGCACTATGGAGGGAGTTAGCGGCGTAACGTAAATCTAAGCCCACACCCCATCTTCATATGGAGGACGAGAAATCCCCGCGCTAACGGACACAGTGACGGTTGACCTGAGTAGGTTGTGTTCTGACAGCCGATCCAAGTTAGTCATAAACTCGACGACATCGTCGTACTGATCCTCGCCCTCGCCTTCTGGATGGGTCAATGTGACTACCACATCTCGAAGGACATCTCTCCGCGCACCCGCGACATCGACTATGCTGCGAAGGGGAGTGCAGAAGTTCAGCGGGGTACCGATCCTGAGCGTTTCCAGATGGGGGATCCACTCTCTGTTCTTGAGCCTGCCTAGCAGGTAGTAAAGAACGGCCGACCTCTCCGACCAACCAGTGTTCTTGACGAGAGCGAGCTCCTTCAGCTCAGGGCAACGGTCGAGGATCTCCACAATGCCTTCTTCCGTGATATGGGTATCACACAGGCTCAGAGCCTGTAGAGCACATCCAGGGCGTGAGAGTAGCCCCTTCAGCGCATCCTGAACCCAGTGATATGAGCCTAACTCGGGTCCCGAGGCCAACAACGCCGGATCGCTATCAATCTCCAGGCGGCGGAGCATGGGGAAGGAGAAACGGCTAGCCGCGTTACCGACTTTTGCCCTTACGCTACGACGACGCAAGCGTAGGGTTGAGAGGAGCGGCAAAACCGTGCGTGGGTTCTCGATATATGGCTGATTGTCGGCTATTCCAATGTTGAGAGTGGCGAGACTTTTGGTGTGCCGAAGAACCTTGAAGATACTATGATCGAAATTGTGCCCAAGTTCTTGCCATGAATCGTGAGGGCCGAGATTGTAGAAGAGGGAAAGCTCTGTGAGTCGGCCCCATCCTGCCTTTGTCAACGATCTTGCGGGAGCTACCGGGATGTCCCAAGAGAACGAGATGAGGTGGGAAAGGTTTGATGAGGAAATGCGTTGGACATCAGAGTGCCAGTGTTCCCCGACAGGTCCGGTGCGAACCCGCATGCTGGCCTCGGTAAGCGCAGGAAGGTTTGACATGAGGACAGTCTCGAAAAAGAGGGAGAAGGAAGGCATGTCGTCAACGAGCAAATGTAGACTGCGCCACCTATGAGCATTACTGCAGAGCAGTTCTGCTATTGGAAGGATTGTATCAACGTCCATAGGATGCTCATCCGATAGATTGAGGCGGATGGAATGTTCATTCGCGCGATCGAGCCAAGAATGGAGGATACAGACGAGTCTTGCGGCGTGTGCAACCGATACGAGATCTTCGTCCACCTCATACCATATATCCGGTGATAGGCTGAGCGTGAGCGATGTCCACATCCGTGGAGTCGTGTGCACCACATGTCGCCACGTGCCACATACACGCCCTAACACGAGTGGCATCTCGCCGGCGTACGGTTTGCACCAGCCTTCCTGGGGTAGGCAGTCCTCGAAGATGCTCTCGAGAATCTCTCTAGGAAGTCTGGTAATTGCGAGACTCGAGTCTTGGCCGCGAGGGTGAAGGCTAGATGAAGATTCCGGATGTTGCTGTACATATCAAAATCTTGTGGATGTAGGGTTGCAGCAGTATGAGGCGTACCAGATATACCCTGCCCTCCTGCATGGAAGCGAGTGAACCATCGGACTTCAGTGGCTGAGATATCAACATGGGGGTGACAAACAAGATGAAGGTTGTCAACTAGGAGAACCCGAGGTGTTCAGAATGCGACAGCGCTTCCGATGTGGCCGTTTGAGCGCTAGACTGAAACAGAGGAAGCCTAGGACATGAGGCAGGCTGTAGCATTCTGAGCGGCTATACGTGATAAATATGGATGCATGATCAAAGCGCCAGTGCTAGATTCTTAGTCACACATGCACATGGGGAAAAACGGAATGCTCGACTGAGAAGAAACTTGGCGGTGATAAGTGTGACTCCCCAATACAGTCGTCACACATGCGTAAGTACATCACATGTCGTGACACAGAGTTTCTTGAGTCACTCTCGGAGTCACTCCAGGTGACAGAGCATTGCATCAAACCAAAAGCACTGCGAACACAATCATGCGGGATATATGCAAGTGACAGTGATAATGAGACAGAAAAATGTTGTAATGGAACACTCCACCCAAGACATCAAATTCATTTCTTCGTCAGCATCACCGTGAAGGAGCTTAGAATTAATATTAATATTGCGCCGACATCCGGCGCGCCGGACCGGATGCGGTCTACTCGTGGCAGCAACGTTGTAACGCGTCGTTCAAGCTATCGATGGCACCCACCTTGCTCGAGCTCACTTTGACCGCACCCCCATCATGGATGTGCCTATGCCTCAAGAGGTTGCAGAACCATTGCTTGCTTCTCAGGTGCAGCAATTCGAGGGTATATTTGCGAGGCTTGTCAACCCTCACGAAGACCCGCACTTCGTGCTCAAAGTGACAGTGGGTAGATACTCCTTTCAAACTCGCAGTCTCGTCCCTCATTCCTTCCTTCCGGGTGGCTGCTAATTTTATTACCAGAGCGGTACAAATCGGGTGTTTATGACAGAAATCGACGACCAGGAAAAAGTCCCACTCGGTTCTCGATGTGTCAGCGCCTTTGCGCGAATGCAACTCATGGCCGGTTTGATCAAGGTGATGATCACAGTTGCAAGCCAAAACTGGTCACTGGGGAACGACGTACCAAAAGAAAGGTTCTTGGCTCAATACTACGCGCTGGAATCCCTTCACAATCTGACGCTGACCGGCAATGAGTTTGAGCGGCGACAGCTGCGGGACGACATGTTGGAGGAGAACCTCATAGCTGTGTGTCTGCAGGTGCGTCCAAGTCCTATTATAAGCTCATCAGAAGTCTACTCCCTCGTGAAGTTTCTAATTCTGATTTGTATTAGCACATGCAACGTCCCTTGTGCATTATGCACGGGGCCGTCATCACTCTTCTACAGACACTGGCATTTGACGCCTTTCTTGGTGAACAAATATCCTCCTCGGTGGCTGCCGACATCATCGAGAGTGTCTGTCTTTATACTCTTGCGGGCCCCGATAGTATCATTTCCCAAATGCTTGACCCAGACACAGCTTGGCAAAGCTCGGTATTTCCTAATTCAGGCGGGATTGTAAGTCGAGCGTCGAGTTATAGCCTATCCTTGGCAGGTTTCTGAAACGAGTCTTGATTCGTAGTTGCCCATTGACAAGGCAGCAATATTCGCACCTCTCTACTACTCTATGGTGCAGGATAATGCGATTGGGGCTGCTTACTCCTTGATGGATCTCTTTCCGTCTCATTCTCACGAGTTTTGTCTTGAAGTTCTGAAGAAGAAGCCACGTATTGTCGAGCTCCTGCTTGACTGTGCAGTGTCAGATCGATATCCTCGACACCCAGAGACGCAGGTTTGCATGAAATCATGCAGTATACTGGGCATGTTCTTGCAGTGGCCAAGTCATATTGTCCCTGGAGTGCCGACCCCCTTGGATAGATCGTTCAAGGCGCATGAGTGGAAAGCTATGCTGAAGATGATGGACATTTTCACGTCTAGCACAGACTGGCTCGAGAAGTTGATTGAGTTGTGGATGCACGTCCAAGAAGAAGACATCTCCCCGTATCATTAAGCACATCGTCGGCTTTTCATTGTACATGTTTGTTTTGCTCCACTTTTGTTCTCATCATGTCTCAACCCTACCTCTCACCGAATCACCGTCTATTCAATCCACGGCTCTTCAGCCAACCCTGTCATTCATATTCTGTCCTGAACATGCTCCGAATACGTCTGATGTCTTCTTGCTGCTCCACCGTCCATGTTAGCGACAACACCCTCAACATTCTTGCAGGCGTTGTCTCTCCACTGCCCCACCAAATCCTTGCGTCATGGCTGCACCACCATTCATTCCTGCTCAGTGGTATTCAATGGTTTGTTCGCCTCCGCTTTTGCTTGATAGGTAGCTCATTACGCCGCCCCACCCTTTCTAGATATGTCGATTTTACTATATTGAGCATGCGTTCTATGTTTGATATTTAAACTCCCCCGTGCTGCTGGCCCGAAGCCTCACTCAGGCTTCCCCCTGATCTCTTCACGTAGTACCACGTAGTATGTAGGCTATTTAAATATAAGCAGGTTCGGGTGGATGCCGTACTAATCACAGTACTATGCCGGAACCCGCAATGAAAACCGTCACCTGCAATGAAATTCGACTGTCCCTCCCCTGCCCCTTCAAGTATATACCTACAAGATTGAACATGGGCCATCTAATGAAACTACTCTATGTCCGTATTGCGCGGCTTGGTAAAGAAATGAAAACTACGGACGCTAGGTACAAATTTCATTGCGGGTGATGGATTTCATTGCGGGTTCCAGCATAGTACGGTCCCGGATCCGCCCCCGACACGCTTTGCCCACGTGCATACAACGGTACTATACACAATGTGTGCGTCAGCGCGTTCACTAGAGACTGTTAGTCTTGACACTGCAGACAAACGGGAGATTTTGGGTCCTGAAAATAAGCTGGAATAGTCGTGGGATTGGTTTCATGTTCCAGCCGATTTTCGGGTGGGGAAAATAGCCCGGAAAGTCGAAGTGTTTTGGATGATTTTTACGCCCGAAATAGAAGGTCAAACCGATTTCTTATTACCGTACCTTTTCGAGGATTGAATTTAGCCATGATAGTTTTCTTTTTCAGCTAGGGTCGGCGCCAATTGGTCAGGGTGGTGCATTTCGGTCTCAATTCTGAGACGAAATAGGAAATACTCGGAGGAAGTTCTGCTCCCGGACAAAGTCCGAGAACAGGAAAACACTTCCACCTTCCATTTTTGGGCCCGAAAATATGCCGAAACAGTTAGACTTTTCGGAATATTTTCCATACCGGAAAATGACCTGGAACATGAAACCAATCCGGCGACTGTTCTTGCTTATTTTCAGGGCCCAAATTCTCCCGTTTGTCTGTAGTGTGATGAAATTCCGATTATTCCTTCATCGAGTTGTCAGCCAATTTTCACTAAGTGCAAGCGATCCAAAATAATGTCAAATGAACTGGAGCTCCGCCTGAACTCCACCTTGCGTTGCGCCCGCTCACGCCCTCAACCTGATCATCCGTGTGTATCAAGCTTTTTGGCTCTCTTGACATGGATAGCCGAGATGAGAAGGACTGAGTATGTTGGGGGGAGGTAGACAGCATCGCATGAAGAGGAAGAGAGCGAGTTTTTTTTAGGCTTGCATGAGTACTTAACCATGGTCATTGCAAGGTGAGCTCGGAGGGGACGTCGAAGTGCAATAGCTAAGTCGTCGATCGCGGAGACCTCTGCCGACTCGCAAACTCTATCGGATCGGTACTTCCCCTTACAGGATTCTCCTCCCATGGCAGGTCTCCCGTTGGTGCAACACCTGAGGCGATTTTTCACGAAGTCGGCGTGAGATATTTTTGATAACTTGATGAAAATTGAGCTAACTAACGGTCTCTACTGCGAGATTAGTGACTACCGGTGAGCCCTTGGAACGTCACCCATGGCCTTATGCTACACTTCACAGTAAATGTTGTAGCGTCAAGCTGACCATGCTCCATTGAGCCCCGGAGTACTAGCATACGCCGTGAAGTAGCATTCAACACAGCCAGTGAGCTCGTGTTGCACTTACTACTGCTCGATGTTATGCACCGCACCTTCGGCGAGTCCAAGCTGTGACGTGAATATCTTGCTGAACGCACATCACGCGTCCACGAGCGGTGGTCCGACGAGTAAAGCTAGTAAAGATTGACACCTTAGCCTAGCTACACAGACCTCGAGATTTGATCATTTTCGTTTGCTGATGTATATATATATGCGGTATATGTTGACGGCTGACATCCTCCCTGTCGGAGCGAAGCGATGACATGCCTTGTGGGACTTGTCCAGAGGTGCGTTTCGTCCTAGAAATGGCCGCGAACACCCCTTCACTAATAACTCATGCGTAGATGGATTAGCAGGCTCGGTACAGCTCCAGAGCCTGGAGAGATACCACTCTCGCCGAGTGTTCAAGGTATGGAGTCAGTTTACGGAGATCGCGGTACGTCATTTTTCCCGGACGGTACTACATTGTTTGACCTTGAATCGTACTGGATCCGCATGATAGGCGCTATTCGCATTATTTCCCTACGACTGATTGCGACGCTCACACACGCGGCAGAGTCGTGCGGGATAACTAACGCCCAGATCGAGTCCCTGTTACACATTTGTTACCGAGCTTCCGGTGCAGGAAAACTTCCACACCAGTGTACCTCTCATCAAGAACTGTTCGAAGTGGTGGAGTACGGGGCAGAGTTCTTTCAGTATACAACATCCCGGCCAGCTACCGCAGACCCCAAATCCAGAGCCAGTCGCGACGTTGGGGGCATCGCTGTCGAAAGCCCCATTGTAGCCGCCCCGCAATGCCTCATTGGGCCGACCGCGCTTGTTCGCTTGCTTGTTGTCCTGGCACAACGGAACGCACTTAGAGGGATACAAGCCCTCAAGAAGGCGCCAACTGGGCTTTCGTCGTCCACATCCCTGGGTCAGGTTCAACACATCACACACCCCGACATTATCCGTCGCATCATCAAAATATCACAGTCGTGTATAATCGAACGAACTGAACGAGGCCGATGCCTCATTAGGGAGAAGAAGGATAATACTGATTTCAACTTAGCCTGCGCTTTTTTTGTTAGCTCGGCTGAGTTATCGGCTGCTCTGGTCGCGCTGGACACATATACAGATGGCGAATACGCAGCTGAGGCGCTTGGCGCACGGAAACAGCTCGTTATCGCTCTTGGAAATGCGTCGCAGATGGCGCTCAACCTCGGGCACTATCGGCGTGCGCTGCACTTCGGTTGTGGCGCTGTTAGCGCAGCTGAGGATATACCCGCCGAGGAAGGCTTGGATCCCGCCATTACCGAGAAAAACCAGCGGAGGATCAGTCAAGCTAATGCAGGGCTTCGGCGCCGTTAGAATCAAGAGAATGTATCTGCGGAATCTTACTGTTCATTCTTTCACCATGCTTTCGGAAACATCCCAATGACTTACTTAGTGTCATTTGCTATCATCCTCATGTGAACATCTTCGGTACCTAAATGAGTGCAGACGTATAACCAATATATGTGCCTTGCGACATTATGGAGTTTCTTCGCACATCTACACTATTGTAAGAAGTTGCGGACTGTTGATACTAAGACTGACGTTGCTCACTCACTATCCATCGACTTTGGTGTCCCAGCCATTATTCCATACGTACCTACAGAAGAAATGAAAGCCCGCAGAGGTCCGATGACGATTGTAATCGTGTCTCTGTGTGCATGACTCGAGCGAAAGTATACCCAGAACTGAGGAGAGACGGTGGTGAGCTGGGACTCGTGAGCCATTGTATATGGGGGGTGTACCAGAGGTTCAACGTTAGTACAACGTAACACATGGCTATCCACAATGCGTGAGGTAGACGAAGTAGCATTTAGAATATCTTTCGCTCTTTTTTCTGTACAAACGAGAATGTCATTGTAAGAGCCATCTAACCACGCCAGGTATATCCGTCGAACACCTCTACCCATGGGCCACGGGCCATGACCAAGTCCCTTCTCGCCGCGTCGCTATCGAGCTCTCTGATGAATACAATAAGCTGCAAATATGTATCATTTGCACTAATTTGGTCTATGAGTTCCATTCAGAACTCTACGCTTTGATAGGCACCCCATCACCGGTCTGGCAGTTAATCTATCAAGCCACAACATTTCGGTTACCTTTGTATTATCCCCGCTCTCTAGCAAACCACAAGGTTTCGAGGGCGTCTATAACAATATCGATGGGCCTGAGAGTTGTAAGTCGCTTATTATAGCCACCTCTATGATGTCATGGGGCTAGAACGAAGAGCATCTGACCAGTGCAGTAATATCGCTTGGCCCTTTATCAAACTGCAATGTTGTTGGTGGGTCAACATGCTCTCCTTGGGTCATGTCATCCATAATCTCCAGCAAGCTCGCGTCTGTCGTAGTCCTTGTGGTATTCGTCGTCGCAATAAGAACCACAAGGAAGCATGGCAATGTTAGGTTTCCGCCTGGTCCCCCCAGGATGCCGATCATAGGCAATTTACATCAAATGGATGCAGAAAGGGCCTGGCTGACCTACACGGATTGGAAAGAGAAGTACGGTGCGCATACGACCATCTTTTTATTACGAAGGTTCTCCTAGACTCACGCTCGTTGGACCGGAAGGAGACGTCGTATATTGTAGCATTCTTGGGCAAGACGCCATCATCCTAAATACTGAGAAGGCAGCAGAGGACCTGCTTAACCACCGGTCTAGCAACTACTCGGACCGATTGGACCTGCCTGCCATTATTGGCCCGTGAGTGCCCCTGACTTCCGCTGTGTATGTCCTATTCGCTGACGTTGAGTCTCATCCCCTAGGTACGGGCTCACAATCGACACGATCGTACTCAACCATACAGATACCTGGCGTGCCCATCGACGTGTTTTTCACCAAACACTACGGTCCGAGGCTGCCACTGCATACAGGCCCATGCAACTTCGCAGGACCGCTGAGCTGGTCGAGAGGATAACCAATTCTCCAGAGGCGTGGTGGGATCACATTAGAAGGCTCGTTGATTGTCTCAGTGAAACTTGCACAAATTAACTTATCTCTCCGCTCGAGCTAGGTTCTCAGCGTCCGTCATCTTGAGCGCTATATACGACCACGACCTCAGTGACAGTACTGAGGATGACTCTACTCTACAGACCGTTCTCACAGCGCTCGAACTATTGGTGCGGATTTTCTCTCCAAGTACTGCGATGCTGATAACTAAGATGCCAATTGGTGAGTACGATGTCCCCACTATAACATCATATAAGATGACATGGACTGTGCTACAGTAAGGTCGATCCCGACTTGGCTCCCCGGTGGCTGGGTCAATGCTAAACAAGGTCAAAAGGTCGTCGGAGACATGTTCGACGTGCCGTACAACCTATTTCGGGCAAAGCTGGTGAGTAGTTACTGGGCGTTTGCCTACCAGGACTCTATTGATCGAGACAATCTTAGGAAACTGGAGAAGCTGGAAAGTGCGTAGCGTCGGATGCGTTGGCAATGTCCCGTGACACATACAAAATGGACAATTTTGACGACGTCGTCAAAGGTGTCTGCGGTACAGCATACGCAGGTAATTCCATATATTAATCTTCTAGACTTATACTGAGTTGCACGCATTTTCCTTAGCCGGGGAAGAAACGGTACGCATGACTTTCGTAATTTATACCCCCATTGATAATTCAATAGACTGGGGCAACGCTCATCATCTTCATCCTGGCTATGGTTCTACATCCCGAGGTACAGGCGCGTGCTCAATCGGAGATAGACGAGGTTGTTGGTACAGACCGTCTTCCCGACCTTGATGACAAGGGTTCACTACCATATGTCGAAGCCATATATCGCGAGACGCTGAGATGGAAGCCCGTCGTCCCTACAGGTGAGGTGTACATGTAGCTTATTATCATTTCGTATATTCATTGAGTCACGCTAGCCATTCAACATGCAACAACGGAGGAAGATGTGTATAATGGATACTATATTCCCAAAAGTCAGATCTCCTTACCATCCGTCTTTCCTGTTTGAATGTACTGACGAATGCTTACAGAGGCGCTGGTAATCCCCAATGTTTGGTAAAGCCTCTGTCTTCCACACTCATGTATGCAAAGCTTAGTCCAGTTGTAGGGCTATGACGCAAAACCCCGACAAGTATCCGTCTCCCGCATCGTTTAACCCCTCGCGCTTCCTTGATGCGGAGGGTAATCTTAGCGGCGATGAGCCTAGCTACGTGTTTGGTTTTGGGCGCCGTATCTGCCCTGGGCGGCACCTTGCAAAAGATTCGGTTTGGTTGGCGATGGTTCGCATTCTATCTATGTTCCGCATCGAGAAGACTACGGATGCTGCCGGAAGGATGGTTGAGCCGAACCCCGAGTGGACTACCGGAATAACATCGTAAGCTGTTTGTTCATTGTTCCGTGGTATGCTGACGTCTGATCGCCATGTTTATCGCCTAAAGGTATCCCAAGGCATTCCCATGTAAAGTCGTCCCGAGATGCGAAGAAGTGTTGAAGTAGGAACAAAACATCGCACAGATACGCGAAGGAGTACCATTAAATACGTCGATAACGTAGCCGTCGCAAGGTGTCTGTCGCTCATTGTCAGATATCCATTCGATACCAAAGATATCAAGCAGCTTGGTCTCGTCGTATAATATCGAGTATGGTATGCTGAATCTTAGTTTACTAGTAGGTATTAATCGTACTGTACATGTCAAGTGCCTAAACGTGTGCTTTCACGCGTAGTAAGGAGCGGATAACCCAAGTGATACGAGAAGAAGATTTAAGGGACAATATCTCGCACGGAAGTAGAGTACTGCGGCAATACTACTCTACAAAGTTACCTACCTCTCGCGAAAACATTGCAGGGAAACGGTTTGGGGCACCTACGAAAGTTAGCCAAAAGCTCACGCATTAACCCAACGAGCAACTTACATGGTCATGCCACAAATCCATTCAGGATTTGGTTCGATCGTTCTCCCTTCAGAATCCTTGGCTTTCTCTATTCTCAGCTCTGCAAGAATGCATGCGATAGCAACCCAGAGCGACGCTTTCACGAGGTGGCGCCCTGGGCATACACGACGACCAAAACCGAAAACGAAGTCGCACTCGTCATCTGTTACGTTACCCTCGCCATCCAGAAAGCGATCGGGGTTGAACACCTCGGGATCGGGATATTTGTCAGCGTCGCGAGTCATAGCCCTGAGATGATCCATGAAACTAGTAGACAGCTTGAAAGGAAATAACACGCACCATACGTTCGGGATAACAACAGACCCTAAATGTAGTTCATAGTTAGAAATGGCCACAAAATACACGAGTGAAGTGTTCCGCTTTACCTCCCGGAATTTGATGACCACGGTAAATGTCATCGCGCTCGGATGCATGCGGGATACCTGTTGCATGTGTCAGACGTAACATATATAAGACATTGTTGAAAGTTCATATACCTAGCGGAAGGACAGGATACCACCGTAACGTCTCACGATATATTGCCTCGATGTACGGTAACGACAACGAGTCGTCAAAAGTAGGAAGACGGTCCGCATCAACGACAGTATCAATTTCGTGTTGAGCCCGACTTTGAACTTCAGGGTGCAGAGTCATAGCGAGAAAGAAAACCATAAGTGCCGAGGCTGTCTGGAAGAGTCGTTTAATGCGTCTCAACAGAAAATAACGTTCCATTTATCATCTCTCACAGTTTCGGCTCCGGCTAATGAATAGATGATTGTGAGGTTGAGCTTCATCTACATGAAAATGCACTTGACCGACCTGAGAACGCGGATCCACATGCATCTCTAACGTCGTGCTCAGGAATCTTGGCTTGAATCGAGCGCTCCAGTGCATCTATACCAATACATTCTCCTGCTTCTCCAGACACCTAGAAGAGAGGAACGTGAGGTAAAGAAGAAAAACCGGCCACATTTACTACGTACGATCCGGTTTTTGAGTTCGTCAAAGGGTACATTAACCATGTCGTCTAGCTGCCCCTTGCAGTATGCCGCATTCAGCCAGCCCCCGGGCATCCATCTTGGTATATGTCGCACTAGAAACCATTGTTCGTAAATTACGGTATGGTATATATGAGCGAACAAACTTACAAAATGGAAACGCCTTCACCAGAACAGCCGTTCCAGGCGTAACGACGTGGATTCCGGTACCATTTGCTTCTGCTACCGTTTCCAACACTGTGTCCCGGTCTTTGTCCAGTCCGACATTGTGGTCATATACGACACCCAAGATGATCGAGCCGGAGTATCTTGATAGGGCCAGAATCCTAACGTCAACCAGCCTGCCACGGTTCAAAGTGGGCAAATCGTACTTACCGATGAAAGTGCTGCAAAGCCTCGCCTGGGTAATCCTTCAAGTTATGAAGAAGCTCTAGAGCGCGCTGGGCTTGCATTGAGCGATATGCTTTCACAGGCTCCCGCCGAAGACCTTGCTGAAGGATTCGTCTGTGAAGTCGCCACGTATCGTTATGTCGCATAAAAACAGTGTCGAATGCGACACCATAGCTAGAAATCGAAGTACTGAGTCTACGGATATCGGATCGACGCAGAGTCCTAGTCGACGGCTTGGGAAACAGACACTCACAACTCCATGACGATGGACATGTTCATCCTATCGGAGTAATTGCTCGAGCGTTTTTCGAGCAAATCCTCTGCTACTTTCTCAGAGTTCAGTACGACCGCGTCCTGGCCCAAGGCCGTGTAGTACACAATATCCCCTACCAGCAGCGTTGATTCCGCGATCAACGTAGCATTGTGAGTAGTGCGACACGTACCATACAAAACTTTCCACTCTGTGTAAGTCATCCAAGGACGGACCGAGTCAATTTGTTGAGCACATCCCACCAATGGAAGAGGTTGAGGACCTGGAGGATAGCCTTTGTCGCGACGTTTACGGTGCAACCAGCTAGTAGTGGCTACAACCCCAGAGGCAGCTACGAGCACAGCCAAGATCGATAAGTGCGGGGATACCATCTAGGAGTGAGAGGTTTAGAAGGCTGAACACACGGGCTTCTACGACGTGTGTTCTTAAGTGGCATGGAATAGGACGCCACTTATCCTGTTTTGATTTCAGTGGCGTTCTGAAACGAGCAAAGGAAAAACCAAAAGGCGGTGGTGACGCCTGGGCGTTAAGTTGGGGTGAGCTTCCGATCTCTTGCGATGAACGGAACAGCAACACCCAGCGAATTAAGTCCGCTTCTTGTGGCCGCTGCGGTGATGCGATCAAGATAAAGTTTCTATTCAGCCGGAGGAATCAGCGTGACGAGAGAGGGTTCATCCTGGGAGAAAGGAAGTTGGATATGTTGATATTGGTCAACCTTTACGGGTGATCCGCAACCAGCGGTGCCCTGAAAACATCTATACGGCTTAGGTCGGTCTGGTGCGCCAATAGGTGACGCTGATAACTTGATAGCGGCGCGGTGACTAGACAAACGTAAGGGCCAAATGTTATAATTAGCTTCAAGTTTAGCATGTGTATTACCGCGTGCGTTCAGTGTAATTCCGAAACTCACCCTGTGAGAGTTTCAGAAAACACCTGCTTGATCGGAAGCAATCAGAATTCCCCAATGCACGACTTTCGTAGTTACTCACTTGATCACGTACGCTGCACCATTGATCTACGAAAGAGATGCTACCGTCGTTGGCGGCGCACTCTCGCACGGAAAATCATGCCCTGAGGTTCACAGACGCCGCTGTAAGCTCCGCTGTTGAAACTTCTGACTGAAAAAGGGAATCGAAGGCGCATTCCATCCAACAGCCCACTCGGCCCTGGACCATAACAATGTTTCCTATGGCACCACGCGTCGTGTCGATACGGAACTCCGAAGGGACGTAAGCCTGCGAAAGCAAAGCAACCGGGAGGCATCGGCCAGGATAAATGCAGCGGCCGGATCCAATGCGAGATCAAGACGTGTCATAAACGATGAAAGAGGTGCAGATGTGCTTTAATGGAAACCGAGCCAGTATGATTGATACTCAAACACGCAAGATCGGGATTACTCACATTTGCAGACTGTAACGGAGTCGTAGTACTCCATCGTGAGCAACCAGTCTTGATAGCTTAGAGTTCTGAGCAAACACGTTGGCCAGAAAGCTAGATGTACTTGTCAAATGAATCACCTGTGATATATGTCACTTATAAAAACAGACACGCCTAGCTGAAGCTCAAACCTTGACAGTGAATCCTCAGTAAACATCCGATGGGTGCCGGTGAAGCACGCGCCACTCTTTCGTCCTCGAAAGCCGCGGGCCAATTTACAGCCACCGATAAGTGAATCTCTCTTTCAAAAGGTCCTTGAGATATTGAAGGAGCATTGGTTGCATGAGTATACTGAAAGTGATGTCTGTCGAGTTTGGCAGAATTGTATTCATCAAATCAAGATACGTAAGAATTGCTGACCGTCTCAAACACGACTAGACAGCTGAAGGTTGCAGACGTTTGGCTTGGAATAGTCTGATTCTGGAGGACTGGTCTGCGTACCTAGGTCATTGCTTCACGATTTTCTCGTTTATGTCACGGGCTTTCGATACCATACCAAACAATATGCAGCACCAACCTCACCAGAGGGTTGACGTTGGCGTCGGCAATGTATCATTGAACTGAATAGCAACACATACGTAGCTTCCCTGTTGTCAACCGTATTGGGCTAGACGCGATCCAGCGCGATAATTAACCTAACATGAGCATCATATCGCGTCGCATAACAGACACGATGGAAGAGCGGAATATGCACGAGCGTGCCCGGATGTAAATTGCGAATGGCGGCAAAAGACTAGCTTCGATAGTAACCCCGCGGCTTGGCTTCGGGGCCTGTCATGGTTGGGCCTCCGCCACCTGGCTGAGAGAGCACGGTGCTAGCTAATAGTAGAGTCAGAGTGAATGATCATCAAAGTTGATGCTCTGTGGGCTCCTGGTGAGGTAGAGTTCAAGAGTTGAATTGCCTTATGAGGGAGGACCAAGGTGAACAGAATCTCCAGACGATCGAACTCTGCCAGCTAGATCCGAGTCGTGATGCGCAAATAAAATTAGTGTACACAGAGGCTTAGCTTAACAACTTGCGATGAAAATGCACCCTAGATTGGCAGCAGCCCCTCCGCGCGAGTTCGTACAGACAACGTTCCTACATGGGCATCTCGGTGATCCTTCGTGGCGCAATGCTGCATGGAAAATGCCATTGGAAACCTTCCATTGGCGAACTCGGCAATCAGACCTTAGCTCGGCTTAGGAGAAGGGCAGGATACTCACGTAGTCAACCCAACCGTCCATTCAGGGTTAGGCTCGATATCATCCACAGCTACATCTTTTACCTTCTCGATTCGGAACCTGCCGAGAACGCAGATCATGGCTGGCCATAAGGAAGCATTCGCGAAGTGCCGTCCAGGGCGGATACGACGTCCGAAGCCAAATACGTAGCTGGGTTCTCCGCCCACTAGGTTTCCATCCCCGTCGAGGAAGCGTGATGGATCAAAGGACGAAGGTGAAGGGTACCTATCGGTGTTCTGGCTCATGGCCCTGCAACACACAAAAGTGAGAAAATGAGAGGATGATAATAACTATGAGTTTACCAGACGTTGGGGATAATCAATGCACCTAGGGGGTAGATTAGTTTAGCTCTGCAGATGAAAAATGGGATATCTGCCTCTCGGGACGTATTACCCGCCACACATATCAGCTTCCGCTGTGGAATGGGTGCGATAGGTTTCCACCTCAACGTCTCGCGATAAACAGCCTCAACGTAGGGCATTGATGCGTGGCCATCGAAGTCAGGAAGTCGGTCCGGGCCAGCCACATCATCGATCTCTGCTTGAGCACGTGCTTGAACTTCGGGATAGAGAGTCATAACCAAGACGAAGATGGTGAGCGTTGCAGCCGTCTATTGCATCGTCAGCACTTGTGACACTACGCAGTTGGACCCTGTATTCACAAACCGTCTCTTCACCGGCTTCATGATTACAGGCATAATCGCGAAGATTAGGTGACAAACCATGGAATCACTGGCATACGCTGTCCCGCATACGCTATGTCCTCGACAATTTCGTCTGGATTTTCTGTATCACGAAACTTCGACAGTTCGTCTGAGGCTACAAAGTGGCTGGCTTTTCCCGCCGCCTGAACACAATGCAATCAGCAGGAGCGAAGACAGTAAAACACCTGATCACACACCACCTTCGGTTGAGACATATTGAACGGCGCATGGCACAGCTCTCCAAGCACTGTTCTGGACTGTGTGGCATTTAGCCAACTTCCTGGTAGCCAGGTGGGAATGAACCTCACTGTGACAGGAAGGTAGTTAGCGCCAGGAAAGCAGATGGTTCTTACATGTGCTCACAAAGGGGAAGCATAGTTATCAACACTGAAGTGTTCGGGGAGATGATTCGCGTCATAAGCTCAAGTCCTGTGACAATCGTCTTTAGAATGCTATCGTCTTTCACACTTTCGCTGAGCTCGTGATCAAGCGACAAGCCTCAGCTCAACAATCACTTCCCTTGCTCTGCGACAACGGTGAACGAACCTCCTTATATGGTCTCACCACGACTCTGGAGCTTTGACGATGCCATCGGCGAGTTCATCCGCTTTGCGCAACTGAATAGGCCTATATGCGGCGTCGACTTCTGACCGTAGGGTCTGGTGGAAATTGCGTCGATGAAAGCGCCAGAGATTGGAGTGACCGAGCATGATGGTGTCGAGCCCTATCCCCTATTCGATACTTCAGCGAGCAGAACATGAGCGAAACGAATAGGAAGAGACCCATGGCCCAATGCTAGCAGGCATGTCTACCCGATCCGAGGAGTTACTAGACCGGTAGCTGAGCAGATCTTCTGCGACCTTCCCTAAGCTAAGAATGATTGTGATTTTCTCGAAGATACGATAGAGCACGACGCTTGCTCCGACGTCAATCATCAACCCAAGCCAAGTACATGAAGAAAGTGTGAATATATGCGCACCGTACTTCTCTTTCCACTTTGTATAGGTGCGCAAAACTCGCGTCACGTGCATCCAATGTATGTTTTCTATCATCGGGAGCCCAGGGGGACCAGGCGGGGGCCGATCATGGCGACTCTTCCTAAGAGAGCCAATTGTAGCAGGTTGAACCGCCAAGGTGCAGACTAAGTAGCACGGAGAACAGGAGACTCGGAGTTGACCAAGGGCAGTTAAGCAAGCGTATTTAAGCGAAACAGAAGAGGCTGTGGACAGGCGTATGTTATCAAAGGCTCATGCATGTACTTGGAACTGAGCAAAATATTGTGAGTCACCTGTCTGCGACGCGGTCGGTGAACTAGAAGTGGGGATTCACCCGCTCGAAACGACGGTTCGCGCCGACTCGGGCGTGCACGTGAAAGCGCGTCTCCGCTTTAAGCGCAGGTTAGCTTCTCGGCCCATCGGACCGGAAGCGGCAACGCCGTGATCGCGATATTTACCGGAGTTCACGTTCAGGCCGTCGATTCTCATCTTGCGCAAGCGAGTCGCTCTGGTATCGCCCCTACAATGGACGAGCCCTTGCCTCAAGGAATTGCAGATCTGTTTCTGGACGCTTAGATGGACCAATTCAGGGGTTTATTCGCTAGAATAATTGACCCTCACGAGGACCCGCGATTCGTGCTGCAAGTTACGGTGTGTAGACATCCCTGTCGCGAGCTCATTACTACTGAGTACTGTGCCCTAACTACTAATGATTCCTCTCAGAACCGTGTAAACTATCTCTTCATGAAGGAAGCCCTCGATCAAGGAGGGAACGATCGTGGTTCTCAAATCAAATCCACTGCGGCAATACTGCTTAGCGCCGGTTTGATAAGCACAATGATGACGATAGCAAGGAAGGATTGGCCTGCGCTCCAAGTCCACAGAGAAAGGATCATGGCTCAGTATTATGCTCTAGAGGCACTTCGCAACTTAGTCCGGATCTGTGACGACTCTGAACGGCGACAGCTGGGGGAAGACCTGTTAGAGGAGGACATAGTGGGACTATGCCTGCAGGTGCGTACATATTGAATCTAATAGACATTACCGAAAAGGTTTACGCTCTCGTACCGTCCCATATCGTACCTTAGCTCTTACATCGGTATCCCTGTATCTTGCACGAAGCCGTCACCAATCTTTTACGAGCGTTGGCAGGGGACGCCTTTCTCGGCAACAAACTATCCTCCTCGGTAGTTGCTGATGCTATTGAAGGTGTTTGTCGGTATGCTCTAGCAGGGCCAGATTATGTGATCTCTCAGATGCTCGATCCGTTAACTACTTGGCAAAGCTCTGTCTTTCCTGACTCGGGCGGAGTGGTAAGTCAGATGATATCCTGTCAAGTATGGGTAGTACGTTGTCTTCTGAACGGACATGAATCAGATACCCATGGACAAAGCAGCAAGGTTTGCACCTCTGTATTACTCCATGATTCAAGATAACGCGGTCGGGATTGCGTACGCACTGATGGGAGTCTTTCCGTCTCACACCCCGAAATTCTGCCTTGAGATCCTACAGAAAACGCCACATATAATCGACCTTTTGCTTGATTGTGCAGTTCTCGATCGCTACCCACGCAATCCAGAGGCACAGACTTGCATGCTGGCTTGCGAGACACTGGCACTCCTCCTGCAATGGCCATGTAATGTGGTGCCGGGGGTTCCATCACCCTTGGATAAAGCTTTCAAGGTGCAAGAGTGGAAGGCGATGCTGCAGATGATGTCCATCTTTACGTCGCGCGGGGATTGGTTCGAGAAGCTTATCGAGGTGTGGATGCACGTTCAAGAAGAAGACATGATGCAGGTTCAAAGGTACGTCCCTTTATATTATATAGACAACGAAAAAGTCCTTTTGGCTAACGGCTGGTACGTAGAGATGTTGCCAAGCTCGGCACTGCAGATCCTGGAGAGCTACCATCTCCACCGAGCCTCCAAGGCGTTGTAACCATCTACGGAGATCGTGGTATATTTTACGTCAGCTTCAATACTGAGATTTGCTTAACGTACCTTTTTTGGTTGATGGCAGGCACTATTCGCAGTATCGTCTTGCGTCTGATCGCGACACTCACACACGCGGCAGAATCATGCGGCATAACGAATGCACAGATTGAATCTTTCCTTCACGTCGCCTACCTTTCTGGCAGCAAAGGAAAAACTCCAGAGCAGTGTACATCCTACCAGGAAAGGCTTGAAGCAACTGAGTACGGTGCGGAGCTTTTCCTCTACACCACAGGTAGCGATGCCACGGAGAGCGCCACAGGCCAATGTCGGGTTGGAGGTAGCGTTGCTATTGAGGGCCCCGTTACAATCGCATCACAACATGTCCTCGGGCCAACTGCGCTTGTTCGATTGCTTGTTGTCCTGGCACAGCGAAAGGCTCTTGACGGCATACAGACCCTTAAGAAGGCCCCGGCCGGGCTCTCGACGTCCACGTCGCTGAATCAGGTCCAACACATCACACATCCCGATATCATCCGCCGAATCATAAATATATCGCAATCGCGTATACTCGAACGAACGGAGCGAGGGCGACAACGCATCAAGGAGAAGAAAGATGATGCCGACATCAATCTAGCTTGTTCGATGTTTGTCAGCTCAGCCGAGCTAGCAGCAGCTGTGGTCGCGCTGGATACATACACGGAGGGAGTTTACGCAGCCGAGGCGCTCGGAGCACGGAAACAGCTTGTCATTGCTCTTGGGAATGCGTCACAGATGGCGCTCAACCTTGGGTATTATCAACGTGCACTACACTACGGTTGTGGCGCTGTCAGCGCAGCGGAGGATATACCTGTTGAGGAAGGCTTGAATCCCAGCATCACTGAGAAAAACCAGCGAAGGATTAATCAAGCTAATGAAGGACTTCAGTGTCGTTAGCATCAAGGATGTATGGTCGCGGAACTTGACTATTCGTCCTTCGCCATTCTTTCAATACTCACAAGGTGAGCAGGGCGGGTAGCTAGTTGTCTGTAGAGAGACTTCGTGTGCGTATAAGAGAAGCAAGTGAACACGATCAGGGGATTGCGTTGGAGAATACAAATGTATGATTTTTGGGGAGCAACACCGCGTAACAATGATATCCATGAAGCAGAGTTGTTGTTGAGAGCAAGTTGAGAGCGTAACATTGGCTTAGCAGAAGCAAAGAAAGGCAGAGCTGATATCGTATCCGACAGACGGGATTACTTGACTCTGGTCTATTGCTTATCCTCATCTATAGACTGTCTTCGGCACATAAAGCGTCGTTGATGATGCTTGTACGCTCAACGCTACGAAGGGTACAAGAGCCTCTAAGCGGGAAGCACGACGGATAGTTTAGGGCCGGTATGCCAGCGTAGACAGTACATAGCGTGTTCATGTCTGTTCGCTTCTGGTTGCTTGCTTGACCCAACTTGCTCTACGAGGTTCGGCCCTCTCCTCCTCGTCGTTTCCAATACTGACTGTCCCTCCGGTAATTCCATAGTTGAGTATCTTGCCATAGCGATCGTTCTATCGAGCGTTGTTAGAACGCCGTCTCTGTCGTCGAGGTAGTTGTGTATGAGGGCATGTGCCCAACGCCCCCATTTATATCCTCTCCCGATGGAGACCTGGCCACATCCTGTTCCCTATGTCATGGTTACCCTTTTCATGGTAAGTTCTAGCCAGCGACGACTCGCAAAGTGCACCTGATCCACGTTTCTGCTCATATACGTAATAGGTCATGTCCATATCCAGGTATGGTGCAGTCCATATTAGCCTGGCCCCTGCTCTATCGAGCCGTTGTATCTTGAACCCATGTCGCCCATCAACTACTATAACACGTTCTCGTATTTCGTGGCCGCCGTTGGATTTGCGATAACCATCAGTGTCTTTCGGAAGCGTCGCGATCATAAGCTTCCCCCTGGCCCTTCCGGCCTTCCGTTCATAGGAAATGTGCACCAGCTGGACACCGCGAAGGTGTAGGCGACATACACGGAGTGGAAGGAGAAGTATGGTGCCCATATACTCATGTTCTATCTACTGACGGTTCTCGGGTTAACACACAAGGATCGGAAAGGTGACATTATGTACTGTCGCATCCTCGGACAAGATGTGATCGTCCTTATTTCAGAGAAGGTCGCCCAAGATCTGCTCAATCAGTGGTCCAGCAACTACTCAGACCGGATAGAGATGCCTGCTCTCACTGATCCGTGAGTCTTCCCGATTCATTTGGTGATTATCCTACTCGCTGACGTCGAGGGCCGGACCACAGGTATGGACTGACCTATAACACCGCCCTTCTCGGTCACTCAGACTCCTGGCGTTTCCATCGACGTATCTTCCATCAAACTCTACGGTCCAACGTTGCCGTTGCATATAGGCCTATGCAGCTGGTCAAGACTGCCGAGCTGGTCGAGAACATTGCCAAGTCACCAGAGGCGTGGTGGGACCATACCAGAAGGTTCGTTGCTTATTATGGCAACGGACTCTGGTTAGGCTGACCTGACTATACGTCCTGGTTCAGGTTCTCAGCGGGAGTTATCTTGAGTGCCATGTATGATCATGAGCTCAGCGGCACTACAGAGGATGATGGTGTTCTGAAGACGGTGGCCACGGCATTGCAACTCCTGACTCGGCTTTTCACCCCTGAAACTGCGATGCTGATAACCATGTTTCCGATTGGTGAGCGCGAGAGGGGGTCGCTAGCTACGAACTAGCTGACGGAGAGCTTTAACATAGTAAAGTCCATCCCGACCTGGCTTCCAGGTGGCTGGCTCAATGTTGTACACTGCAAAAATGTCATTGGGGAGATGTACCATGGACCGTTCAATATGCTTGAAGCCAGACTGGTGCGTAGTTGATCATTGGCTCGTCAGTGTTCCGTTGATCATGGTCTCTTCAGGACGCTGGCGAAGCTAACCAATGTGTGGCGTCCGACGCGCTGACAAGGTTTCGTAATACGGACAAGATAGATAACCTGGATGACGTTGTTAGAGGCGTGTGCGGGACCGCGTATGCAGGTCACTCCTGGCTTTCATCATTTCAACTCCATGCTCACTCTTGTTCCCATGATATTTAGCCGGGGAGGAGACGGTGCGCTAGAGACTATGCTATGGGGTCGAGCTGACGATGCAATAGACTGGGGCAACGGTCATCATCTTTATGTTGGCCATGACCTTGTATCCGGAGGTGCAAGCACGAGCTCAAGCGGAGATTGATGAGGTCGTTGGGACAGACCGACTTCCGGATTTCGAAGACAGAACGTCACTGCCTTACCTCGAGGCCGTATACTGTGAGACTCTGAGGTGGAGGCCAGTCGCACCCACTGGTAAGGCATGAATATAGTCGATCGCCATTGCGTACATTGATCCAGCCACAACAGGCATTCAACATGCGACGACGGATGCAGACGTGTATAACGGGTACTACATCCCAAAAGGTAATGTCTTGCTTTGGGTTCGTCATTCTTGCTAATGCACTGTGATTATCTCCGTAGGAGCATTGGTTATCTCTAATATCTGGTAAAGCACGCATTCCTTCTGACGCATACGTGTACGAGTACGCTCAGCCTTGTGCTATAGGGCCATGTCTCAGAACCCTGACAAGTATCCATCTCCCTCATCATTCGATCCCTCTCGCTTTCTCGACGCTGACGGTAGCCTCGTCGGTAATGAGCCCGAATATGCGTTTGGATTCGGCCGGCGTATCTGTCCTGGGAGACACCTTGCGAATGGATCGGTTTGGTCAGCGATGGCTCGCATCCTTTCGGTGTTCCAAATCGAAAAGGCAAAGGATGCAGCCGGTAACGTTATTTACCCAGACCCTGAGTGGACTTTGGGATTGACAACGTGAGTTAATCATGTTTTATTCATGTCAATGTCTGACTGCCAAGTTCGTCCCGTGAAGGTTCCCCAAGCCGTTTCCGTGCAAGATCACGCAGCGAAGGGTAGATGTGCCAAAGTAGCTTACAGTATGTTCCCGCTATACACGGATTTTCTGCTACCGGGTCTTTCGAGTAGGCTGTCAGGTGTTTTCAAGCGTAATGTACGTTGTTTGTTTCCAACTACAGAGACAGTCTTCTTTTCGATATTTTTGCGGCGTTCTTGCGTTTAGGAGTTGTGTCTTCTTGGCCCCGGCGATCGCTATACAGGGGTCGTGACGGGTAGTAGTAGTGTGCGTCCCACTTTGGCAGAAGCGGCGGGCCTGCGGACCTTCCTGTCGCTGACGTGAATGATGCGACACTGTCATAGGTAGTCTGAATAAGATGGAAGATCAACCGCGTCAAAGCGCGTATTATCGTCACGTATGCAGCGCTGTGATAAGGGACACGATACTCTCAAGTGAGAAGCGCTACGGACAACGAAGGCCAATTCCCAAGGGCATAGCGTTAGTGCAGTCCCACAATATTTACATGGATGATACTTCTGCTATGTACATTGGGCCCCCGTTCGTTAAAAATACTCGTTGACTTGTGCTGAGTAAAGTGGTATGCACATTACATAGTACGGATAGCGATCGCATGGGTACCATTAACCAATTCGATTTGGGCATCCACGGTGCTCTTCTACTACTCCCTTCGCACTGTGATCGTACACGGAAACGATTTGGGACAGTATCTTTGAACAAAATCCGCGTTTATGAGCGCTGTTCTAAAGACAAAAGTCGGCCACAACTCACGTAGTGACACCATCTGTCCACTCGGGGTCTGGTTCTATGGCATTCCCAGCTGCATCATGAGCCTTCTCCACATGAAAAGCAGCCAAAATTCGAACGATAGCTGACCAGAGCGAGTTTTTGGCGAGGTGCCTGCCAGGGCAGATACGGCGTCCAAAACCAAATACATAGTCCGGCTCATTGTTCAAGAGACTTCCATCAACGTCAAGAAAGCGCGATGGGCTGAACGAGAAGGGAGATGGATACTTGTCCGGGTTGTGGGATATAGCCCTACATGCGTGTAAGTTCAGAGATGAGAGAAGGAAAACAAGGATCGTACCAGACGTTGGGGAAAACCAGCGCTCCTTAGCGAAAAAATCAACTTAGCTTCAGCAAGATGCAACAAGAGAACAAAACATGTCACCCTTGTGAATATGAAATCCCCTGTACGTATCTGCTTTCGTTGCAGTGTTTGGGACGCCTATGCAGCTTCATGGATAGTGCAATCACCCATGATTAAACGGCTCACCGATTGGAGTGAATGACATTTAGCGCCTCACCCAAGTACGCCAGACCACAAGCACCCTTAATCAGATCTTCAAAGTTTTCTACCTTGTCCGTGTTGCGGAAGTGCAAAAGCGCGTGAGATGCAACACAATGATTGGCCTGCCCGGTCACCTATATGCGATTCTAGGTTAGTCCTCAGAGACAAGCATCGACCGCGGCTGACGCACAAGCTTGTCTTCGAGCATTTTGAGAGGTAGTTCGAACAGCTGCGTCACTCGCTCTCGGAAACGCGCCGCGTTGAACCGTCTGCCCGGAAGCCACTTACTGCAGGATCCGTGTATGAGCTCAGCGTTGATTCGCAAAACGTACGAGGCAGTACTCACGGAATGGAAACATGGACAACAGCAAGACGATTTGAGTAGATAGAATTTTGCTCATCATTTCGGTGGCTGTAGCAAACGTGCGCAAGACAGGGTCATCCTGTGCGTTGCTTCCGGGTGTATGGTCGTAAACCACACCAAGGATGACGGAAGTCGAGAACCTGAAAGATGGGATCGTGTTTAATGTGGTACACTTTGCTCAATCGGGTCCACGACGCACCTCCGAATATGGTCCCACCACGCTTCAGGTTCCCTCGCAAATTCTCCAACTAACTCCTGCGCTTTGCGAAGCTGTATTGGCCTGTACGCTGTCACGGCATCGGACCCTAACGTCTGGTTGAGAATGCGCCGGTGCGCCCTCCAAGTCTTGCCGCGCTTAAGCGCTGCAGTGTTAAGCCAAAGACCATAGCTAAAGAGTGCATCTGAACGGAACGTGAGCACTTAAACACGTGTCTCCAAAATTCAACACAAGACGAAGCGTACGCGTCAAACACAGGTGTTATATCCTGGCGATCCGAGTAGTTACTCGAACGGTTCTTGAGGAGGTCGTCAGCAACCTGTTGCGAGTTGAGGACGATCGCGTCTTGGCCGAGGATTCGTAAGTACACGATGTCGCCTGCCAGTGGCAAGTTCAGTCACGAGGGTTTGCTCACGAATAAGCGCATGAAGCATACCATATGTCTTTTTCCACTCCATACACGTGAGCCAAGGGCGCTTCGAATTTAACTGATGCATGTTGCCGATGAAAGGCAGTTCACGAGGACCTGGCGGCAAGGGCAGTTGCTTGTCGGAACGCTTGCGGCGGATCTTAGCAACGCCGAGTAAGGATCCAGCAATGAACGCAGCCAAGGCACTAAAGCTGATGAGGGACATGGGGTGAGGAAACATGGTTTGCCAGACAGAAACGTCGACATACTTATGCTAGCTCATCTCTAAAGATAGCAAGGTGCGATACGTGAAATTAATGAAGAGGTTCATTAAGCAACGCCAGCGATCTGGATACGAAATCAGCAGCTCCGAGACCTGGGCCTGAAGGAAAACCCGCGGCACGAGTTCTCAGCGTTGGACATGAATGGGTTATGGCGAGATGTTTGGTAGCAGTGAGGAGCTGGTAAACACAAGAGGCGCGCAGTGAGGATATATTGTGGATCGGCGCTTCTTTTGACGCCAGGTGGAACCCCCATACCAAGTTCTCAGTGGCAAACTGTCAAAACGTTGAAGACGTCAAGGTGGCCATGAATTGAGTGATGGAGCTCGAGCTAGTGGTACAGATAGACAAGACACGACTACCCACGATGTTCATTTCATTCATACTTAGACTAATGATAGTGCTTGGAGAGGCAAGTACTACCCCGACAAGTGACATTCAGAGAGATAGCATACCTACGGAGCTTACTTTATGCCCTAGGGACTATATTAGAACATATGCGCACTCCCGATATGCACTCAACACGTGTACCTGATTCTGATGTGTCCTCCACTGGTTACTCCGCTTTGATGTTCTGCCTGTGGTAGAACTCGAAGTTGGAAACTCAAAAACACGACTAACCCTCATATGTATCTTGACGTGCTGGAGACGTCCTGCCCACTAGGCTGGCATGCCGATCTAGCCTATACAAACCTCATCACAATCATAACAAGCGTTCACCAACCTGACGTTCGACAGGACGAGTCTCGATTATGACAGATAAAAAGCACCGACCGTAGTACAATGTATGATACGCTGGAACAAGGGGAAAAGAGGAAACAATGGAAGATGGAAGAGACTCGCACCACAGCTCATGAGTGATGGGTGGATATATGCGCCTGCCCTGCCCGACTAACGCAAGACAGCGGCGATGAGTATACCGGGCTCAACGACGGAAAGAGAAACAGATGGATGGACGGACTGATGAGCCGAGCCTCGAACACCGCACCCATGCCTCCGCTCGCAAAACCTCCACCTGATTCCCGACACGTGAAAACACCTTCAATCTGCCATGATCAACCATCGATAGGGAAGATACGACGCAGCTTCCCAGCGCCTGTGGCGCTCTCTACAGAAAGTCTTCCGCGCGAGCACGCTTCTTGCCCCTTGTTTCCTCGGAGGCCGCTTCGGCCGTGGCCGTGCCGTCTTTAGCATAGTAGTACTTGGTGACGCGGGCACGCTTCTCCTCCTGTAACAACGTTAATGATGTGATGGTGATTGGACATAATATATATAGCTTACGGGAGAGAAGTTCGGATCCGCATACTTGAGCTCCGTCGGTTTCTTGAATGGGGCATACTTCTGCTCGAGCTCGGGATGAGGGAGTATGAGCGGCGGAGGAGGGGCAGCTGCAACGTTAGACGCAGGGGGTGCTGTGGAAGGAACAGATGCGGGAGGAGGGGGAGAAACACCTGGGAGAACTTGTGACGGCGTTCCAGAGCCGTTCGTTGATGTGGGTAGAATGCCGTTCATCGGTTGGCCAGGCGAGCCGATGGCGGGAACAAAACTAGGGGCCGGCGGCATCGGGGGTCGTGGGCCCAAGCCAGACATACCAGGGGGTGGCATACCACCAGGCATACCACCGTGCATCATCATACCTGGAGGTGGCATCATACCAGGGGGTGGCATTGGGAAACCAGGGGGAGGCGGACTATCATTGACGAACGTCAGTTGAACTGAAAAAAAGCAAAAGCAAAAACGAGCGTACCCAGGTGGCATCCCAGGGGCGCCGAGGAACGGAGGGAACGGAGGTGCACCAGGGAACATACCCGGAGGCGGCGGTGACCCAGCCGGGAAGCCAAACGGCGGGGGCATGCCTCCGGGCTGCGGCATTCCAGGGGGAGGAGACATCCCCATGCCTGGCGCTGGCATGGGCGGAGCAGCGTACGCTTGCGGAGGAGCACCATACACCGCCCCTCCGCCGTTATCGGGGGGAGGCGACATCTGGGATGCGTTGTTGGCGGCGCCGATACCCATGAGAGCCTTGTGGGCGGCAAGGCGGGCCTTGAGCTCGTCTTCAGTGAGTGGCTTGTTCTCGACTTTAGGGCGCTTGGCTTGAGGTTGGGAGATGGAGCCGGCTGCGAGGCCAAGTTCGATTTCCTTACGACGCTTGTAGTCGGCGACATCGGGTGCGGGGATGCCCTCCATGCCAAAAATCTCGACTTCGTACCCGTCTCGTCCCGGGAGCGCGTTATCAATGCGGGGAAGACTGGCGGGGAAGATGAATAAGCAGGGATACGCATATAACGAGGGTGGAGATACGCACTTTTCGGGCTCGAGCTTGTGGACTTGTTGGATGTGGACTGCGAGACCACCTGCGGTGTTCAGTCGGCGTGGGCACATATTGCACTTGAAATGCTTCGCCTTTTGGTGCTGCATGAGGACTAGAGGTGGAACGGAAAGGGATCAGCTGTAAACGTGTGTCGTGAAAAGACGAACTGACCCTTTTCATCCTCGAACTCTCTCTCGCAATACCAGCACCAGGGACGGATAACCTGGACGAAGTCAGCTATATGCTACCTCCTGAGCAATACACACTTGCCTGCTTGCTCTTCTTCTTAGCCATTGTGGACGACGAGGGGTGAGCAGTGGGATGGGATGGGGATGTGTTGTGGTGGAAAGGCGCAGAACAGCACTTCGGCAGATTCCGTCAAGGTGCCAAGCGTGGGAATTAAATTGGACAGCCTCCCCGGCAAGACAGCGGGTTACTCGCTCCGACGAACAGCGAGCTCGACGTCATGCTCCAACGTGCTTTCGTCTTCTCCTTCTCACTTTCTTCTCTCCGACGATGCTGGGCAAGAGCTGGCTCGAGTACATCCTCATTCGGCTCACTATCTGGGGGTTTCGAGCCGTCGCTCCTGTCAGTCTGCTACTCGTTTCCTATCGCATATATACCGGAGCCTCCCTGCTGGGAGACACCATAGACGCCCTCGCCGTTACGGAATCACTCTTCTTTATTTGCATATACCTTCCCCGACACACCCTTCTCCAAAAGGTACCCGTCTTTCCCTGTCCTTGTCCGCGCGCCTTCTAATTAATATTGCACCCAAGCGCGCCGTACACCCACCGCTATTGAACAGAGACGACCGCAAAGCCCTCTTCATTCGATGCAGCGACGAAATCAACGGTGACTACCCCACTGGCTGGTTCTTCTCCCCCGGCTACCAGCGAGGCAATGTTATCGAATGGCTACTCTGGGCCCTGTTCTCCATCACACCCGAAGAGAATCAGGGACAATGGGATGAGGAAATAGCCGAGTACGTCGCAGTAGCGGAGGAATCACTTGGGAGAAAGCTGGACGACGGGTACAACAAGCAGGCCGCATGTATGCGCGTCTCCTTTGATCCTCTGCACATGATCCACCGGCCGCTTGGGTGGTATGCGGTACGTTTCTGCGCAGGCCAGTCGCGGTTCCTTGTTAATTGCGTCCATGTCCCGTAGCTGGTTGGCCTGCTAGACATGAAGACAGCAGTGCAGATGCACATCCTCGGCTTCAGGCATTACAACCCGCCTTCATGGTTCCCGAGTTTCCCACTTCGGCCCTTCACATGGCTATCCAAGCGTTCAGCCAGCCCGAAACTGCCGTACTGGTGGAAGCCTCACAACTCATCCACGAAGCTTCCTTTGGTCATCCTGCATGGTATCGGGGTGAGTGCTCGCCCTTCTTCGAGTCGAGATCACACCAACAACCGTCTCTAGATTGGGTTATACCCCTACGTTCCCATCATACAAGAGTTCGTATCAGAAAACCCAGATGTCGGCGTGCTTGTCATCGAATATATGCCCATTTGCTCCCGCATCACTTCCGCCCCCCTCTCTCGCGCCGAGCTGTGCAACGAAATGGAAAACATCCTTGCCTCGCTCAGGATAGATCGTTTCGTCGTATTCGGTCACTCATACGGCACTGTGTTGGCTGCGCACATGTTCCAATCCCCCGTCCTCGCACCGCGGATTGCGGCGACGCTCTTTCTCGACCCCATCCCGTTCCTGTTGCACCTTCCAAACGTCGCGTTCAACTTCGTGTACCGGAAACCGCGGACGGCGAACGAGTGGGAGGTGTGGTACTTTGCGAGTCGCGACCCGGATGTTGCGAGGACGCTGGGACGACACTTTTTCTGGGCAGAGAATATCATGTGGAAGCATGATCTGGATGGGCGAAGGTTTGCCGTCGCGTTGGCGGGCGACGACCAGCTTTTAGATGCGCGGGCTGTGCATAAGTATCTGACTCAGCAGGAGAAGCCGACACATTACTGGCAGAAGGACGACCTAGAAGTGTTTTTCTTTCCTGGAGAGGACCATGCAACGATACTGGACACGAGGAAGACGCGGAAGCCAATGCTTGAGGTTCTGAGCAGATTTGTCTCTGCGTGATATCTCCTTACTAGATTTTCTGCTCAAGAACGTATCTTCCATCTATACCATATTACCCTTTCCCCTTCATGTCGACTTTCTAGTACATGTACTTGTCAAAAAATAAATTCTCGAGATAGCCCCTATTCCGGAGCACTGGCGGGAACTGAAAGGCTTTGTTTGCTCCGACCAAACACGGCTCACCTCGTCCGCCTCACCGTCAACGACGTCGAGCTCGCTCCCCTCCAAAACACCAAAACACCATCCACAGGTGTCGATTCCACTCCCAGGACATATAGACGCACACGACCCCCTGTCGGAAAGTAAAGGTTCAGTTTCGTTTCTTCTGCCGTATCCTCAACCTATGGCCTCAGCTACGGTCTCTCCACCCGCCACCAATGGTGTCAACGGGATTAACGGTCATGTCGCTGCCAACGGCATCAACGGGAAGGAGAATGGGAAGCCGAAAATGACGAAGAACCAGCTGAGGCGTGCCAAGCTGAAGCAGAAGAAGGCGGCTGCTCAGACGGAGTCGGTGCGTGTCCCCTTGTATGCGCGTTGAAGCGGTTGTTTATCGGGATGTGAAGGAGACGGATGTTGAGACGGAGCCGGTCAAGGTCGAGGACCGTTCATCAGCTGTGCCTACTAGATTCGACTTTGAGGAGTTCGACGTCAAGGACCCGATAATGGAGCAGTTCTCCAACATCTTCGCGCGCTTCCAGATGCCCGAGGACGCTGTATCGGTCTGCCGCTCCCCCCTCGCCTTCCCTCTCCGCTCTGACTATCTACACTAGATAAAACGCGAACCCGGAGAGCCCACCAAAGGCGAGGTTATCTACTCGGACGACGACATGGAGAGCGCCGAAGGCTCGGATGCCGAGGAGAAGAAGCCACTCTCCAAGAAAAAGCAGCGCAAGATGAACCGGCTCACCGTCGCCGAGCTCAAGCAGCTCGTCACCAAACCCGAGGCCGTCGAGTGGACCGACCCTGCCGCTGCGGACCCGCGCCTGCTCCTGCACCTCAAGTGCTCCCGCAACACGGTTCCCATCCCCGCGCACTGGTCCGCCAAGCGCGACTACCTCCAGGGCAAGCGCGGTATCGAGAAGCCGCCGTTCCAGCTGCCGTCGTACATCGCGGACACGGGCATTGCGACGATGCGCGATGCGGTCAAGGAGAAGGAGGCGAACATGAGCTTGAAGGCGAAGACGAGGGAGAGGGTGCAGCCGAAGATGGGCAAGATGGACATTGACTATCAGAAGCTGCACGATGCGTTCTTCAAGTTTGCGACGAAGCCGCTCGTCACTGGCTTTGGCGAGATGTAAGTGCTTACTTTTCGTCGTGCATTTCGGAATGAACTGATGTTTTATTCTTCAGGTACTACGAAGGGAAGGAGTTCGAGACGCAGCTCAAGGAGAAGCGGCCCGGTGATCTATCGCCCGAGCTCGTCGAGGCGCTGTCGATCCCGCCCCTCGCACCGCCACCGTGGCTTATCAGCATGCAGCGCTTTGGTCCACCGCCCAGTTACCCTACACTACGGATACCGGGGCTGAACGCGCCTATTCCCGAGGGGTAAGTGCTCGCTTTCATCATCAGCGCTTCATTCCCGTGCTGACGACGGTGTGCCCACAGTGCACAGTGGGGCTTCCACCCCGGTGGATGGGGCAAGCCGCCGTTGGACGAGTACAACCGGCCGTTGTACGGTGATGTGTTCGGTGTGCTACCCAAGGTGTCTGATACGAATGTATGTGTTCTCTATCTCACAGTCATGAAACACTGTCTAACGCTCGCACTAGATGGGCGAACCCGTCAACAAAGACTTTTGGGGTGAACTCGAGCCTGAAGAGGAGGAAGAAGAGGAAGAGGAAGAAGGGGAGTCGGAAGAAGAAGAGGAAGAGGAGGAGACCGAGGTTGCACCTGCGGACGGCATGCAGACGCCCTCGGGTCTGGAGACGCCGAGCGGAATGGCGAGCGTGGTGTCGACGGTCGCTGGCGGACTCGAGACACCCGACTTCCTCGAGCTCCGGAAGAACGCGCCTGCGTCACGCGAGACGCCTGCGGAGACGGGGCCCCGGTCGCTGTACCATGTTGTGCCCGAGAAGCAGACGTCGGTGAGAGGGCTGATGGGCAGTGAGCGCGGATATGACGTGAGCGGTGTGAGCGGAGCGCCCATTCCTGTGCTTGGCGAAGAGCGCGGGACAAAGGTGCGTGTGCTCGGCGTTCAATATCGGGATCTTGCAAGGCTGATGATGTGCTTTTTTTGCAGCGCAAGGCTGGTGTGGATGTATCTTTGGACGCTGGGGAGCTGGAGGGAATGTCGGAGGAGGAGTTGCGGCGGAAGTACGAGGCGAGTTCACGTGGCTCTGCGGGTGTCTCGGGTGCGAAAGAAGATTTCTCGGATATGGTGGCCAAGGAGATGGCGAAGAAGAAACAGAAGATGGACCAGGAGCGGGAGAGAAAGAAGGGAGGCGGGGAAAAGTACAAGTTTTGAGCGTATGTTTAATTTCCTGGTAGCTGTTACAATAGTCTTGTCTTGCGCATATTTTATCTCACACTGTTAAGTTGTTGTCGAGGAGAGTGATGACATTGACAGGCTGTGTTGAGCGCCTGTTCATAAGAGAAAGTGGCCATCAAAATGACCCTCCTCCGTCTCTGCGCCATGAACTAGGCACGCCGTCCTCCCTCCATACCCTCATCCTCACTTTCTCCATAGTCACTCTTTCATCTCCCTTTCCATCTCAAAATGTCCCAGGTCAAAATGTAGGTCACCTCTCTACCTTGCATCACCCTTCCGACGTGCTCAAACGTTCTCCAGCGAACTGCAAGCACCCCCAAATGCCGACTACGTCGTCGGTACGCCATTCGCATTCATCTCGACCCCCTCCTTTCTCAACGTACTCCACCAGGCTATCCCGGAATACCAGCCGGCACCCAAGACCGACCCCAGTCAGCCGTAAAAGGCGTACGTTTCCCTCTCCTCCGGCACGCGATCACCCTAACGCGTTTCCCCCTCCCTCCACCACCATCACACTATCTAGACCGTCGAAATCCGCTCAGGTCCGCAAGGCGTCAAGGCCAAATGGGTCCGTATAGAGCTCAAGAAGATCGAGAGTCTCCCCGGCGGTGGCCAAGCCAATTCCTATTTCGACTTTGTCGGCTCGAGCCCTATCAACCTGTGGCAGTCAAACGAGGAGTACAGCATTCTCAACAGCGTGAGTTGTACAATACGCTGGGCGAATGGATTGTACGGGGGCCTAACTGGGCGCATAGCAATTGTTCCAGTTCTACATCCGCGTACCAGAGTCAATACCCCCTAGTATATCGTTGGAACGGAATGGTGAGCTCCACGTCGACGTGTGGGTACGGAAGGGACGACTGACATGTTCTGTCAGCTGGCATCCGATACGAGTTGGTTGCTACTGTCTGCACACTGGGGAAGAAGTGCGTCGATACCCTTATCCATCCCGAGCTCAACGTCTAATTCCACTTCAGGGGATGGTTCCTACGCCGAAGAAAGACAAACGTCTCATCCGCAGCAACGACCATCAACATCGACAAGCACGAGCTACACTCCACCTGGCCCGTCTACGCCCAGCCCGAGACCCGCCAGATAGCGCAGGAGGGGCTGCAGCTCATCGTCGAGCGCTCACGCACATGTTTCGGGCCCGGCGACCGCGTCCAGGTCGCCGCAACGCTCAAGTCGGAGAGTATGCACACCCTCGTCCTGCGTGGGTTCGAGTTCATCCTCCGGGAAACCGTCTCCTTCCGCGCGGGGCCCTACGCCAAGCGCAACGGCCCTCAGGTCCAGACCAACCACATTGACGAGCAGAAGGTGCCCCTCAACACTACCCTATACCCCGGCAGCCAGCACAAGGCGGAGCTCGTGTGCCACGTTCCGGAGGTACACACGAACTGCACGGTCAACGCGGCGAGGCACATTGATATCACGTACATGATCGTGGTGAAGGCGACGTTCACGAGCGGGCGGGATATCTCAATGGAGCTTCCGATAATGGTAACGAACTGGCCGAGGTAAGTCAATTCCCAGATTTTCATACCTGGGCCACGTCTGATCGCCGGAACACGGGTTTTCTTCTCAGAAATGTGTCGGAGGAGGCGATGAGGCGTATCGGCAGTGCACCCAGTCTATGCGTGCAGCCCCCCGGGAGCACCACGCCCTCTCAGGGCACGCCTCAAGCCAACGCGCGCCCAGGTACCGGTCACTCGCATGGCTCGTCTGTGGATCATGCCATCCGACGCCCGGGAGGACCTGGCCAATTCAACACGACCCCAAACGTCCGTCAGAGCGCATACGAAACCGACGAGCTTGGCGAGCTCAACTATCCGGCGCGCAAGCAGGCTGCCACCTACAACGGCACTTCCCAGGCATATTCGCCCTCGGACCGCAGACCCGGTACCGCCGAGTCGGCTCGTTCGCGCAGGAATCAGAGCTTGACTGCGTCGATCAACAACAACAGTCGCACCGTCACCAATGCAAGCGAACAGGACGAAGACCTGCGCAGGCCTGGAACAGGACAAACTGTGCCGCCTGGTCCTACGCGTAGCCCGCCTGTTAACGGGCAATGGGTAAGCGCCGAGGACGAGAAGAGGCAGCAGGAGTTGTACATGGAGGCCATGGAGCGCGTGAAGAGGGTCCAGGGCGGCAGTGGAGGAGGTGGTGATAGCAGCGCTGGTCATGGAAGTGGTGGTCTTAGCACTGGTGGGCGGAGCCCCTCGGGGAGCTCGAACTGGCCGTCGGCAGAGCAGGAGAAGGTCCGGATGTACGAGAAGGCGCAGGCGCTCGCGAAGCAGACTCAGGCGAGCGGTGGGCACTCCCCACCTCCCGGTACCCGTCCCGGGATGAACGGGATGGGCAGCGGGGGATCAGCATTCGGCGCCTCCTCGGCGGGTGCCGCTCTGTACCAGCAGGCCGTCTCATCTATGGGTAACCGTGGCGGATCCAGTGGGTCCAGAGGCGACTCACCGCAGCGGCAAAACTCGCCCAGCCGCGGTGCAGGTCCCGTGCCACACTATCTCACCGCCGCGGAGGAGAAGGCCGCACTGGAGCGGTACAACCAGGCGAAGATCGCTGTAGATCGTAGCCAGCACACCAACTACGCGTCCACCGAAGGGATTGCGTCTCCCCCAATTGCTGGTGGACCCAGTAGCGGATCCCCGCAGCCTCAGCTTGGACGTAGCGGTTCCGCGGTCCCGCATTTCGTCACTGCTGCCGAAGAGAAGGCCGCGCTGGAGCGATACAACCAGGCGAAGCTCGCGGTGGACCGGAACCAGAACGCCGGCTACACGTCCAACGAGGCTATTTCGTCTGGCCCGATCTCGTACGACGCATTGTACCCATCCAGCGGGTCGGCGTCTGGCGCTGGGCAAGAACAAGGGCCGAATGATCCTCCGCCGTTCGATGGACCATCACAGCCGCAGTACATGAACGAGAAGGAGAGGCTCCGGATGGCATACGAGCAGCAAGATGCTGCTGCCGTTGCTCAGCAGCAACAGTCGTCTTCGGCGCCTATGTATACCCCGCCCGCGCCTGGGCCTGCTGAACCGCAACCCGTGCCGGCGAACGTTGCGCTGGCCGAGAAGGAGTTGTTGAGGAGGAGGTATGAGGAGCAGGACGCGGCTGCGGCTGCTGCGGCTCAGCAACAGCAGCTACCTCGCGGGCCGCCGCCCCAGCCTCCACCGCCGCGGAGCCGATCGCAACCCATACCGCCTGGCCAGGGTCCGTCACCAGGAGGTGCCCCTTCGCGGCCGCTGACAGCAGCAGAGGAGAAAGCATTGCTCCGCGCGCGGTACGAGGCTGAAGAGCGGGGTAGCGCGCCATCGGCGTCCAACGGCGCAGGCGTGGAAATGGGTATGGGCATGGGCATGATGTCGCCCCCTCTCGGCCCTCCCCCGCCCGCGCAGGAGACGGCTTACGGCTTCACGCATCCATTCGCGGTGTCCCAGCAGGACCAGCAGGGTCTGCCGGCGCCTCCGCCGCTCGCACCGCGTCCGCCTGCGTCGTATATCCAGGCGACGCGCGAAGAGGACGAGCGCGTGCGGTCGTACTATGATGGCGAGGGCGCGCATCCGTATAGCGCTGCGAATGCGGCTCCGCCTGGTGGCCGGGCGAATGGGAACGGAAATGCTGGGGGGTTGCTGGATATGAGGCCGTTTTCGCCGTTTTCTATGGGTCTGAACGGGGACGACAAGGGGCGGCCGGCGTAAGGCTGTCGTCTCTTGACGTCCTCTGATTTATCTTTTAACCTGTTCTATCTCGCCGCCTGGTTGATGAGCTCGATGCTTGCTTACTTTTATCTTTTTTGCTCCCATTTGTCTGGCACATTCACATCCACTATGCTACTTCTAATCCGTTGTGAAGTACACTATACTCCGTTTTATATCACCATTACCCCCCTGCGCTCGTTGTTCATACTGATCTGCACATCGGTAACTTATTACTCTCTTGTTTGTTCTGTCTTGTTTTTCTGCCTTGCTGGTATATTCGAGCTGCTTCCTACCATATACATTCCTTTGGTCTTTTCTTCATTTAGCTCTATCTGCTTCATAGTCTCAATCTATGGTTTTTGCTTATCGCTATCACGGTGCGCCGACATGGGAACTTGTGCGCAAGTTTGGACGGAGATTGTCAATAATAGGCAGGAGTCGGAAGTTCAGAAGGCCGCGTCAAAACCTTGTCTTGATTAACTCTCTAGATTGTTCTGTTTATCCCGTCATCGTGCATGATGTTGAGCGTTGGTGGTAGATGTCGGAGAGATGGTCGGTGGTGGTGACACAAACGTGAGGCTGATGACTTGAGGGTGGGCCGGTGCTCCGAGGATGACGGAAAGTGACGCGTTCGCGAGCGCCGAGGGCCGGTCAAGCAACGGGCCAAGTGCTACAGTGCCACCGCCAACCAGTGTCGTCTTGCCGCCGACGCCCATCCTATCCATCTCCACAGCACTACTACACACATCTCCCCCTCTGCATCGACGGCAATGAGCGCACAGGACACCGACGCCCAGCTCCAGTCGGCCGCCAAGGGCTTCGACCACCTCTTCGCCAACGACATCGACGCGGCACGCAAGGCATTCGATGGCGAGGACTCGCCGTTTCACCTCCTCGGCATGGGTGTATGCGCCTTTTTGCAAGCCGCGTTGGGCATGGAAGTGAGCTCCCGTCTGCTCATCCAAAGGGCGTGATCTGAACATGATGCACAGACCGGTCTGATGGCCGAGGCATCGCGTCTCTTGAGTCTCTCCGAGGCGGGCGCGAAGAAGCACATCAAGAACGCAAAGAGCGGCAAGCCTGCTCACCGGTTCACGCCCGGTATCGAGTGGGAGATTATGCAGGCGGACGCGGTCGTGTTGCTTGCGTTGACACATGCGCTCAGGTGCGTCACAAGACCTGTTGGCGAGTGCGTTGGCTGAGAGGTTGAGTGTAGCGAGTCGTACAAGGGTTATATGCAGTGTCTGTCAGTGCCTCGATTACTTTCGCCGCTTGTATGCTAATGATAGCGTGTAGCTATGAGATGAACAGGTACGAGTGCACACTGTTCAACATCGTGTTTACCATCCAACCATTATGTCCACAGCGCGCACTCGCGTTTCACCAAGTGTGTCGCGCTCTCCTTTTCTTTCCCATCCTCGTTGACTCAGCCGATCACCAGACTCTACAAGACCGTCTATCCAGCTGGCCTTCAAGCATACTCGACACCCTCCACATCTCCTCAGCCATCGCGGAAGCCTTCCAACGACAGCATCCAGTCCTCGGCGACGGCACAATCCGCTCGGTCCGGAGGCAGTTTCTTTTCACGATGGTACTCTGGGTCGCCGTCAACAAAGACGCTTGCTCCTCCTCCAGGCTCGGCCCAGAATCAAGCGACCGGTCCAGTGGAAGAGCTCGTCTTATCTGGCACGGCGTTTGGTACGCCGCGTGATTTTGCAGATGTATATGTTTCCTGATTGAATCCTACTATAGGATATGGCTTATTCAACCTCGTTTTTTCGCTACTCCCCGCTGGCATCAGAGGCGTTATCGGTTTCCTTGGATTCACCCACGACCGCAAGCTGGCCTTACAGGCGCTCGCTGTGTCTGCTGCACGGACGGATGTGCACGCCGTATTTGCTGGGTGAGCGAACATATTCTTGTCATGCTCCGTTCTAACTCGTCGTCCAGGCTGGTCCTTATGACGTATTATGGCGTCGTTCTGCTCTTGGCGGGGTACCAGGCAGACGAGGCGCATATAATCAAGCAGTATCAGGCGATAGTCGATAAGTAGGTCTTCATTCGTGGTCTCACAGTCACAGCTATCCATGTTAGCTCGGTAACAGGGCAGATTCACGATACCCCACGGGCGCGCTGTGGATCCTGAATAGAGTAAGCCGTCTTTTGTCGTGTGTTCCTTCGTCTTTGACAAACGTCTGCACCAGGCGAAGATCCTACGTATGCGAGGCGATGTGGACGACGCTATCAAGGTGCTCCAAGATGGCTTGGACCCGGGGAAGTCTCAGGCGTCTTTCCCCCAAGCCGATACTCTCGTACGTCTTCAGTCTGGCCCTCAATACCGTCTTGATGGTTTACCATACATTCTATTGATACCATAGCTCGCATTTGAACTTTCCTGGACTCTACTCTCTCAACGACGATACCAGGAAGCGGCGGATACGTTCATGAGGCTCACCGGGCTCAATAGCTGGTACGTCTCGCCCCAATGCCATTTTCACCTGGTCGTGAACTCATTTCCCTTATAGGAGTCACGCAACATACTACTTCATCGCGGCGGGTACGTTAGCTCTCCTATTATCTACTCTGCAAGCTTGCTGTAACGAACGCGACAGGCTGCCACTTCTCGTTGGGCGACCTCGATAAAGCGCAGGAGCTGCTAGACCAGATTCCCGAGTTACTGAATGGACGCAAGATCAGTGGCAGGGATCTCCCCACTGAGGTATTCATCAAGAAAAAGAGTGCGTATCATGTCCTCTCGGCGCTCCCGGCATGTAGAGCTACAAGCTGACTCCGAGTAGTTGAGTTCTACAAGGCGAAGCAGGTACGGAGGGGTGGAGACGAGGTTCGGTTTGTAGAGGCGATCTCAATCAGTCCGGCTGAAGGTACGCGTTACCCTCCTTTTGTTCATCTCTGGTTGAGTCTAACACCCTCCCCCACGTTAGAAATTGCCCTATGTAAGCTTCGTTCAACCTGTTATTTCCTTGCCTAGCTCACTTCCATGTCTCATAGTCTGGAACACGCACCAGCGGATACCGCACGAAGTCGCACTCGAGCACATCCGCGAATGGTCCTCGCTCGGGCCCGCGCTCGACATCACCAGCCAGCACACGTCCCAGCCCTCGCCGGACAACAAGCGCCCGGCGCTCGACACGGCCGACGAGCTCGTGGTGCGTTCGCTGCTTCTCGGTATCACACACCGCACCGTCGGCGACTTCAAGGCGTCGCGCGAATACCTCGTCGACGCCCACCGCGCGTCCACGAGCGGCGGCCAGGTGAAGATCAACACATGGGTCGGAGGCGTCGCGATGTTCGAGCTTGCTGTGCTGGATCTGAAGGAGGTGCAAGCGAAGGAGGAGGAGATGGCGCTTGAGACGCCGCCCGAGATCCAGTTGAACGGGGTCGCTGCCGAGGTTGTTGTAGATGGCGAGCCTGTGCTCGCTGTCCCTGCGGGAGCAGGGGTGTGGGCGCTGGCGCTCAAGGGAGCGTCGGAGAAGCTGGATGCGGCGCTTGCGCTCGCAACGCGGGACACGGATCTGTCGTCGCGCCTGGATAGCAGGATTACCATGCTGAGGGGGGAGATTGCGACGAAGAAGGAGATGGTGGGCTGTTAGACAACCACGGTTTTAGATGTGGACGTTTCAGTCCGAAGTAGTGTACCATAGGGTGGACTTTATTAATTGTGATAATCTATACACGATTTCTTAAACAGCCTATACTGACACAGGGTGCATGAAGCAATAACCCCATGCTAACTATGTCAATCTTACTGCCCAAAAGGTGGCCCCTTAGGGTGAGCCTTGGTTAGGGATACACCAAAAGCCCTCAAAATTTTGAGACTGACAAAAGTGCAACTTGCATTTTCGCACTTTCGAGACTGACAAAAGTGCAACTTGCATTTTCGCAGTTTCGAGACT